TTCGGCGATCGGTTTATGGATAGATGATGAAAGTAAATTTTGAAACAGAAAAAAATGGAATTGTTGGTTAAATAGGATGAGGTGAAGGGAGCGAAATGTGACATCGTTATTATCATTTTCGTGAAATAGTAAACAAACGGTAAACAATACAAAAATGAGGATGAGAATGAGAGATGGAACGGTGAGAGAGATTGAGAGAGATGCGAATAAAAGGCTCTTTTGAAGTTCCTAAAGTATTTGATCATTGTCAATCAGCGAGAAAAAATTTGAATAAAGTTGAGAACAACCGGTGCAAAATGTGAAACAATCATTTCATTTGTTGACCTCGCAATGAGCGGTTGTTCTCTTCACATGCTAAGCAGACGAAGAAGAAGAAGAAGAAAAAAAAAAGAGAAAAGGAATGTTATTATAAAGATGCAAAAAGACGACTAAAGTAATATTGAATATGGAAATTTCTCTGAGAATATAGATAGGATGATCGTTTGACAAGTGTTGGTCGACAAGGCATGATTACAAAAGGAAAAGTAAACATGAATTTTGCCGAAAAGGTGAAAATAGCAAATGTACAGATCCAAGCCAAATAGACAAGGACAATTTCTTGTTCTTCTGAACAGAAAAATTCTTAAAACTCAGATGGGAATACTCGTCTTTCGGACATTTGAGATTAGGTGACAATAGAGTTTAGAAAACATGTGTAGCAAGCTCACAACAGTTAAAATGAGAGAATAGGATTAAAGTAAGTTGAAGTTTCAGTGACAACAAACCAAGTGCATGCAACAGGGAGAGAGAGAAGGGTTAGAGTAAGAGTGAGAGATAGAGAATGGACGTCAGGAAGAAACAGAAAAAGTTGAAAAAGAAAGTTCCAGCAGAACCTTTTTAATGAATTAATTGAATTCATTGAGGTTGATAGTTTGGAAAAAAAAGATTTCTTGCCATCCTCACTTCTTCTCTCTCTCTGCCTGTCTGTCTGTCTCTTCTTCATAATTTTAAATAAATTAAGTTAATAATAATCTCAAATAAGACGAGAAGCAGATGAAGAGGAGACGAAAGGGAAAAACCCAAAGTACAAGATGGAAAAACTTTTTTTTTCGAAAAGAAAAGCTAATAATTCGTAGCCGAACATGATCTAATAGAGAAAGATGAGAGAGAGAAAGAATGCTGAAGGCAATTAATAAATCCAATAATTATGAGCATCACATGCCGTCAATAATACCAATTTCTTCATTTTTAAAGTATATTTTTTAAAAAAATGACAAAAAAAAGTGAAATGCACGCAAAAATGGAAGATGAAAGTGCAAAAACAAGCTTTCCAACGTTTCTCTGTAGGTGCGTTGGGTGAATGTGGTGCGTGTGTGTCTGTCTGTCTGTTTGAAAATCCTGGGAGAAACACAAGAAACACAAGAGGTTGCGAACCTCAGGCCAATGGATAGAGGGAGAGAGAAATTGAAAAAGAGAGAAAAGCGAAAAATCGATTGACGACAGCTAGAGGAATAACGATTGAAGGAGAGACGGACATTATGAAAGATAAAGAGAAAAATGAAAAAAAAATGGAAAGAAATTAAGAGAGACAAAGACAGAGAGAGAGAGAGAGAAAGAGAGAATAAGAACAAAATAGAAGAGAGACAAGATTAAAAATGAAATATCAAAAATAAGACAAGAGAACGTTAAGAAGGAGGATTAAGGTGTGTCCTTTATCACTCTAATGGACAGGAAGGTGGGTGATCTGATAAAAATTAAAATGAAGCGTCAAATGTGACATCTTTCTCTCTCACCTACACTCTTTGTTTGTATGGTCATGGAACAGTATAAATAAAAATAAAATTTTTTCCACAAAATTTTCGAAATCATAAAAGTCATATAAGATCAAGAACCGGTAAAATATAATTAGAGAACATTCGTCGTCAATGAGAACAGTAAATTGTCATTTCTTCTCCTCTTCTGATATGTACGCATGAAAAACGTTTACGAATTTAAAGGAAATCAGTAATTGGAGAAAGTGGAAATTGAGAGATTCAATTTCAGGTAGATAAGAGGTTTTATTCGATACTACAGCCAATCCAATTTGGAAAAAAGAACAGACAAGAGAGAGAGAGGGAGGAGGGGGAGGGGGCAATAGAGAGAGAAAAAGAAAAGGAGAGAGAGGAAGATGTAGACAGAGAGAATTTAAAAAATGGCAAAGATTCTATTAGGTACATTAGTTGATAGCTTAATACACTGCGCGCACTCTGCTTGTTTCAACCATTTTTACGAGGTTTTGGAAAATTTGGGTTGAAACTCCAATATGAACACCAAATAAAACAGGAAATGAAAGTTTTATTAATCACGACCAATCACGTGAAATGCGTGAAATCAGGCAATAAACAATTCTATTCGCTATCGAATACATTCGAGAAACCTGAGGAAGTTACTGGAAGTGAAAATATTTAGAGAAATTAAGCGAACAAGTGGTTAAGAGGTTAAAAATTTATATAGTAGGTATGAGAACATAGAGAAGAAGAAAAATAAGAAAAAAAGAATGTGAAAATGAAAGAAAGACTGAGAATGCGAAAGTGAGACAGAAAGATAGGTAGAAAGTGTGAGAGGAAGTAAGAGAGAAAGAGGATAGCAGAAGACAACCGTTCCATGCAAATTGAAATTTTCAAAATGAAAACATTTTCACGTAAATGCACGTTCACGTGAAACACTTGCAGTCTCAGAAAAATGAACTTATAATTGGAATACATGAAGCTTTGCGTTTAAGAAAGTATAACATAATCTTCGCAAAAGCAGCCTGCGGTAGTGGAGAGAGAGAGCGCATCTTCATGGAAAGACGACAAAAAATAGAAAAAAAAGAAGAAAAAAAAGAAGTCGAATTGTACATGACTGAAAACATCTTCAATTGAAAGAAACTTCAATAATTATGAACAAAATCAATAAAAGACCACAAATGTCAAAAAGAAAAACGATGTCAACGAGAAACTTGGAAGACGACATGATGGAAAAGCGATAATACTTAGGAAAAGCTGCGGAGAAAAGGAAGATCTTAGGGGTTGGCCGAAAGAACTTTTTTTCTGCTTCCATCTTTCCTTCTCTTTTTCAAAATAACATCATAATTAAAGAAAAGTTTTTTTCAAAAATTGAAATTCTGCTGTTGATCCATTTGATGGCTGTACGGATGAGAAAAGCCTGTACAGTACGGATGAAGAGAAAGAGAATGAGAGTCATGGATCGATATATCCAATATGAATACAAGGAATGAAAGTCATTTTATGTTTAAAATATGCTTTTGAAAAGAGAGGAGATTGTTTGAAACCTGTTGAAAATGACGTCATAATTAAGATTTCTTGTTGAAGAACTTGTTTTTTTTCATTTCATACTTTTCACCTACTGGTCATTCTTTGAAAGTATGTGAATGAGAGAGTGAAATGATGACAGAGAGAGAGAGAGAGATGAGAATGCTTTGTTTTTAAAAAACACATTCACAACTAATCATTTGATGAACACGGAATGAAAGCCATAAACGATGCAAAGTGATGATTCGAAACCGTTCAATGGCCATATATGGATCACGAATGATAATAACTTATCAACTGATGTCATTTCCTGTCGGGAGTGCCTATGTTCCCACCTTTTTTCTAATTTTCATTCCACATCTGTGTCTACCTTTTTTGGTCATATAATTCTGTCAATAATGTTATCATTTAAGTAATTATTATGTTAAAGTAGAGTAAACATTCTATATAAAAGTATTGAAAAATGCATAAATTTGAAGATTATAAACTGGAATATTGAAACTTGTTGGTACTCACGTTAACACAAGAACATCCAAAATGCCAGTTTGTTATGATTGAATGCAAAAATAAAATAAAGTAAAATGAAAGAGTGAAAGAGAAAGATAGAGAGAATGAGTTGAAAGAGAAATGAATAGAGAGAGAGAGAGAGAGAGAAAGTAAGATTGAGAAAGAGAAATATTGGAAGTGTTAACAGAGAGAGGAAGAGAGAGAGAGAGAATTAAGAGATTTTGCAGATAAAGCGAAGATAATTATTGTATGAGAGGAGAAAAAAAATCTTTTTTCATCTTATTATTAATTAAATATTACCAGAATGCAATGTCAAGAATGATATAATAAGATGGTTTTCCTAGTCATAATGACCACCCAGATGGGTGGGTTGTTCACACGTAAACATGTTACAATGACGTCATCAATAAGTTCTGAGAGACAATTGTCGTATCAGATGAACAACTATATGCATGTCCTAGACGACATCAAAACGATGACTCATCCAACTAGTTTAGGTTTTCGAAATCCAGAGGTGTCATAGATGATACAAACAGAAGAGAGAATAGACGATAAATAGAAAAAAGATGAAGGCTTTATATGAAACGCAAAAGCTTCCGGCCAAAAGTACTTTAGAGCTAATTCTTTTCAATGATATCTTGTTGAACTTGTTAGAAGAAGACGAAGAAGAAAGAAAGTCAGCTTCAATGGTCAGAAATAAAAATAGCTGAAAAAGAAGAAGAAGAAGCAGCAGCGTATTCTAAGCTTTTCTCTCTCTCTCTCACTTCATTTCATTTAACCCCTTTGCAGTTGGGCTGAATCTTTTCGCTCTTACGAAATATGGATGCAGTAGCTTGAGGGGGGGGGGGGGGACCGAGCGATTTCGTAACCATCCCATGAAAGGTCATTATTTCGAAATGCATTCTTCTTCATCAGTCTCAAAGCTGAGTTTTTTCGGTGAACCAAAAAAACAATTAATCTTCAGAAGAAATCTAATATGGGGCTGAAGATGAGAAGTGAGCGAGAAAACGACATTGAGCATCATTAAAACTGTTTAATTTCGATTATTTTTTTTATTTAATTCAATTAAATATATTTTTCTTTTTGTTTCTTAACACACAAGTTTAATAAGTTCCAAATGGCAATATTGAGAGAGACAAACGAAAAACAACAAAAAATAAACAAAAAAATAAATGAGAGAGAAGACGATTCGACCCATATAATACAGTAACTGAGTTCATATTAGTATTCATGTTCTTCATGAACTGTCGGAGAAGCACATTGATTTGAAGCTTAAAATAGATTTTTAACTTTGCAACATATGTAAACAGATATACCATCATTATGATACTTCACATATAGATCAGCTGTTTTGACGTATTCATCGTATGTCGGAGGTGGAGTTTCACTATCTTCGACCAAAAATCGATTTCTAAACTTAAAAAAATGAAAAAGCAACATTCCATCTATGAAAAGCAGTTTTTATTTGAGAAAGAAGTATGTGGAATGCAACCGCTCTTATACCAATCAAAGAATGAAGAATGATAGAGGTTTGTGTTGTTCCACGTGCTTTTCACGTAAAACGTGATATCTCACGTGTTTTTCAGATAAACACGTGAATAGTACATGTGATAACAATATGGTTGGTTGGTCTACATTTGCATATTATGAATGTAAGTTCAAACAAAGTATGTTAAAGAGTATCGTTGATGTTCTATCATACCTGTCGTCATGGAGTGAAGTATAACGCTTCTTGTTGAATTTACGAACCATCTTGTCACTTCGAAATTCTAGCTCAGTAAATGATTTGAATATTTGATAGACTAGATAAACAGATAATAGATTGAGTAGTATTATAACAACGAATAGTATTATATAATATGTGACGGATGATGGAAACTATAATAATGACATAATTAGTTAGATATAATATATAAGCGGACTATACCTTCTTAGCTATGCTAATTATATCATTTTCAACATTATCCACTTGAACAACAATATTTTTAATCTTAAATAAATATGTAGATGTAAAGAAAAGAATGAAAATTTAAAATAAAAACCTCATGATCAACTGATGACAGGGATGAATTCATTTTTTGTAATGTCTGATCTAAATCAGCATTCATCCGCCATAATACGGTATAGATATTATAAATAGCTTCATTGGTTTGAATAATTTTATTATTAACACTCATAATAGAGAGGAAGTGCAGAAGATGGTAATCGATGAGAAGAAAAGTATTCTTCTTATCATGCGGCGTATTGAGACTGATGATTCATTCGAACATTTATGGATAAGCTTTTACCATCAAGAACTGTAAATAGAAAGTTATGCTAAAAGACTGGAAGAGAGAGAAGAGAGAGAGAAGGAGAGTGAGGGAGTAAAACAAAAAAAAAAGAAAAATCAGTATCATATACGTGTACTGAATAGTACGTGTGTATAAAATCAATCAATTGAGGAAAAAATTTCAAAAAAGAGGAAAAAAAGATGAAACGATGTTCAACGAGGAATGAAGAAGAAAATAGAGAAAAATGATGAAGAAGAGACACTTTTAGTGTCACTCAAACCTTCTGATTGTTGGAAATGAGGACAAAAATGGACAACGTGTGTGCTCGAAGCCTAAGGCTTGCTCACCTTCAAAAGAGTTTCCTCCCATCATTTTCGATCTCTCACTCTCTCTCATTTATCTTCGCTATTTATTTTGAATTTCTTTGTGAATGTTTTGTGTGGAATGTATACACAGTCAACAAAGGAGATGAAATGAATCAATTCCATATTCACGATCTTCATTTCTCATAAAAATTTTTCTATTAATTTCTCTTCTATCTAATACCCGTTCAATTTGTTTAATAAATATTAATTTTGATATTATTTGTATTTATTTTTCTGGATCATATGTTGTTCCATTCGTTTATGATAGTGATGGCACACTGTGTCTTTGTCTCATTTCTTGAACTATCATCATCTCAACACACACACACGCACATGCATGCACACACACACAGACTGATGACAGCTTCAGACAACGTATCCAGCTTTCAACAATCAGATTTTGCACCATTTCTTCTCTGATTTTAGCATCATTTGTCAGACTGCACAATCGTTAGCTGTTCGTCTATCTTTACAAGCTTAATTCTTGTTAGAAAGCAAAGAGCTTAAATGACGACTGTGCTTTGAAGAAGAAAATTGACACTCTGTTTGTCACTGCATCTAAAAGACAAAAATGGATAGACGATTTTATAAAACAAAAGCTTCATTGATCTTCAAAAACAATATAAAAACTATAAAATTCTCTAATATTTCTTTTTTCTTTATATAATAATTTAAACAATACAGTCATCAAAACGCTATCATGGTCTGAGATCACGTACGAACAATCTAAGCACAGCTATTTAAAGCTTATAAACTTAAAAATATTTTTTTGCACAGATTGTCTGATAAACTTCTTAACAATACGATAAACATGATGAAAAGACTTTTTGTATGGAATTTGACATGAAAAGTAAGAGCACCGGTTACAATAGTTGAGCCATTTGATGTAATTTTCGCTTGGATTCACTGGAGATGAGCTTATCTGATGAGATTAGCTGATTTCATATGTTTACTTGATCCAATGCTCTTGAAGGATATTTAAGGTCTTTCTGAATGATCTGAAGCCAGTCAAGAGACAGTATATTCGTTGTTTTGTTTGAGATTATTTCAAATATCCTAGAAGAGCTTCGTGTTCCTAGACTTCCAAGCTTCTGGTATATGATGTTGTTCCTGTCTCCAGGTTGTATTTTGCTCCATTGATATCATCAGTACGTCGCTGATATGGTCTTGGAGTTTCTTCTATTGCGCTGGCTTGATCAGAAACTGTAAATAATAAGTAAATAAGTAAGCTGATTACTAGATTATTATTGTAATTTGAAGAATTTTATTTGTAATCGTTTATACTGCAGTTAATCAGAGGTTAGTAGTGATTAGAAAGAATAGTGTGAAGCCTGTAGAAGTATCTTATGATGAAGGAAAAACTAACCTCTCCTGATTCCAGGTCTGCGTGGTTCACTCTCCATAGTGATGCCCACGTGTGGAACAGATCCACCGGTTCTTGATGGGTATTGCAACTGATGACTATATGGGGTTATGGCCACAGAAGGCGTTTTCTGATCATATGTTGACGAAGTATCATCCCGAGGTATGATTAAAGCACGATCTCCCCCTAATAGATATTCATAGTTAGAATGGGTAAATAGAAAAGTTTGAAAAGCTTTGCAGAAATTTCATTTTTAGACTCTATTTTCTAAAACCAAGAAGTGTGTGAATTGGAATATTATGTTCTTAAGAACTTATAAGAATCAAAAGAGTAAAGTTGTTTGAAGAAGCACACGCATCTCGTTGAACTCAAACAAACAAAAGTTCATATAAGGTAAGCTTTAGCAAAAAATGAAAGAATAGTAATCTCACCTTCTTTCGATCGCATGATCGTATAGACAGCATGACATTTCACAATGAGAAGCAGTAATATAAGGACTGCTCCTAACACAAAAACAGCAGTTAACGAGATAAATAATACATAGAAGACCCAAGAATTTGGAACCTGAATTAGGCTGAAGGTTCATCGATATACCCTTCACTCTGTTTACCTGAGAGACTGAATCACCAACTTGATATGTAACAGATCCGGCGTCTTTTGCTATATTGGCTACCGCCTGAGAAGAAGCATGAATGTTATAAGGAAATTTAGAAAGAATATAACTCACCAAATCAAAATTGTCTAAAGTTACATTTATCCTACTTGTAATTCCATTAATCTGCCCATTGATATGTCCCACTAATGACCCTAATTGTGCCAAAGTTTGGCTAAGCTCAGATATTGTCTGATCTACTGACATGCGCGCTGAAGAAAAAATGAATTGTGAGAATTAAGAAGACGGAAAAAAGGAGAGAAAAGAATAAGAGAACATGTTAAAGAGTTCCGGAGAACGAATGATAATATGAGTCACAATCATAGAAGTAGGAAGAATCACAGAAAGTAAATAAATCATAACGTCCTTTTAAAACATTTTGATTGGTCTTATCCACACATTGAAGCTTCCAATCAATAGAAGGTAAAAGCATGTTCAAAACAAACTGAAGTTGCCAAGTCGAAAATCGAAAACATCGGTAGAATCTTAAGAAAATCCAGCTTTAAACTCAATAGTCTCATGATCAAGAGGGTGACAGTAGACGAGAAAGAGGCGTGTCACCGATATCAAACATTATTTTAAGTAAATTTTCAAAATGGCAGTAAAAAATCTAAAAAAAGACGTGGGAAGCTTTGGTGTGAGTCATCGGAATCGAGCAAAATAAACACAGATCTCATAAGGCAATGATGTATAAGATGAGTTTGTGATTCAGACGAAGCCATTGGTTTTACTTCAGCTTACATAACTTGTTGAAGATCTTCAAACCCAAAACAGTTTTGTCAATAAACGGAGATGAGAATAGTTTCAACAGGACAGTTAACAGGATCATTACTAAGAAGCAAATATAATTTAATTAAAAGATGTGTAAATGAAGACAAATAGAAGGTGGGGGTTCTGTCAATATTAGGAAATTGATAAGTTTTGAAGATTAATGAAGCATCTGAAAGTTTGATATGAACCTTTCTCGCACCAACCCCCTTCTTTGCGGTTCTTACCACCCCCAAAACTACGAAATGAGTAGAAAAACGATAAACGAATGTTAAAATGAGTAAACAACATTAAGCTTAGAAGGCGTTCATCTTCCAAAATCGAATCAAATGAATACAAGAAAAGTTTATGATATTTGAGTTAGAACATGGATACATATTGTGTATGAGCTCAAAACATGCATACAAAAGGAATTCTGAATGAAATGAAAATGAAATAACGAATAAGATAAGACATACTTTGTAATATACGAATATTGAGGCAAAGTCAAGATGATAAGAATGATTGAAGATGTCTTGAACGAAATGAAGATGTACCTCATGTTATGAAAGAGCATAAAAGAAGAATTTCTGAGTTACTATTACTCAAAAAGGTTGAATGATGAGTGAGAGAGAGAGAGGAGAGAGGGATAGAGGGAGAGAGAGAGAGAGAGAGAGAGAGAGAGAGAGAGAGAGAAGAAGAAGAAAGAGATTATGAATATGAACCGTATTTATGAAAAAAGAAAAGTATTTTTTTTACATAAAAGAAACATATTGAAAAGAACTTTGTTAAAGAATTGATTGTGTAGGAAGGAGGACAGTCATCAAATACTTTTTTCTTTCTGCAATTGGATAGACGAATAAGATACTTTCTATCATTTTGACAGTTATCTGAGTCTTTTTTTTTAAAGAATGTATTTGAATAAAATCAATAACTTTCATAATATGATTTGCTCTCTTCTGTATGGAGCACAAAATGACAATAGGTGAGCTGTTGGGTTGGCTGTCGTCAGTTGTGGAAGGATCATTCTCTTCTTTCTTTCTCTCATACCGCTCATTCTCTCACATCTACCAGCTTTCCACTCTCTCTTTTTTACTTTCACTCTCTTTATTATATAATTTTCTTTTCTTTTTTCTCTCTCATCTTCTCTTCATATTCAATCATGCTCTCTCCAACAACACTGACCGCTAGTTCAATACTGAAGGCAAATATGGTGGTGCTCTCGGTCTCTCTTGCAGACCCGTTTACCTTCCCTCAAGCATACCTCCGTAAGCTTTGACGGCCTTAGGCCATTGTCTATCTTAATATGAAGATGAATATGATATATGAGAAAGGAACACAATCAACTCAAATATTAAAAGTCTTAAGAAATTTATACGATATTGTTTAGACGAACGGCTAGTCTATCTGAACATATACGAAACTGTTTAACTATACTATCATGTTATTCATGAAATGATGATGATTAATTTTATATTAAAATCTCAAATGTTTATAGAAATTACCATAACTTCGAGGTGCATACGTCATTAGCATAATACAGTTTACTTCATTACCATATATTAAACGTAATAGATTGACGTGCGAATTGAAAAGCCATTTCGAAGTGAGAGTAACGCAAGAGCGGTTGTGTTCTATTTATTTTCTCAAAAACACTTTTTTATAGAAAAAAATATATAAGAATGGATTAGCGACAACTAGCTAAAGTCAATAGATTGTGAACGAAAAAAACAATGAGAGAGAGAGAGTAAAGGTAATAGATGAAATGAAGGTAGATTTTAATATTTTTAGAATTAGCATGAAGACATGCTATACCTTCTAACATCGAATGTCTAACCTGAAGTGAAATAGCTTATTCTCGTCGGCCAGTAGTACAGCCGGTTAAAGCCTCGGAGATACTAAACGAACGTGGTCGTGGACAGAGAGCCACCAGAAAGAGAAGATAGTCCAAAGAGGAATAGAGAAAGGTTTGTATTTATTCAAGAGCGTATCGAATGGTAGTTGCTGATGATGATTGTAAGAGGATGTTGCTACTGAATATCATACATTTCCATAAAAATATTTCAAAAAGAAGAATAGAAGCGTTTGTCGTTTTATATGAGCAAAAGATGTTTTTATTTGTGAAAAAAAATTTTTTTATAAATTAAAAGAAATATTTGAGTTCAAAAATACAAACGAATGTTCTTCTCTATTTTGACTATCACAGCTCAAAAATGTCATGTTCGTTTGTTCAGTGCGATGTAATCATGTTTTGAAGAAGAAGATAAGAAGAGAATAGAGGAAATCAGAATATTTTCACGAAAAATTGAACTATACAGAGCATGTTATATTTACTTTTTAACTATACAAATTATATGAAAGCATATGCACATAGTATGCTGTGTATGTATGCAGATTTGTAAAATATGCGATTTGAATAAGTTCGATGAAGAAATGCATCACCCTACTCATAAGGCTCATAAATTTGAAAATAAAAAGTATAAGCAAATAGTTTATCATATCTAGATCATATTCGTATATTGGATTATACGATTATGAGATTATCATAGACAACCAGCTTCATTTCTTATAATGTTTATGCTCATTTCTTCTTTCTACAGTCTATCAGACTTCTTCAACTACAAGTCCGGTGTGAATTTCGTATTTGTCAAATATTTGAAAATGCCTCAAGCGGATTTTCTTATCATCCTGTTGGATGGGAGTGTAAAACAAAAAAAAAGATCAATGCCATTGACTGTTCACATTGAGAATCAACGAATTTCTGGATATAAAGTGCACATTTCGTGGCGGAGCAGAGAAGAAAAAAAAAGACGTTAGAATGGTTTTCTTAAATCAGAAAAATGAACTTCCAGAACTTTCTGATTGCACAGAGTGGATGACAGAAAAAAAACCTGTTCCGGTGCGACCAGAAGCTTCTGACGCCTAGAAAGAGAGCTCTATTGCCTCAGGTCAAATAAACCTCACAATTTCCTGATTGTGGCAGTGAATAAGGGAAGGTGATGTGTCTGCTTATGGAATCATTCAAAAACATAATTGACCTTTCAATGAAATATTTATAATCACAGGCAAAACAACGGAAAGACTTGGCATGAACGGAATGTACAACAACTATATGCATCTTCATCAAACTTGTATTAATTGCTTTTGATATTTTCGAGCAACAACCTTCTCCCCGGTACGAGCGGCAAGATAACAAATCTTAAAGAATATTATGAGTTAATGATGAGAATAACAATAATAGAAGACTTACACCCGTTATCAGAAAAATTAAAGCAACGATGGCAACTATGATGAGTTCAGTTAATGGCCAGTTACGAGTTTTATCAGAGATAACATCCTGAACATAATAAAATCAAATTTACTAATTAATTAGAATATTGATAAACATACCACCATATAATTGAAGTTTACGACTGTATCATTATTGAAATTTAGTTTGATAGATTGGAATGTTTGTTTTCCTCTAGTAGATACTTCTCCAGCAGCAACATCAAGCTGAAATTTTAATGAGAAAATGATCATATTCTAGAAAGTAAAAGGTATTACATGACTTGTAAGCTCATTTATCTGACCAGACAAATGCTCAATTTGAAATACAACTTTGTCAATCGTTGTATTTACTGTTGCCGGAACGAACGGAGGGATTCCCGTAGACGTATACGTAGACATTTACTGAATATATATTAAAAAGTTATTTTACAAATGTGCTCAAGGAAAGAAATGTTGAAAAGCAGGTACATATGCATTGAATCAATAATAGGAGAGAGGCTGGGACCCGTGGGCGATAGATGACTGTTTCTGCAAACACTGCACTATGCATTCTTACGATTCTCTCTTCATCACTCTCTCCCTCTTCCTTTCTCTCTATCTTCTACTCTCTCATACTCTCATTCTATCTACTAAATCTTTATCTTCCCAACCATTTTTTTATCTTTAACTATTTCTTTTACTCATACTGAGACAATCATAGCAATACCTTTTATTTCCAGCAGAGACTAACCTATAGTTCTACTTCAGCGTATGCCAACTGCCAAATGAAAACAACCATGACCAGACTGACAACTGTAATTATTGATAATCAATGAAAATAAGATTTCTATTAAATGATTTATGAAAATTGTTTTCACGAAGTTTAAATTTAATGATAGACACCACATTATTAATATCCGTATCCTCCGTATCCTCCATATCCTCTGTAACCTCCGTATCCGCTATAACGTCCGTATCCTCCATATCCACCGTATCCACCATAGCCTCCGTAGCCTCCGTAACCAGTGCCATTGTAGCCATAGTATGTTCCGTAATATCCATAATAAGTACCTATAGTTCTACTTCAGCGTATGCCAACTGCCAAATGAAAACAACCATGACCAGACTGACAACTGTATTTATTGATAATCAATGAAAATAAGATTTTTATTAAATGATTTATTAGAATTGTTTTCACGAAGTTTAAATTTAATGATAGACACTACGTTATTAATATCCGTATCCTCCGTATCCTCCATATCCTCCGTAACCTCCGTATCCGCCATAACCTCCGTATCCTCCATATCCACCGTATCCACCATAGCCTCCGTAGCCTCCGTAACCAGTGCCATTGTAGCCATAGTATGTTCCGTTATATCCATAATAAGTTCCGTTATATCCGTATCCTCCGTATCCTCCGTATCCTCCATATCCTCCATATCCTCCATATCCACCGTAGCCTCCGTAACCTCCATATCCACCATATCCTCCATAACCACCATAGTATTCTAGATGTTGAATAAATATTTTGAGAATAAAAGCATCAAATCATACGTCTTTTCTGTCGTCTCACATTGCCACCGACAGCAACATGAGGTGTTCTTGGGGTAGGATGAGGTGGATTGGCTGGTTGCCGAACAGTACGAGAATCCACAGATTGTAGAACAGCGAAGGAGATGAGCGCAACTGCTACTATTAAGAGCAAGTTATTCATTCTGTAAGAAGAATTGTTAGAGAAAGTTAAGCTGAAGCTGTGAGTGTTGAAAGTTCACGCTTCTGTCCTTATGTACTCTTCCGTTTTTTATTTGAACAATAAAGTTTTATTAATTTATTCATATATTTTAAAAAAATGTCTTCCAGTACAGCGGCTGAACACACATGACATCCGGTATGAACCTTTAACTGAAATTCAATTTCTCCCATTTGCAATTCAAACTGTTTTTTTGGCTGATAGGTTCACGAAAAAAATTTTTTTGAAACCTTATTTGCTTCGCCTTGTTAATTATGGAAAAAAGAAATCTGCAGCGTGATGAAGCCTGTAACACCACGTGAGAAACGTGAAAGTCATTAATCGCATTCTGACTCAAACGACAGTACAGAGCGGTTGTATCTAACATGTCTTCATTTATTTATTTTTTATTTGAAACTTCTCCTACATGTAATTCTCAAATGAAGAATCTTGTTCATTCCTTTCTCACAGATAAATTTTTTTATGTCTTTTCTGGTGTTGCGCTCTCATTTTGTTTCAGAAAAGTATCATTTGTCCAGACAACTATCTGTCGTTTTTCTGTCAAGTTGACCGTGTTCAATAGATGTTTTATTTGATGAATTATAGTGATAATTATCAAATGATAGTAAGAACAACGTTTCAAATTCAATTAGTGAGCTGTAAGAAGTCGGCAATTCAACCGGTTATGGTGTCTTGCGTCCATCCAAGATCGGTGTGTTTTCAAATTGTTTCAGGTAAACGTCGGTATTCAACAACCCCATTTTTTTGTCTTTCATTACCGTTTTTATCAAACATTTTTATCATGTCAAATGTGTTTTTCAATATTATTATTTTCCTGTGCAAATGAGGAAAGTTGCTGAGCTATACATGTTTGAGATGCGCTGATGTGTAAACCATCTGATATGCAAGGCTAATTCCTCTAAATTAACCTTTACTTTGCTGAATTGTTGGTGCAAGCTTAATTCGATAAGTATTTAGAACAACGATCAATAAAATCGAAATTTCTACCTGTTTCTTGTGTGAATGATCGTAAGGGGATAGCCCTAAAGTCCTTTGGAAGCACTAAAACTGAGAATAAGTTGTCTTGTTAATTTGATAATTAAATGTCTGATAATTATAAACTCAAAATTTAATATTTGATTTTATGAATTATTTCTCACACACCCAAATAAGGGAGAATTGTATTGTTGATAAACGCAGATAGCAAGGCTCTTGGAGGTGTCCTTATCTCTCAACAAGCTGCATCCTCGTTAGCCATACGCGTATAGTTGATTTCCGCTGTATTTTCAGTTTTGCCTCTACAGATTATTGCATCTGTTTGTCTTCTAAACAATTCATCTTTTTTTTCTCCTCTTTCTCCATTGAAATTGTTTTATTTTGAGAATACCATATTTCCAGCAATTCATCGTCAACATTCACCTTTTCATAACTCTCTATCTTTCATTACATCTTCCTGTTTTTATAGCTTCAGCTCAGGAAAAAAAGTTTTTTTTGACTTTCCCGTTAAAGTCAAAAATGCTTTGATCTGGATATACATGTAAGCCGAATAGGGTGTATGTGTGTGTTTTTTTCTTCCCAAAAAAAAAATTTCCTTTAATGTCATCGATCAGGAACGATATGATCGAAACGGCAACTAACACGATTATCAAGAACATCTTCATAGTTCCATGTGAATCATTTAAATATTTCTGAACCCTTTTTTATTATCATTCTGTTGAGAAATGTGAGAGGAGATATATATTTTTTTCCTTTTCAACGCATTTTTTGTACATTCCATCTTTATATTGTTTTGTAAGCGTCATCCACAAACCGTTTTCGCGACATAAGTCATCTAGAGAATCGATAGCCATATTACTAATCGACTGATTTTTAATATTATATCTATCGTCCTGATCATATTCGGGCAATCCAGAAAATACAAGCTGTAACTGTCAAAAATTAATTATTGATTAATACGCTGAACTTCTTTTTCAATTTCATAATGGCTCTTATCAAACAGTCTGTTAGAACGGTGATTGCAATTCGTTCGATTTCTACATGAACCATTTCGTACCTGCAAGAAGCTTTAGTTTCTTGCTTATGTCGCTCGTTACTAAGGCTGACTAGCCAGTCAAATGAATTATCTATTTTTTCCTTACACTCGTTCACAACTACAAGCCAAACAATATGACTTTTCAAGTTCTTTCAATGATTTAATTAATGCTTAAATCTGATATGTGAGTCTATTGTTCGTCCAATCAAAGTGACAAGTCTCATCTTCGTTCATTTTTTATTTTCATTTTGTTCATAAATTGTGTATCCTGTTCGTTAAGTTAATGAAAAACATCTTCATTTCATACTATTTCAGAAGATTATTTGATTTTCGCCGAAAATTTGAGTAGAAGACAGTCATGTCTCTCGATCAGGTAATCATAAATTACTTCACCACCTTCTTATTTGATAATAATTATTGTTAATCAAAATATTTTTTTCCTATTTTTATCATCTGAAATAGTTTTTATTTTAAAATTATAAATGTTCGTCCCTTAACTACTTAGATCATCTTTACAGACATTGGATAACCTTAATAGCACATTAACAAGGATTGCCGGATTATTACATACTGTTGAGATTGCTATTATAATAGTCGCCGTGGCATTAGCTATCTTAATGATAGGTAAGATTTCATATATGGAAATATTCAATTTATTCTTCCGGGTGTGAAAGAGAGAGAAAGAGCTCCGAATGTTTATGGAAGTTAAGACAAAACTTTTTTGAATCAAATGCAACCGATCACTGTCTTGCATGATGTATGAATGACGTGTGAGCTTGTCATAAACGGTCTACGTGGAATTCACGTAAACTTCTATAATTCTGAGAAAAATGATTTTGTAGTGAAAGATACATGTTTCAGGGTCGGTTGCAACTTGTTATTACGACAAATATAAAAAATATCATCAACTTCCTGTGGATAATACAAATCCGTCATATGAACGGAGTTCATTTCATTATAAGAACGTCAATGAAACAGCTTAAACGCCATACGGTATGCCATCATCATACGCCTCGCTTGCTCAAATTCTATTAATTAACGCTGCGTAAAAGAAATGCATAGATTTATTTATTTATATGAAATAAAATTACTTATTATACAATATAACAGCATTGATTAGCTTCACACATATGTAATGATGGACAATCGTCATCGTCTGCACATGGGCCAACAGCTCGCAAACCAGACGAACAGAGCTGAAGTTAATGGTTACTCTCTGATAAATATATGTATTCCCACCTTCAGAGGTGCTTCAGTTTCTGATTCATAATCATCTTCAGTAGAGCTTTCTGTCGTTTCAATTATTGGTGAAGGTGTTGTCTTAGCTGATTGGATTACTCTGTTGAACTCTTCGATTTCAATCGGATCAACCTTAATTGCAAAAGTTCAGAACTTTTAATATTACACGTATAATAGGCTTACGGAATCTATTATAGGGCGTTTTTCCTTCTCAATAGATTCTTCAGGTCTCTTAGTTCTCCTGCTCGGCACTGATGCTATTGTTACCTGAAAATCATAAAAATGAAATTCGAATTAAACTTTGATATACATCTCCATCAATAAGAGGTGCTTGTGTTGTAGTAGTTAATAATCCTACAAAGGGAGTTGTACAACATGCCCCATGAATACAAGTTCCACCTAGATCATTATCATATTCATTGTAGAAAACTTATTTTTAACCTAAGGCTATGCAAATCGAATCTTTATCCAAACGACATTGTCCGATATGGGCTCCACCATTCAGACACCGCAAAGGGCTACCAAAGCCTGTTCCTTGAGCTGGCTGAAGTATAATGCATAGAATTAATTATAAGGTGTTCGACTTACGTGAGTATTACCATTATTGTAGCCATCCCATCCACCATTGTTTTGTCCTCTACCCGTCCATAAACCATAAGCAGTAGGATAGCCAATTCCAACGTTGTTGTTGGGGAGAGGTTGGCCATAATCTACAAAAAAAAAGTTTTAAATTGCAATGAAAATCAGCTTACTTCCGTAGTTGTTCCAGCCCCATGAAAGGGCAAATTGAAAGCATATGAAAATGAGAAAAAAGGAGACGGGAGAACGCATGAAACCTCTGTTTCGAAAAGAATCAAACTAATTTCATTTATGAATGTCAAGCAATGTTTATTATTCTCGCATATTGTTTGCCTTGAACATTGAACCGGTCATATTAATATGTGAGCTTTGATAACAAAACAGCTCAGGATCATCTTTGTTCTTCTATAAGCTGACCGATATTAAGTTTGAAGATCAACGGGAACATAATTGAGATAGAATATTTGACTATCAGAAACTAGTCATTTGAAACCGTGCGAAGCCATCAACACATCCTCATGACTTTATCTAATTGCATATTCGAGCTCTTCCGTTCTTAAATATTTCAGAACTAGACTGATTTGGTTTTTTGTTAGTAGATCATATACGTCAATTAACATCCGCCGAAGATTATATATACAAAGAAGAAATTGAGTTTCAAATTACTCTTCGTTTCGGAATATTGAATTAGTGGCTGTCTCGCTCTCAAACAAAACGGCAAAAAGGATTGAGAACTGTTTCTTGGAGATGAGCTTCAATTGAAATTACCTGGATTCTATTGACTCGTAAAACTCAATTCTTGAACCCACTCTGCTCTAACTCCGCTTTCACTAATGAAATTTGGTTAATGCAGTTAGTTATATACAAGGAATGATTAACTTCCACAGACAGAGATCCGATTTATTAGAATTCTTCAAAGAAATGCCCTACAATAAGAGTTAATCAACAGCTTGAGTGGATATCAGATGTTGTCCTGCAGAGGCTGTACTTGTCAAGAAGTACCGCTTTTGAGAAAAACAGTCAAAACCATTTCTTTTGATTCTTGAATAGCTTAGATCAGAAGATCATTCGTGCTGTTTCGACAGTTGTTGACTGGTAAATTTTCTTAGAATGTTCTAGAAGTTGGATTAACTGACACTGTAACATTCCGGCTCCTAATGCTTTTCCAGTTGAAGATAACTAGGAGGAGTCTGAAATTCTTCAATTAATGGACAAATCTGCTCATGGATCGACAAACCCTTCAATTGTTGCTCTATTTCCATATGCTGAAGTTATCACCATAAAACCCAGGAAAGGATAAGGAAAGCTCTCAACGTCAATGAATCCATAATCAAGAAGAATCAATGTCCACAATAGTAACTGAGTGAATGAATGAATGAAGGAACGAATATTGCGACTTGTGTGCGAAGGAATTGACGAGTTCCCCTTCCGACTGTTGTTATACTATAATCAGATGAAAGATGATGCTCATGTTGAATCTGAGACAACTCACAGTCAGTCTAATCAGGACAACTGATGTTATTATATTTACGCATAATGTTGCTAGAAATATAAAACCATATAGGTAGAGTAGATCGTGTGAGAACTGAACACAAAAACCATCGGCTATTTCAAACTCATAATCTAAGACATCTAAACAGAGCTCAATCTGGCAGCCTATAAGTAATGCAGTTTTAGAAGTTTGGTACGAATGTGATGAAACCATGGGTTAACAATATAGCTAGTACTATGAATGATCCTATAAGTGGTGAGCAGGCAAAGATCTGAACGTTCGATTGTTTGCCTATCAGACGAATAGAGAATTCAAACCATAGAGTTTCTTTTAGTGAATACTAGATCGTATGATCTCCAGAAAACAATAACAGAAAATCGATTGAGTGCCAGAACAACCTCCGATCCCATTAAATAAATCGAAATGGAAAATGTGATTGGTAGGATGAAATCCGAATACAATGATTGTCGACTGAATATGCAAAGTTGGACAGTCAAGAAAATTTTTAGAAAACCTTATAACAGCCACATTGTAGGAATATAGACTGATGATAATTGCTGCGATGTTCATTATGGATCTCCATAAACAAAAAAAGTTATAACGACTACGGAATGATCTATCTCTCAAAAACTGTCTGATGAAAACACCATGAGAAACAATGCCAATCACATTGAGCTGTAAAAGTATATCATAAATAAATGTAAAGATGATAAATATGAAGACTAACGAAATATGCATATCCAAGAGCTGGATAATGGAACCACGGCGAGAACACGTCTTGCATTTGAGCTGAGCTCTAATTACGGCAGCCCGTAACAGCAGTTGCCACCTCTTTTTTTCCGACTATGCTATATGTATTAATCAAATTGTTTTTCGATCATTACTTCATGAAAAATATTTGCCTACAACAAAAGACCCGTAGTGTATTTTTCGATATTAACATATACTTGATGATTGGAAAGTTCCAACATCAGAGAGAAGGAGCGTAAAAAAAACCATATACAATTGTAGTTTTTATCGAGAATTACCTTTTTCGGATTTTCTTTTTTATTTCGTTTTGAAACTATTTTGCATTGCTGCTACAAATTAAAAAGATTCCTCGAATTGCTGAACAATCATCGAGGGTTGCAGAATGACTTCCAACTCTACTACTCTCGGTTCATAAAAAAATATTTATTTCTTTATAACAGGGAAAGAATCTATTCGCCAAGAACGATGATCTTTCGTTCGTTGTTTTAATTGAAATGATTCTCTTTCCAAATATAACAACAGTCGTTTGCATGTCTACTTCTATTGTTCTCTCACCTTTGCACGTTAAGACGTTGGACATCAGAGTACCTCACCAATGTCCTTCTCCTACATTTAAGACTTTCAACCTTTGTTATTATGATTATAGATGCTTCGAAAACCTTTATCTGTTTGACGAATACTGAGCTCTGTTATTAAGTATCTCCTCTAACATGGATCTCAGACTGTGAAACCTTGTAGTTTGTGTTTTTGATTACGCTTACGAAAAAGCTCGTGTCAATTTGTCTACTCGTGACTGGTCAACTAAAAAAGGTATAATCATCATAGAACACAGGTTGGTATCAAAAAACCTGTTAGTGAAATATAAAAGAAAATAAATTTTATTTTGACTCATTCGAACTTCCTTCAACGAAAATAAAATTATGCCATCCTTTCATAATCCGACCAGTTTTGATCGAACAATTTTCTCCAAATAGTTTGAACCTTGCTTAATACTCCGTTTATTGCAATTAGCTATCCTCATTCCAACTTCCTTATTTTACAAGAGTCATTTCTTTTGCAGATAAGCAGTTCACAGCAGCAAAAATTGAAATGCGGACATTACTGTTTCTCAGCTTCGTATTTTTCTGCTCACAAGTATCAGCATACTACTACTCAGGTATACTTCCGCTTACTAATTGATTTCTTAAATCGAAGTTCCAGGTTACGGCCCCACGGTACTGGTTTCTTGATCATTCAGATCTTTAATATCTTATTTTGTTTTTTTTTAGTATGGTTATGATAGCACGTATGCCTACCCATCCTATTCATACTATCCATCTTATAACTCTTATTATGCACCCAGTCTTGGTTCAGGATCGTATTGGGCAGCTGGTGGTGGCCTAGTAGGCAATGTCGTTTCATTCTTCATTGGATAATGCATTTCAAAACCTCACAAACGTTTTATTGTAAACATGTACATTGTGTAATTGATTCATGTGAATATGAAAATAATCTTTAACATTCTCCTCTGTTGTGATAAAGGAAATTGGAATCTCCTGATCCTCCATCAATTAATGGACTTAATGAGAGAGCGCAAATTTCCTTTTCGCTAAAACATATGGCAATTAACGATGTATAGTCAGGTAAAGAGCATTGAACTTAGTAGTTTTGAGATAAAAAAGAATAAACTTACGAGTTATAAGCTACTGATTGACATTTCTTTCCTCTCAAACATCTCCAGCATAACCTACAGATATCAGTACATTGCTCCAAAGAGTATGCTTTGCTTATTCTCGATTCTTCAAATCTTCTGGCAGGTTTCACTTCTCTGCAAATCAATGATCATATTGTTCTTCTTCCTGTTTTCCTTACGTGAAACACGTGCGAATGCGCTCGTCTTTCAACCTTCTGCTATAACTTGACGAACTTTTCAAAGTCTGCACTACGGCAGCTTCAGGTGCAATAGAAGTGGATGATACTTCAACAGCATAAGAGTCAACAACCTTAAATTATAACATTATTATAGTGCATGGAAACGTTTTTATATAAGTACTTTTGGATCTATAGATGGTATTGAGATTGGGGTACTTGCCAGCATAGCTTCCTGCTTATGATCGAGAATGTCATTTGAAGGCGAATCATATCCAGATTGTTCCAATGGGGCCACCTCAAAAATAAATAAGTTATATCTCATTCAGCTCAAATTTTTCTCATTAGCCTACATGTGGAGAACGATTTATATAGGTTTCATTTCTAAATTCAATTAGCGCTCGATCGGTTGAGTTGCCACGAGACACAACAAGTAGTTTCATGATAACAATAAAAAAAAAGAACTGAAACCATAAAAAACTTACCGTTGTTGCTCTCAACAAAGGATTTTTACTGGTTAAAATCTTCCCGAGGGATAATTTCGTATTTTCTGATAACTTCTGAAAAGGAAGATCGGATATCAACTCAAGAAAGATCTTTTCCTCACGTCAGTATCTCCAACCGATTGTGAGTTGACAGTATTCTTCTTATTTTTATTGATCTAAATAAGAGAAAAAGGTATATGTTTTGTTCTTGTTACTTCACCTCCACTTTCTTCACTTCGTTCTGCCTCATGGGTTTTGGTCCCAAACATACATTCTCTATATAAACAGCATTGTCATCATCGATAAACAAGTCAGGAATATCATGACGTGATTGAGATGCCAAAATACACTCCTGAATGATTTCGAAACATATGAAGAAAGTTAGACAGAAGTTTCACTTTTTCTTTTTCATAATAGGCTGCACTCTTACAAACAACTTCGAACCTCTCCTGGCTTTTTTGACAAGCCTTTTGGCATAATTCGATAGTGTCTATATCTTGAATGAGTTGGTCGACAATACCAATTAGTATCTGAAAAATATGTTGACACAATGTGGTAAGAAAGAGCAAAAACATAAAAATACCTTTCCTTTTGTTTGTTCATAACAGTTATCAATAAAAAGGCTTTCGTCTCGGAGAATAGCAACACTTGGCTTATCTGCATAGGGTTGTTAATCTCTTTCAACGATTGTACATTACCATAGCAGAAACGCTCAAAATAGCTGGTATCTCCAAGACTGATATCTAATCTACCTCCCCCACTTCGATCTTTACTGTTCAATTGACAAAGTCCATTTTTTGTGGAATATGAGAAAGATCTGATAAAGGTTTGGAAGTCTGTCAATTATATTTTCTCACCTGCATCTCTCTTTCTCCAATTCTAAGCAAGCTGTTCTACATTGAGGCAATGATAGCTCGTCAAGAATCAAAATGGAACTGCCGCTCAGTACACGACCGGGCACTTCGTTGAAACATTCCGGTATAGCTTGGATTAACGGTACCAGAAGCAGTGAGAGAAACAAGTGAATCATTGGAACTATGAAATAAAAACGGTTCGTCAGCAAAAAACGAATAAAAAAGAAGAGAATGAAATCTGAAATCACAAGAATATGAGATCTTCTATATGTGTGAAAAAAAATCCGGATGTTTTGAAGCATAGGCAAATAGCCTTAAAAGACTCGCCACCTTGAACAGTACAGTCCGGATTACAGTTGTCTAATGTAAACAGAAACATGAATAGACTTCATTGAAGGTCACTACTATTGTGTCTGAAGAAGATTCAGACGTTTTTTCCTATTCTTCTAGCTCTACATCAGAGTATAATCAAAAATTTCCTTGAGAAATTTGAAAGCCATCAAAAGAAGCTGTGAGGTTTCGGCACATTCGTGACCTTCCGCTAATGGCAGCCCGAAGTTTGAAACGACGAGAAAAGTTGGCAAATAATTAGACAGTTTTATTCGTCTTCTATCCGTACACATTTTTACATTCTAAACTATTTTTGTAACCAACAACAAACTCTAAGGAGCTACGAAAAGAAAACATGTTTATATTAAAAAAATACATGTTAGATATATAGTACCCTAAGAGTGTCTATGCATGAGCGTGAAGAGCCGGAACCTCACTGTATGGATCCTCCTGAATAAAAGCCATTTTTCATGGATATATTTGAAAAATTACCTTCGCTCGGAGAGCAGCTTTGCGAGCTTGAGCCATGCTGGATGAATTACGGGTGACTACGTTAGTGATATAGAAGTCTGCTAATTCTTTTTGTTTGGGAACAACTGAAACATCGACTGGTCCTGGTTGAGATAACTCCAAAGCCTGCTTGAAGTAACCAGGCTGCTCAATCTCGTTGTAACGGACAAGGTGAGGAGCAATCTGAGAGAAAAGTTTGCATACACTAGATCGATTTTAATTACCTCAGTCATTCTCATCCTAAGATCTGCGAGAGAATCGTAGGGGAGAGATTTGCCTGCTACTTCGGAAATAGCACGGATGATTTTCCAATCTTCACGAGCATCGCCTGGTGGTGTAACAGCAGGAAGAGTTCTTAAGTAAAGAATCAGTTAGAGAAACATTTTGATTTGGTACCTTTGTGATCTTCCTTCAGTATTAACAAAAGTGGCTTCTTTCTCTGTGTAAGCAGCTCCGGGAAGAATAACATCAGCGATTTCTGCTCCAGCATCACCAGAGTGTCCTTGGTATACAACAAATGCTCCAGGATCAAGGTTGTTTCTTGTCACTTTTCCTTCATCAGCTCCTAAGAGGTACAAAAACTTAACTGGCTTCTTGCGAAGAGCAGCAGTTCCAGCCTGTTTGATAATTATTGATTCACAAATTCAACGCCGAAATACCTGATAACCAACGTCGAGAGCACCGACTTGGCCGGCCCATTGATGTAATACATTGACAACCTTCGAGGAAGCATTGCCGGATCGGGCTTTAGCAGCCTTAATTAAAACGTTAGGATCATTAGAAAAGCTGGAAACGTACTAATTCTTGAACAGCGGTCAAAACGGCAGATCCCTTCTCTCCTTGAAGGACAGAAGATCCAACAATGATCATTGGGTTCTTAGCGGCGAGGAATTTCTGAAACAAAGATGGTCATTCAAAAGTGTAAAGCTTAAACACAGAAGATGTAGAATCAAACAAAATCAAACCTTAGCGAACTCAGATTTTCCAGAAGCAACATCAGACAGAGCCTTAGCATTATCACCAAGGAACTCGAAATCGTATGTCAAGTCTGTGTTTCCTCCAATCACACCAACTTCAATATCAGAGTAGAGATATCTGAACATACACAATCAACGATGAAATGCTGTGAAAAAACACTTACGCTTTACGGATTCTTGCGTTGAGGACGGGAGCTTCGAAACGAGGATTGGTTCCAACGAGAAGAAGAGCATCACAGTTTTCAATACCAACAATTGCATCGTTCATGACATAGTTCGATCTTCAAAGTATACTATGAAATTTTAATACATGGAGAATATGTACCTGAGATCAGTTCCACCAGAGCTAACAGGGAACTCCTCTTCGGTGCAAAGGTTTTCACTGTTGAATTTATTGAAAAGATCTTTAAGGGCAACCATAGCTTCTACAATGCAGAGAGAACAGCATGTGATATAGAACTCTTTGCACCCTACCGACATCAGAAAGTCCTCCAACAACAGCAGCTTTAAGTTCAGCAGGAGTATCTCTCATTCTTTGGGCGACGACGAACAGAGCTTCTTCCCAAGTAGCAGGCCTGAAATGATCATTAAACGTCTTCATACTTCCACATTTGATAATCACTTGAGGGTTCCATCAGTATCCTTGATCATTGGAGTGAGAAGACGTTGTGTTTTTAATCCATCAATAGCAAATCTTGTTCTATCAGAAATCCATTCCTCATTGATATCCTAAAAATGTATTTATACAGAGTCGGATTGTTGTTCAATTACATCGTTCATTTTTGGGATGACACGGAGGAGGTCGCCAGTGCGATGAGAAAGAACTATGTTAGATCCAGTGGCATCCATAACATCGACACTTTCAGTCTTACGAGTTTCCCATGGACGAGCGGTAAAACTGGAAACAAATTATAGAAATAATTAAAAGCGAAAAGCATACGCATATTGCTTGCTGGTGAGAGCTCCTACTGGGCAAATATCGATGATGTTACCAGAAAGTTCAGAATGGAAGAACTTCTCGACGTAAGTACCGATTTGAAGATCAACTCCTCTACCGGTAGTTCCGAAATCTGGGAAAGCAGCTACTTCATTCGCGAAACGAACACATCTTGTGCATTGAATGCAACGAGTCATCACAGTTTTTACAAGTGGGCCGATATTCTTGTCTTCAACAGCGCTGAATTTCAAAAATTCAAATCCGTTTTTGAATGATTTCCTACCGTTTTCCATCGTGTCCACAGTGAAGACGTCCACGATCACTTCCGAAAGCAACAGATTGATCTTGTAAATCACATTCTCCTCCTTGGTCACAAATTGGGCAATCAAGAGGGTGGTTGTTGAGTAAAAATTCCATAACTCCTTCACGAGCTTTTCGCACGAAATCAGAGTTGGTTTTCACTTTCATTCCCTTCATGACTGGCATGGCACAGGAAGCAACAGGCTATATGAACAAAATAGAAAAGAATAAGAGAGAAAGAGTACCTTCATGCTTTTCTCGACTTCAACCAAACACATACGGCAGTTACCGGCAATGGAAAGGCGGTCATGATAACAGAATCTTGGAATATCAACACCAACAAGAGCACAAGCCTAAGGTATTATTTTGAGCGAAAAAATTGATGAATAAGATTACTTGAAGAATAGTGAGTCCGGGATCAACCAGAACCTTCTTGTCATCAATGAAGACTTCGATCTTCTCAGGAGCTGCGTTGGATTGGGCTCGGGCTCCAATGCGACTCCGCCGAGTAGCACGGGCCAAAGTGGACCCAATTCGCTGCATTCTGAACCCAAACTAGAAACAAACTTGAAGAGAAACAAATGAAATGTAAAGAGGTAATGAATGGACTAAACCATTGAAGAGAGAAACGTGAATAAAATTAATAAATTATGCTGGATAAATTAAAAATCCTTATACCCTTTTGTACAAAAATTATCACAGATAGCCGAATGTTAAATACCATTAAATATATAATTAGTGTTACAAATGATTAGACAATAAATCATCTGAAGCAACTCTAATATTAGGATTTGCCATGGGATCGAGGAGAGGGTCATATTCAGAAGAAACACCACTTCGAGAAAGCAGGGTATACACAGTGAGAAGTACAATCAGAACGAATATGCAAAGAACTGCGAACTTCTTGGGACCTGATATACCACGAGGAGCAGCACTGCCATACTTCGCCCTATGATATATATGAAGTATTTTATTATTCAAGACTAGATAATTTTACCTCCATAACCCTCCAAGCCATTCTCGAACTGGGCGTCTTTTATATTTATTAGCTTCGCTATCAACATCTCTTTCTGAGTTTAAAAGAGGCTGCGTGTCGGCGCCGGCACCTCCGTATTTTTTCCTGGCTGCAAAAGAATTGAATAAGAGCAGTTTCCTGAGATGAATAATACCAGTAAACGTAACTTCGTCATTTGCTTGTGTGAATCGAACGTCATCGATCTCGAGAGCGGTGGCAGGAGTTGCAGTTCTAAAAAAATATGTATTTCCACTAAATTGAAAAAAATATACCTAAAGCTGTTAGTTTGTGGGGGTTCATAAACTTGATGTGAAACTCCTCCGCTTGGAGGTTTTGGCAAAGATGGGGGAGCCTCATCACGGCTTTTAGATGAGGAACTAACTAGAGTGGCAAACGGTACAGCAGCTTTTTGCAACTCCGGTAGCTGAACAATTTGAGTAACAAATTCATTACTCTAATGAAAAATCACCACTGGAAGTCCTAATCCTGCTCTAGCCCAGTTAGTCTTTTCTAAGTAAGTGCGAAGTTGGTCTATGACACGAGAAACTTGATTCGAGTCAGGGAAAAGAGTTTCTCTAGAAAAACATATTGATTCATAGAAAAAAAACACTGATATTTTACAAACCTGCAACATGGACAATAATAACCTGCTGGAGCAGTAGTAGCAGGGAATCTACTCGCCCAAGCATCCAAGCAAGACCAATGAAACACGTCTAAAACAAAGCTTAAGAAAATTCAATTGGTTTATAAACTTACGTAGGCATTGTAAACGTACAGTTTCTGCAGCGTTTAGAGGATTTTCACAGAGAGTACAATTTGAATCAAAATCAGAATCAGTTAGCCATTGAAGATAACTTTGAACGACACACTAAATGAACGGTTCATATGAGCTTGTATATGAACAACTTACACTGCCATGATTCTCTACAAGACAATGTTCACAGACGTTCACTCGATGCTCAAAACAGAATAAATTTGTTACTTTTTTCTTCGGACATTTACATAGTCCCATCTATAAAATAAAGCTGAATGATAAGAAGATATTTTCATTTGAACTCAAGAAGAAACATCAGTAAAAAAACCTTTAACACCGTTCATTAGAAGGCTAGTACAACTGTATTTGGGATAAGGACCAATATGTTAGCTATGCTATTCGTTAATTATAATATTTAATTTCATATAATTGTAACAAACATCTGTTTCTCAAGTTAAAATCTTATAAGCACGACAATACGTAGCGAGCATCTCACTGATGGATGTCACTTGGACAAGGCGGATCGCGTCGAGACCATTTAAAAGTTTTCAATGCATTGAAAAAGATGAGTGTCACTAGTTCGATGCTAAACTTCATGTAATCGGTTGTATTAATGCTGTGCTTTTATTCTGAGTTTATCAAGCTTTCTTTTCAATATTAAAAACTTGTCAATTATTTAAATTGAAACAACATGAAAAGAAAGTCCGCTTTCTAATCAATTTTTTTCTAGATTGTCAAGTCAATATCTTAATTTATTCATAATCTTTCTTTTCCATTTCGTGTGCGTGAGTGTGAAAGCGATCCTGGCATATTTGAAAACGGCTATCGCAAGGTCATCACTTTTCTTTGTTTCACTTATTTCTTTCAATTATCTTCTGGTTTTTGATTTAATATAAACCTGCCATTAAGAAATTCTCTCTCCTTATTATGCAATTCTTTCCAAATATGTGGGCTAATATAGACAAGCCACAAAGCAGCTTCCCGGATCAGATAAGTGAGCGACTCGTTTTCCATCGCGCAATAGTGCGGGGTAAACATCTGATTGCGTGAACCAGCCTGTCGCCTGGGGCTATGACTTTTCTTCTGCATTGCTACCTTTGTTGACTTTTTGACACGGCATAGTAGTGCTTGCTCATTCGACTTGACGTGTTCTTGTCCTCTGTTCCTTGTAAAAGAAACATTATAATTCCCTATGGTTGTTACTTAATAGCAGAACCAGTGTTCCAGTAAGTTTTTTCTCTTTTTTTCTGTTTTGTTTTTTTACCTGCTTCTGTCTAGAGATGCTACCTGAAAACAACTTATCATCTCATCGTCCTAATATTCCTCGAAGCATACGACCACCTGATAGTAGTCCTCCATTATTGCAGGTAGTCTTACTTTCATACCGTTTCAAATATGCCAGTACATGTTGCACCCGTGAGCGAGAAGATTCCTCTTATTTCCTCATCATTCTACTTCTCTTTAATTTCAATTTTTCATATTTGCTTATTTCACTTATTTCACTTCTTGATTGACTTTTCACATTTGTTTAGCATTATGACAGAACGTAAGCGAGTTCATACCCGGTGGAATCATAGGTAAAGTTAGGTGGAACAGCAAAGTATATCGTATTGAACTTAGTGTAAAACAAAAATGTGTAGAAGGTGGCCTTTCTGGACTTTTAGTTACTTGTGACGGTCTGGAAAAACAGGCGCTTGCTGAAATGTACAATCTAATTGATTCCATTTTGGATGGAGAACAATGTTTGACTTTTTTGCATTTGAAAGGACTTTTGTGCCTCTTTAGCTAGTGACAAGCCGACTAATGTAGATGAATCAGCAGATAGTGGTGATGAAGATATCGCTGATTCCATAAAACGAATCTGTAACGATACCAGAGATAATAAAACAAAACTGAGACGTTGTAAACAAAGACCCACTGGAGTCAAGAATTGTCTTTTTGTCACAGTAGAGGGTTGTTTGTCGCAACCAAAACTGACTTAATATAGTTTTCTCAGGAGTTGACATATTAGATTTGGCCGAGAAACTTGTCGTAAAAGCTCAGAAAACCCCATGCTGTCGGCATTTACAGGCACAGTCTAATAGGAATTAAGATCTTTTGTAAATAAGTTTGTAATGTTCCAGCGTGTACTTCCGGTGGAACAAACAGCATCAGTTGATTTAAAGAAGTTATCTGAAATGATCTCTACAGTAGGAAGAATTTTCGTTTCTTTCCTTACTTCCATATTTAAGTGTGTCTCTAAACATATGAAACAAAAAGAAGACGGCACTTACCCCTCTTACGCATTAGAATTCAAGGTATTCGTTGAGAGAGAAATGTTCTAATCTGCCAAATTATGTTAGAATAGGAATAATGACTCCGTAAAGAAGGTAGAAGTATTGGAAATGTTAAATGACGCCATATCCGCTATTGCCCCGAGTGCTAAAGTAAACTTGACTGGTTCGTTGTGTGACCTTTAGAACAAAAGTTAAAACTTTGGTTTGAAGGTGCCGAAGTTCTATTTTATATTCAAGTTGTAAGAAAAACCATGATGGTCGCTGGAATTAAGAATTTTTACGGGTTACGCAAGTATAGTATGCGTCCAGCAGCAGACCAAAAGAAGGAGGCTGAGACTGAGGCATAAAAATGTTGTTATTGTTGAGTAGTTGTTATTACCGTTATAACGTATAAAGTGTTGATTTTTTCATTCTAAAAGTATGGAAATCAGTGGATGTTCCATCCTATTCAATATCTTTTTTATCCCGTTGAGATAGTCTTGTCGAAGCGCTTCTTGTTTTGTTTACGTGACCGGTTCTTTTAAGTGTCTGTCATCATTTGGCTGCGGCACGAGCAAGTAGTGCTTCTAGTTCCAACTTTAACTCGCAAACTTAGCCTGAACTTTTCTCTCTCATGTCTAATCAGAATTTTTTCTAGTTTCATACAACTACTGATTGATTTTGCCATCTGGTAGTCTTAGAAATACACTAATGCTTGTTCTATTTTAAGCACCAGCTCTATTTATCGATCCCTCTCATTTAGCTTAATAATTGTCATGCCCCTGTCCATGGTCGTACTTGCATTCTCCTCATAATTGCTCGATTCTCCTGAATATTTAATTTCGTCAATTATCTAATTCTTCAAGAATTCTGTTTTTTTCCATCAAAAATAGTTTTTTTTCAAATTGCAGCGTCGAAGTTACCGTTGGTCTGCGTCTTCTCCAAGTCGCCTAAATAATTGGGATACTTCTACCGTGTTTTCACACCCACTTCAAGCTCAAAATCGTAATAAGTTCTATGCTGAAACCCACCCAGGTCCAGTTACACGTAAAGGTAGTTCGAAGCCTCTTTCTTTTTGACTTTTCTCTCCTTGCAGGTGTTTCTTCGGGTTTGATGTGGAGTACATCAGTTATTCCTCACATAAATAACGACTCTCCTGATAGTAGTGAGTGATTTCCTTGTCTCGCAAATAGTTTTTTTTTCTCACAGGAGAATGTTCCGACGTTATCATTTTTGATTCTCCTGCCTCCTCCAGTCACAAGAATAAAGGTAGTTTTATGGAATTTTTTCCCTTTCATCAAATACAACCGCTTAAAACGTTTCGCACTTTCAAAATGAAACCAACAGCGTTCTTCTATTTTCGTCTTACAGATATCATGAATGAATCTACTGAGTTCTCCTTATATTCTGATCCTAGTCATTCATCCAGTCTACTTTCAAATTTTGCTACTCTAAGAGAAGACAATAGTTTGTGTGACATTGAGCTAGTGGTATGCGATATTTTACGATTCTTAATACTGATTGATCTTTTTCAGGCGGAAGGTTTTAGCATTATGGCTCATAAATGTGTTTTGGCCGCGACCATTCCTTATTTTAGAGTAATGTTCTCAGGAAAAATGATCGAGTCTCGTATGAACAGCATTACAATGAATGTGAGTTCTGATGCTCTTTACGAATTTAAATTTTGTATCTTCAGGATATTCATCATGGTGCACTGAAAGTTCTGGTCGATTATGTATATACGAATCAAATTCGCATTGATAGTGAAAATGTACAAAATATTTTATTTGCGGCTTCCATTCTTCAGGTATTGGCTAAGTGTTCATGCTTCAATATGATATACTCCTAGATGGACAGCGTTTGCATTGCTTGCCAGAAATTCCTATCAAGGTTTTTAACAACAAATAATTGTCTTTCAATCCGTCAATTCGCCGAAAGGCATAATTGTACTGATTTACTGGAAAGTACTCAAGCCTTTGCTGTTGACCATTTTTCTGTAAGTGTGAAGCAGCAATAGAGTTTTCCAAGTATTATGTTTCAGGAACTTCGAGCCAGTGAAGAGTTCTTAGCTATTCCTTTCAATCAATTGAGAGATCTGATATCAAGTGATACACTTTTGGTGAGAAGTGAAGAAGAAGTAAAATTGTTTTTGAGTTCTATCATTAATTGATTATTACTAAGGTTTTCGAAGCTATAATGTTATGGGTCAATCATGATATCAGTAATCGAGAGAAATACTTATTTGAGCTTATTACTCATATTCGTTTCTCACAGATTAACGTCAAATATTTTAAGGCCATGATAAGAAAATACACATTTTTTTCCGTAAGTGTTTGCTGCTCTGTTATTTCTTCAAATTGGATTTAGGATGATGTCCGATGTCGAGATCTTGTTTCTGAAGCCGCTCTCGATATGCTCTTCCCCAGTGAATCATACCTTCCTCCTACACGAGAAATAATGTACCCAGAAAATATTGACCATTATTCAGTTGTTCCTTCAGTAGGGAAAATCACTAACGGCATTTATCTTGAACTGTGTGTTTCAGACCAGTTCGAAACCTTCTGTTGTACCATCGGAAAGAAAACTTACTCCAAGAAAAGCTCTAACCGGAGTAATATTCTGTGCTGGGGGGAGAGGTTAGCAAAATGCGTTCGACTTTATCACATCAATTTTGTAGGAACCGTAGGGGTACCATTCCGATCAGTAGAAGCCTATGACTGGAGAAGAAACATATGGATTCCTGTTCCTGAAATGATCCAACCAAGGAGACATGTTGGTGTAGTTGGTGCACATGGAAAATTGTATGATTCAAAGTATGTAATATTGCTATATATATTGTTTTTTTAGGTACGCTATTGGAGGTCATGATGGACAAGCTCATTTAGCAACAGCAGAAGTTTTCGATCCAGCCTTGGGTTGCTGGAAATCTGTAGCGCCTATGAAAACTAGTAGACGGTAGTACCAGTAGCTCTTAGCAGCTTAACCAAGTAAATTTAGGGGTATTGCTGCTGCTGCTATTGATGGAGCCATCTATGCCGTAGGAGGATTAGATGATCACACTTGCTTCCCAGTGCGTTCTCATATGCTGTTTAATCTTGAATAATCCATATTTAGAATGTTGAGCGATATGACATTGAGCTGAATCAATGGACTGCTGTCGCTTCAATGTGCACTCATCGAGGAGGAGTTGGAGTTACTACTTATCGTGAGTGAAAGATAATCTCCTTCAACAATTTAAAATTTGAAGAGACTTATCTTTTTGCCATCGGTGGTAATGATGGGACACATTCATTGGACTCTTGTGAATGCTATGATCCAGTTCTGAACAAGTGGAAAATGCTCAAACATATGTTTAATAGGAGGTTGTGAAAGCTTTCATAGTGGAAACTGATACAGTATTTTAGGGCTGGAGCAGGAGTTGCTGTTCTTGACGGATTCCTCTATGCTGTTGGTGGTTTTGATGATAATTCTCCACTAGCAACTTGTGAACGTTATGATTTATTGAATAATCAATGGGAAATTCTGTCAAACATGACTACTCCCAGAGGTTAGACCACTTCAGACATTTTTCCACTTCAAATTCTTTTAAGGAGGTGTCGGAGTGGCTTCTATGGGTGGTTTCTTATATGCCATTGGAGGTCATGATGGCTTAAGATATTTAAACACAGTGGAACGTTTTGATCCTGTTTCAAACACTTGGTCACCTGTAGCCGATATCCGTGAATGTCGAGCTGGTGCTGGAGTAGCTTGGGCTTCCGTCAGGTTCGTATTTGATTTTTGACAGTACAGACAAATCGTATTTCCAGCGTCAGAGAGTTAGAAATATCAGTGAAAGACTGTCAGTCGAGTCCTTTTGAAGCTGGTCAATGTATATAACACTTAATTTAGTAGGGCTGACAATCTCATGTATTTACATTTTTGTGCCAAGTTGAAAGAATTGTACCCAAGCTTGTCCATTTTTCTAATTAGGATTATTTGTTCCAACTTCAACTCATGCTTTGCAGGTTTAATCTTCGGTGCGTTCGTTAGATTTTTTGATTTTCAAATGTTTCATATTTTTAAAAATAAATGAAATATGTTCTCACTGAATTCTTATTCCAAGGGATGTTTTTGGAGATCGAGGGCGGCGCATGACTAAACTGCCAATTTTGGATGTGCATAATTGGCTTCTTTTGTTTGGTGCTATAGAAATTTTTTTCTTGTGGTTTTATATGTTATATTATACATTGTCTTAACACACCATACTTCTCTTTTAATCTTACGAATATCTTTCGGAGCGTGGTAAAGTGTTGGGTGTGATATCATATGATTGAGGATATGCATTATGGGATAGCACAAAGTATCTCCAAATGATAAGATGGAAATAATTCCACGATGAACAAGATGGAAATACTGAACGACAAATTCAAATCTACGCCTCTGAATTCGAGAATAATCCGTAAAATACGAAAAACAGTTGGCGATTAATGGTATGAAACAGACACTTGTGACTTCTCCACAAGGATTTGGACTATGAAGTTGTAGTTTCGTTTTTGTTCCCAAGAAGAAGCAAAATTGAATCTATTGAGACAAATAGTGAAAAACCCTGTTGTTTCTTGCTTCACTTCATATTTTTTTCACTTCGATATTCTGTTTTTTGAAGAAAACACTTCTAGACTTCTTAGTTGATCTGGAGTTGTTGCTCAAAGCGGCTAAAACTGCAGTATACAGAAGAACTGTCCATATGTAGTCAATTCCTTTCCGAATTGGTCATTCATTCATACCTCTTTTGTACTTACCTCTTCCTCATTTTATGCTCTCTACATCTCATTCTATGGCGTTTTCAAACAGCATTCGCATCAGTTCATTTCCTTGGTAATTGTCAATAAGGAGCTATTTCTTGTTCCTTACATTCTTCATTCCCTCTATCTTTCTCTCTGTAATGCTCTTACTTCATTTGTATGTTCATTGCTATCTTCTTTCCCTCTCACAGGAACTCTTTTTCCACTCTTCTTCCTAAAGCTAATTTTCATATTACCACCCTCCTCTTCCCTCTCTCTCTCTCTCCTCTTCTTTCTCTCTCTTCAGCTCTCTTTCAATCTACATCTTATTCTCTTCTTTTGCACTACTGCTAGCTATTTTATCTGAAGAAAGTAACTCTTTTGATCACTTATAACCTGATGTCACCCGAATCTTCCATAAGTTCATCAGGCTCCCCATCCTTTTCTTTTCTTCCCCTTTCCCAGCTTAACCCTGGCGATCTTTCACCTTCCTTTTTCGTCATTCGTTTTCTTCGCATTATTATTCATCTTCCAATCATCTTCTGTTGCTTAACTTTTCCATTTGGCTTCTAGCCAATTTTCGCACCAAGTGAAAATTAGAAAATGACTTTCATTACTAGTTTGAACGTTTGTGCTTCACTTTCTCATTTTCGTTTGCATATTAAACTGCCTCAGGCATATTCATAATGCAGTCGAGTGCTAATTACCTCTAAACTCATACATTCCGACGGATATTTTGCAACTAAATTACAGAATATTTTCTTGTTTTTCTGTTGATCTTGACTTTTCCTTTCCTGTTTCATCATTTTGAACCTCTTCCTCTCAATTTTACTTGCTCATTCACTCTTTTCTGTCGGCATCTTCTACTTCTCTACATCAATTCAAAGCTTTTCGTTGTTCCCATCCGCATTTCGAATTGGCATCAGAAATCATAGATAATACATAATCATAATAATGAAAACGTATTCAGAAATGTCTCCACGTGCTCATTCCTCTTGAAGACTTTCAGGGTTCAGTATGACAAATCTAGAAACTGAAGACATAACTGTTATTCGGTTCACAGTGCCGTCATCTGACGATCCTTCAAACGAAAGATCTCCTACAACAGCTTCGTCAGCTATATTTCAACTTCGTTTAGGATTATGTATTGCTTTTTTACTCATAGCCATCGGCTTATATCTTATACTCATTCATCCTATGGCGACTGATAATGTCCCTTTCGGTTCCGGGATTGAAAACAAACTGGACATCACACTAAATACAGAAAAGGAAAAAGAGAATGAATATGATATAGCTTATGGGTATCTCAATGATACACGTGATCGACATCAAATTCCTCTTTTTAATTTACCACTTATTTATAAATTGGAATTTAAGTTTTTTCTTCCTTGGAAGAGGTCCGTTTGCACCAATCTCGCTCCAATCAGCCTTCTCTCGCGCTTTCTTTCAGTTCCATCAACTTTGGAGATCAGAATTACTTAATGATTGGGAAATCTCAAATGATTTTTACTGTTGCGAAAACAAATAAACGGGTGCAGGTTAGGTATTTCCCTATTCACATAAGACTAACGTGGAACTCGGACGTTTCCACGTGCATCTAAAACTCTTTCACGTGGATGGCATACGATCCAAAAATCATTTCAATCTGTCTATAGCATAGAACGGTTGATTGCTTCTGTTCACAGCACATATTCACCTTTCAGGTACATACATTAGATCTTCATATCGGCGAAGTCAGAGTGGAGGATGATATCGGCAGAGTTGTCCCAGTAGAAGAGGTATGCTTCACAGTGACTTTGCCACAATTTCGAAAAATTCCAAGATAAACCGAGATTCTCCACACGTGTTAGATATCTATACAACTAATATGTTAGTGGAAAATATGAATTATACGCTTCACGTTAGTTTTACTGGAAAAGTTAGTCGACAAAAACGAGTAGGAATTTTTTCGTCACAATATACTGCTCGTGGCGAAGAAAGGTGTGTGTTGTTCGCAAAACAATATACAACGTGATGTTTCTTAAGGCATTTAATATCCACTCATTGCCAAACGCAACATGCTCGCAGTGTATTTCCATGTATTGATAATCCTGAGGCAAAAGCTCGCTTTCAAGTAAAAGTTATTCATCCTTATGGAACATCAGCTGTTAGTAATGGAATGGAAAGTAATATAACTACAGAAGGGTATGACAAATTGTTTTTTTTCAATTTTTTTGTCAAAGACAAATATATTTTTATACATTATTGTAGGGATTGGACTACTACTTTTTTTGAATCAAGCCCCGTGATGTCAACATATCTTTTTGCTTTGGCTGTGAGTGATTATGCATTCTTGGAAACCATGCGTAATGGAGTTCGAGTAAATTTGATAAGAGCTATATAATGAAAGCTTTTTTTCCTATTTAAGCTGCGAGTGTATGTTCCAAGTACAAATGTAGAAGATGCTTCGCTGGCTATGGATAATCTTCCGCGTATTCTGGATTTCTATGAAGATTATTTTCAGATGTCGTGTCCAATTGACAAACTGGGTAAGTATAAACTATTTATTTACTTTGAAATAGCAATTTTTGATAGAAAAAGTGAAACATAATTTCAATATATTAACCCGCTTTTCTCTGTCTTCTTAACGTAACAATGGTCAAATGAGTCCTAGATCAACAATACGACTGATATGTTGAGAAAGCAATAACATCCATCCAGTATGGACGTTATGTTGACGATCTCGTTCATTTGTAAATATTATTACCTGGAAATTAGAGAGACCAACGTTCATGTTCATAATTGCCCTTTACCTGTAAATCGTTATGCGTATAAGCTATGGCTTCAACACCGGTCAATGATCCGAGATGATAGAGTGCTCCCGTTGAATCTGGAAAAAAAAATATTAACCTAATTTAATAAGTAATTATGCTATTATAGCTTTAATTGATATTTAATGACTATCTAGAAAATTGTTACCAATTTGTATTCCGAGTCCATGACCAGCAGAGAGTCGATTTCTCAATGCCAAAATCACATGCTCAGCATTTCTACCGCTTTCCAAATGTTTATACAGCTTGGCAAGCTATAAGAAAATTTTTATTTAACTTCTCAAAGATGAATAGATTCTCAATCTGACATCTTCAGCTTGAAATACCCATCCTGCTGCTGAATCCAGAAGAGAAGGATTCCAATGATCATATGGGTTTGCATTATCATGTGAATAGTACATAACCTGACAAAGACAAATCATTTCCATCTTTGAATTGCAATGAAAGTTGAGAAAAGAAGAAAGAGTGGGATAGTGATTTTTGAGCTTTCAGCAAACTTGCAACATTAAGCTGAACTAACCTCATCTTTTCCTGATATACTTCCTCCAACCCTTGCATCAATATTAAGAGGCCAGAGAAGATTATGACGCACGAAGTCCTCATAAGATTCGCCTGAGACCTAAAAACATGAATTGCAGGAGAGATGTAAATATAAGAAGCAAACTTTTTCTATAATTCGTCCGAGAAAGACATAGCCAATGTTAGAGTAAACGAATACTTGTCCCGGAACATATATGGGTACATACGATTTGATAAGAAATTCCAGAAATTCCATTTGACTTGTTTCCATTCTTAACATATTCTAATGAGATTCGTCAAGCATTTGCATTACCTATCAAATTCTCTTTGAAGCAAATGGCTCCAACCCCCAGAGCTATGTTCAAGCAAATGACTCACAGTTATCTGCTGTAGAAATGGATGTACTTCAAACGTATTAAGAATCCCTGAAACGGATGATGATGATTCATTTGGTTTCTCTCTCATCTTATCTATCACCTCTCTTTCCAAAGACTAAGGTTCTCATTGATAATTTCCCTTGTGAGATCAGATTGGCGATTGCCATAGCAGTTAAAGTTTTTGAGATCGAAGCTATACGATATCGATTATTGGGCGAAGCCTTAAGAGAAAACAATAAAATGAATGATTAAACGACAAAAAATGTTTATCCTTTGATGAATTACCCTTTTCTTGTTCAAAAGATCTGAATACCCATAAGCAGCACTAAGAAGTGTATGTCCTGATTTGGAGACAAATATGTTAATTGACGGCAGTTCATATTTTCTCATCTACAATATTCGTCATTCAACAGAATGTTTTTCAAAAAAAAAATTCAAACATGAGATTCAATAAGGGATTCCACGTCATCCCAATCTCTTGAGAATGTTTCATATACTTTAGGAATTTGCTCGTTTTTCCATGAAAACTCTTTTCCTCTCCAAACAATCCAGTACGATTTGTTTTCTCGCGAAAACTTTCTGAAAAAAATATGAAAAAATCTATTTCCAACTTGTGAATCACCTGGGTTTGCTTGCAAACATGACAGGATTCAAGCCTGACTTAGCCATATATGTAGTCATTTCATCTAACATATCTCCCTGCTGAATTTGATATCTATAATTTTGAGGTTCTTGCGTTCGTTCAGTATATCCAGTTCTTACTTGATCCCGAAACCTTTTCTCCAAATGGATAATACCATAGTGGTTTTGTTACGAGAGAATACCTTAAAAGGAATGTTTGCTTAATCATCAACGTCTAACAGTTTTTTTTTATTTTCAATCAAAATCCTGTTCTTTTTTCTTATTTAAAACAACATATTTTCTCTTTCGCTTCACTTTCACTGCGAGAGAAATCGATTCGGATCGGATAACTTTCGCCAAAAGCAAAACATTGGAGGGATTTGCAATTACCTGCCAGCAATCAGGATAATATCCATTTCTGGTCATATTCGTTTGTACCACGTCCATCTCATCTAATGGCTGAGATAATATGATGAAGTGACGCAATCGGCGTGGTTTCCGTTTCCAGACTGCACTATCATAAGCTCGATAATGCTGATAGATCATGTCTGGCAAGACATTTATTGCCATTTAAGGCTTCTTACCTGAACTTTTGTCCTGTACGATCAGCTGATATGAATATAGGGTCAGCTCGTATGGCCGTCATCTTGTCAGCTTCTGTATGCAATTCATCAAGATTCATTCCCATTTTCACCACATAGTCTCCTGATGTAGCTTGAGTATTCAAAATATAAACTTCTTCATCCAGATAAGTATAGGATAATACAGATTCTGGATTCATCAATTGACTAAGCCTATCAACATCATCTTGGCGAAGATGTAGATAGCTAGCTGAACCTTCCGGTCGAGGAATAGCTATGTATTCTGGATAAACAGTACTTCCATGCATTGGATACACATGGTATCCGGTCAGATTACGGTTTTCCCAGATTTCTGAGAGTGTCAGCTTATGCACTCGACGATCTTCTGACAATCTCATTGAGATCAAGCCATCAGCTGGCTTGCATGTTGCTTCAGGACAAACGAACAGCAGTAGAATCAAAGCAATGGCATACGACAAATAATTATAATAAGGAATAGTTAAGCCGTGAAACAGTTCGGACAGCATGAGAGTTATCCGAAAATGTCCTGAAGGCGAAGACGCAGGAGAAACTCGCGTAGATGACCAGCACAACTACAGATGACAGCGTCAACTAAGTTGAAGGAGAAAGCTGTTAGCCATGATTTCGTGTATCTTTCCTCTAGTTCTCTTTCTTTTCCCTCTTCTCATCATAAGCTTAACTGTTTTCATCTCTGGATTCTCATTTTCTTTTCAACCTAAACCCCTCCCTATCTATAAGAATGCTTGTTGATTGGCCAAGCCATAGGGCTGCTTGTCAACTGATCCAGCTATATCAGGACAAAAGCTGCTTGTGTGGTGCGGTTGTGGCCTCTAAAAACCAGCTCATAGCCAAATGGACATCATGCAGAGAGACATATAGAGAAATAACGATATGGGTTTGTAAAGTTGCAAAAAGGAATGCTTAAAACATGAAAACAATATTCATAAAGCCTAATTAGGATTACTAATTGCTCAGCGGGAGTAAAAAGACTCATTTCAGATATCTTTGCGGTTCCAAATCTCAAAGTGCTAGCCATGGAGAATTGGGGTTAGACAATCGTACAATTATAATTACCAATGAAGCGCATTGCAGGCCTCATCATGATTGGATCTCAGCAACTTTTTTATAATAGGCACATCGCAGGTCCTGCTGAAAAGAGAGTGACATTCGAAGTATTAGCTCATGAAATTGCTCATCAAGTCCATTTTTATTTTCTCTCATCATAACTGTTTAAATACATATTACAGTGGTTTGGTAATTTGGTAACGATGAAATGGTGGAATAATTTATGGCTTAATGAAGGTTTTGCAACTATGATGGCTCATAAAGCTGTTCTTGAACTATTTGGACCAATGGTAATTAAATATAATTACTTCTATCATTTTTTCTCGCATTTCAGTCAAATGCCAAAAGTGTTGCACAAAGCATGCGGGATGACCAAGTGGTTTGTTTTATGACCCAAAGATCAAAATTGGGATGGATCCCTTATCGAACTTGTTTATTTTCGAAAATTGAAAGCAACAGTTCGGTGTGTCAATAAACAACCGTTCCATGTGGCTAATGCAATACAGAATGATTATTCATCATGGCGCATTCACGTGTTTCACGTGCATCACGTGATATCAACGTCATTAGAATATGAACTGAAACATAAATTTTCTTTTATCCTGTCTTTCAGAACAGTGCCTTTCCCATAAGCAGACCGGATAAACCATCGTTCGATCCTGATGATCAGTTTAGGACTCAATATACAAAAGTTAGAAGATAATTTCAAACATTTGAATAAAATTTAGCTGTAGCCGTCAATATTGATGATGGCAACTGAAAATTTAGTTGGAAAAGAAACATTTCGAGCCGGTGTAAGCCGATTGCTTAAACAGTTCGCCTATAAAAATGTGGATCACACTGATCTCATGGAAGCATTAACATAGTAATCAACATGCAGAAGTCCAAAAAACTTTTTTTTATTAATCATTAAGTGCTCATGATTCATCAGCTGGAAATCATTTTGCTGGACAATCATTTTCTTTAAATGATTTCATATCAACATGGATCTATCAACCAGGCTTCCCACTGTTGAATGTTACTGAAAGAGAACCAGGAGTTCATGTTGTATCACAAATAGCATTTCGTGTAAGAAGAGATAATTATGCTCAATTATGAATACAATCTATATTATAGTATTTAACATCAAAAGGACGAATTGATCGACACCGTCAATGGAAAGTTCCAATCTTTCTTCGTCATCCAATAACGAAAGCTAAAGAATTGAAATGGCTTCTAGAGAATGAAACAAGTTAGTTTCAACCAGTTAACTTCATTTATGTCTACGTTCATCTTCGATTTGTAGTGGCAGTTGATCTGAACGATGATTATGTTTTGGATTATTTTGGGAGTAATTTATTCCGAGTTATGTAAGCACTTGAAGAGATTGATCTTCTGTCAAATTCTACAACATTTCAGATATACAGAAAAACATTATAGTTCAATAATTGAACGTTTACACACATTTCCGCATGAGATCCCTGAGCAAATGAGGTAAAAACAGTTTGTGTCATGAAAATTTGAATAAATCAAGATCTCGACTGGTTGACGACAGTTTCACTTTTGCTGAACACGACTTGATTTCATACAACGTTCCATGGAACATAACAGCATACATCGCAGTTGAAGTTCTCAATTCATCTCACTACGAAGGATTATACTTAGTTTCAGAAGTTTGAAGCCATACATGGTCCGGCTACCATATTTAGTGCCCACATGGATTTTGTGATCAGTCGATTACGTCCACATGAAAACTTCGATGTTGTTATAGTAATTTCATTTTGAGTGAGAATAGAGAAAAGTGTTTTATCTACAGAAGTACCTTCATGTCGTATTCGGGCATTGGTTCAACCAATGTAACAGAGCCATATTTGGTAATGATGAATCCAGTACATCATAGTAAGAATCTTAAAAGGAAACAAAAATCTCATTTGAAATCTATCCATTACAGTGTCGCTTGTGAAGTTATCTACAAGCGTCTGTGTACTTATGGATACTCTAACTGTATTGAGATGGCAGTGAAGGAAGTTGAAAAGCTAATGGTGAACTGTGCGGATGATCATCTTAGTAGCAGCTGTAACCAGTAAGCAATATGTCTCTTCCTACTATATACCTTAACTTGTATCATTAAGTATTCCGCAAATCGTTCGTATGCCAATCTATGCTGCAATTTCCAAATACGGAGATGAACGATTTTTTAGTTTTTTATATGAAAAATTCATAACCGAGACATATTCAGCTGAAAAAGGAAAACTATGGGAAGGATTAGCCGGAAGTTTACGTTCTGAAGATATCCACAGGTCGTTTTTAAAAAATTTTAAAGAAAAATATAATTTTAAAGGCTGTGGTATTATTTTCTGTTTAAAAACCGATTAAGTGAGCCATTCCGAATGAGATGTGTGGATTATTCAAAGTAAAACCCAAATGAATATTTAAAGATATATAATCTTACTTTCAGACATTATCACTTCAAAACGCATTTAATTAGTTTCATTAAGAAGTATTTGGAAAAGATGTTAGTAGAGTAAGTCTCATTCATTATATATTCAAATCGTCCCTTATCCTGTTCAAGACTTGCACAAGATGAAATAAGCTTCATACTACAAGTATTATCCAGATCTCTGTTCCGTCAAGAAGAGATACCAGAGGTGATGGACAAACACATATGATGAGAGTATAAGCAAAAAAATATTTTTGTTTCAGTTCAAAGAAGTATTTGATAAAGCATCTGAAAAGTTCCCAGCTTTAAGTGCTCGATTAAAGAGTTATATTGATAGAGTAACTGATGTCCATAAATGGAGAGATCGTAATGGCGAGAACATCATTGGAAATATATCACAAGTATTGGATGGTTTAAATAAAAGAATATTAATTCAAATTAAATAACGGGAGCTCATTTCAATTTTTTTTCTTATTTTTTACATTTTTTTTTGATTTTCAATATCTTATCCTTCTCATGTTTAACATTTTCTTCGATGGGTCAATGTCTTCCCAGACTTTCCATTTCTCACTGTTCTCTTGAACCTTTTTACTTGACGAGTAAAGCTCCTTCAACCTAAAAAAAAATTTTTTTGTCTTTTTTTTTTTTTTTTGAATTTTTTTTTGTGTTTTCCAATGTATTTTTTAAAATGAAGAATAAATAATAATACTACGGTGATGTGTGAATTGACTATGGAATGCTTGAATGCCAAACTGTGCCGATTATGCTTCATGTTTGATGACAAAATTTTTTTATGAACACAACCGCTCATCACATCATCTTTGAACAAAAATGAAATTCACTCATCATCAGTTTCTCCAAAATATCTTCTTGCACTTCATTCCATTTAAAGATTAAACTTCTTCAAACATTTTTTTTTCTCGTTCAAAGCTGACGAGAAAGATCTGAGAGAAATATGAAAAGAGATTTTTGTTCTTCGAACAGACGTTCGCGATCGTTTCACTTTTCAGACGGAAAAGGAAATCGTAACAGTGAAATGAAAATATGATGTCAAACTGATGGTGTGCTGGGACGTATTTCATATTTATTAATTCACGTTTAATTATTTAGAGAACTTTTGGTTTTTTCTGATCTCTCTTAGCTTTAGCTGAAAGGTAGTTTAATCCTCCGAAGGTACGGGCAGTTACGCAGAAGTTAGTCATGTGCAGCTGAAATATGATATAAAGGTTAATATGGAAAGACGATACAAATATCTTACAGAACATCCTGGAAGCTTCTTAGCTGCCTTTTCAGCGCATTTACAGAAATTATCATCGCAAGTCTTCTGTTCTACTCCTTTCTCGTAGCAGCGAGTATGTCTCGAACAGCAAGCATTAACATTTCCTAAAGCATAGAGTGAACTATTTCAATTCAGAATGCAATTCAATAGCATATTTATAACTTTGAAATAATTATGATGTAAAAGATATGAAATAACTACCGAGTCTTCCTTTGCAATCGTTCTTTACAATAGATTCAGCAAAGCCTTGTTGAAGTTGGTCATTACCACAAGCAAAGCTTGCGAATGCCATATAAGTGCATAGAGAAAGAAGAATTAAAAAAGAAAAAGTATTCATAGTGCCTGAAAATAACTCAATTTGTGGAGAAAAAAAGGAAAGAAAGATTAAGAATTGAATGACGTGAAGTTGAAAAGAACGAAAAAAAGAAAAGATGAAGTTGTCCAATTGCATTGAAAGAACAAACGAAGAGTAAACGATGGCCATATATAGGGCCAACCACAGGCCTATATCTAGACTTCTGTTCGATTAAAGTGATCAGGCTGATACCCGAAAATCGTTCATTCATCAAATGCATGGCTATTTCATTATTTCTATATCTATCGAGATTGACTGATTTTCTTGATTATCTTTGAATTTTTCTTTGTTTCTCTTCAACCATTCACCTTTCTTAATGCGAACTGTCTCGTTTACGTCCATACCTATTCCCGAATAAAAGATTTTTCATTGACATAAATGTGTCTGATTAGAATGATATTGAAACAGAAAAAAAAGAAGTAAGCAATTCCATTGATGTGAGCTTTCATCTCAACCATATATGAAATCTTGAGAATGTGGATTTAGATGAATAAAAACGTCAAAGCAGCTTTTCATATTTTTGTCGTTCAAGCTGTAACAAGAGTTCATTTTCAAATTTGATTTTGTTGTCTGTAACTGCGTAAGTGTATATGAGTGTGTGTGTATGTGTGTGTCTGTCTGTGTATCATTATATAGATTTCTGTGTGTGATGTTTGTATTGAAAAATGAAAAAGAACAGACAAGCTTAAGCTTTTCAAAATTTATTTCCTTATTTATTACCGGAACTTGCTCTAGCTACATCACAGAAATAACGAAACTGAGGACTAGATTTCATGAAATAAAAAAAAATAAAAAATAGAGAAGAAAAATGAAAAAAAAAATAACAAAAAAATAAAATAAAGAAATAGAAAAAAACCAAAATATGTATAATAATTATATACACATTAGATGGTTATGATGATGAAGCGACAAAAAAAAAACTATCTTCTGAATAAAATGTAAACAAAAAATAATATTAGTCATGTTAGGAGATGATACTATAGCTTGTATATGATTTACCAGAAATCATATATAAAAGCATTTTATATAAATGAAACAAATATTAAGAATAATTGAAAAGATACGAGATCATCACAGGAGAATATGGAGGCATCCGAGATGGAAGAGAATTATGCTTATTATCGTTAAAGATAAGTTTATATCTAACAACAATAGTTCTATTGGTACGGAAATGGGTGCAAGAAGATGGGGAGGAGGAGGGAGGGAGAGAGGAAGAAAGGATAGATAAAGAGAGAAAGATAAAGAGATAGAGAGAGAAACAAAAAGAGACACAGAGAGAGAGAGAGAGAGAGAGAGAGAGATAGAGAGAGAGAAAGTAAGAAGCTGTTGTTCATATAAGGCTGATGATGATGTCATCTGGTTTAATACGAGATGTACTAGAGAAGGCAATGCTTGAACTTATGGAATATATTTAACCTTCAAGATGAAGTAAAATATGATTATCATTTGGTAGATTGTTATGTATTTCATCTTCACATCAGAATTTCATTCGATCCAAATAATTCACAAAGTCACTTTCTTCTAACGGAATCTGATTGTTGCGCATTTTCTGAAAATAAAAATGAATGAAATGACAAAATAAACTTTTTTTTTGCTCTCTCTCTCTCTCTCTCGACTCATTTGCCACATTGATGGCAAAGATTTTGTTTTTTTCCATTTCATTTAAGTCATTTTTAGTTTCTTTTTTGTTTTTGCAAAAAAAAAACATATCCTTTAATAAACTGGAAAAGCACGAACTTGGTCACGTACTTGACGTTGATGTTTTTTCTTGCGTTGTAGACGATCACACTGGCAGCGAGGAGGATCACAACATGGTGTTATCTAAATTAAGAATTCAGAGATTATATGTATAGTTATTTTTGATGTCAATGAGATTTGAGCTTGAAACAAACCGTCTTATTGAATCGTCCCAGTTGTGCTGGCGCAGCTACGAGAGATTGTCGATGTTGGAACAGCAAACTCATTCCTAATTGTCGAATCTGTAATGAATAATATATTATTTTAGAAAACATACATAGATGAACAGAACAAAAAAAAAGGAAAAAAAAAAAGAAGAAGAGAAGAAGAAGTCGTAGTAGTAGTAGTAGCAGAAAGATAATTGAATGCAACCGGTACTCATTCTTCGTTCATGTATAAATGATATTTCGAAAAAGTTTGCGTGAGTTTCACGTGAATACATTTAATGCAAATTAAGAAGGTTCGAATAGAGAATGAGTATGAGGGGGAGGAATATATACCTCAAGGGATTCTTCCGATTCTTCAAGAGGAAATCGTTCAAACGGATCTTTGATCAAATCAAAAATTAACGGAGGTGAGTGAGTAATAAGCTGAGAATCTGGACAGGTTTGCGATACATACCTGGAAAATGATAGTATAGCTTATAATGAGAATGAATAGAATAGATCAAACAAACCAGTCATTTCTTGGTTTTCCATTAGGACAGAAATATTCCAAATTTGGATCAATAGTAGTATTATAGAATATTGGAGAGGTTTTGTAATGAATCTTAATCAAATGAATTACAAAACTTATATAAAATATGAAAGTTACTTTATAATTTCCAAGTCGAATAGCCATCAGATGAGTATTGCAATAGTAGATGATAGGTCGACGTTCACCCAGATAGCCAGGTTTTTCAGTTGATACTCCCCGAATTTCATCCCAAATGTTTGTTCCATCCAATACGCGATCATCCTATTCATTGTTAAGCATTATTATATCATATAGATATATCTATATAAGAACCTGTACAGAACATTCAAATGGCTGCATGTCTCGGAATGTTTGATAGAGATCCATGCTCGAAACGACTTCATTACTAACTCGACCACTTTTAACATTTCCGGGTTGCCAAACAATCATTGGAATACGAAAACCTCCTTCGAAGCTATTTGACTTTCCTCCTGAAAAATTATGTTTGTAAGATCATGAAATAATTTTTTTTTCTCATTAAAAAATAATTTGTTGTTGACAAAGACGAAGAGCCAGACTAACCTTTGAGACCGGCTGTTGAGCCTCCATTCAAGCATAATTCAATGTGTGGACCATGATCAGACATCAGAACAACCAAGGTATTTTCGGCAATTCCGGCATTCACAATGGAATCCAAAACTTCCCCTACTGCCCAAGACATTTCATTTATGGAATCACCATAAATTCCTGCATGATGTCATTTAAATGGTGGACGAAACTATATAATTATCTACCTCTCGTTGATGTTCCTCGAAATCGCGGACTGGCAAATTGAGTGCTGTGTACATGAGGAAAAGAAAAATAGAAAAAGAATGGACGTTCATGTTGATCCTTTAATGGCAGTTGTTTCAACTTTCAACTTTGTATTCTCTCTCTTACCGTAGACAACCGTTCTCTTAAGAAGCGATGCCAATCTTCAACCAAATTCTCAGTCATATCATCAAACTTGAGAGGTTGTTGAACAATCTCATCGCCATCATATAGAAAGCACATTGCCGGATCTGGTCCATCAGCATAATATTCCTGAGATGAGAGATTAAGTGATCATTAAGATATATGAAAATACCTGAGTAGTATCACATTGCCATACGTTAGTGAATGGAAGATTAATCCCCACCCAATCAAATCCACGTCTGGATGGCAAGTGTTTGCCATCAGAAGAATTTTTTTCATTTATACCCAAGTGCCACTTTCCGACCATTCCCGTCGAATAACCTTTATAAGATCAGATCATGAAGCATTTATGTTTCAGTTTCAATGAACCTGCTTGTTTTAGCATTTCAGCCATTGTTATTTCCTTTTTCGGTAATCCACCCATATCATAAGGTAAGAAAACCCTTCGACCTCCAACAACTCCTAGCCGAATAGGAAGTCGACCTGAAAATGGGATACTATGAAATGAAAATTTACTATATGCTTTCTTCTTTATTCTCTAATTTCTTTTTTGAAAATAACTAAAGGAAAATCTAATTAATTTTTTATTTGTTTATACCCGTCATGAATCCTGCTCTGCTTGGACTACACATGCTATCAGCTGAATATGACTGAGTAAATCGTGTGCCTTCTGAAGCCATCCGATCTACCTTAAACGATATAAACATTAAGACATTAGTATCCCATCTGATTACTTCAGTATATTCTTGAGTTGGATGCCCATATGAGGCAATATCGCCATATCCTGAACAAAATGAATACAATGATATACAGGATACAAGCTTATACCTAAGTCATCAATCATTAGAATGATAATATTAGGGCGATTGGGTGAAGGCGGTTGCACGCAGCCGCTTTCGACTGCGTGAACGTAAAATAGTGAAAGAAGAATTAGCATGAGAGTATAGTTCTTTGGTTATTTTTGTTTTATAAGAAAAAAAAAAGAAAAATAGTTTCAACTATAAGATTTTCTGTGCTTCTGTTCGAAGTGACCAAGGATCTTGCGATGAAGTTTCACAAATCTGCAAAGAAAATTTACATAACAAGCTTGTTTAAAAAATAGCCGAATTATAATTTTATTAAGATAAAACATGAGGAAGAAGAAATACAAAATAATCTCATAGTATCAAGAGGGGTGATGAATTAGAAAGAAAATAAAAGAAAAGGAAAAAGAAAGAGAGAGAGAGAGAAAGATATATAGGTAGATAGTGGAAGAGAAAGAAAAATAGAGAGAGAAAGAGAGGGATAGAGAGAGAAAGTGAGAGAGATGAAAATGGAAGACAACCGTTCAGTGCGCCTACGAGAATCCAAATGAAGTGGACGTAGACGTGAACGTTTTCACGCGGGATTTCATTTTGCTCTCTCTCTCACACTATGAATATGCTAATTATATAATAGAAACAGAAATCATGACGATTTATAATAAGGAAAAAAAGTATATCAAACATATACGGACAACTATTTTTATAGCTTATATTAACTAATACTGGATACAGTTGATCAAAGATTGCAAAAGTCTTTTTGAAGATTATGCATAAATAAAATTTAGTTTTGATGCTGGAGAGGAGAGAAGGAGAAAAAAAACTTTTCTTCAAAATTGAAATGAAAACATAAAAGTTTTTTTTGTTGGTAAAGTTACAGAGAAAAGCTGATTTCATATCATGTATAGTAAGTATGGAAGCTTATACTATTCTAAACTAAGCATCAATCACAATCTATCTGCAGGATAGAGTGTCTTTAAAAGTAATTCTCGACTGATATTTATATATTCGTCTAAGCTTCAAGATAAGAGAGACAGTTAATATTATTGAAAATTATAGTTCTTAATAGAAGTATTTTGTGAAATAAATATTATTAAATATAATATTTGTGAATCGAAGAACGATCTCTGATCGGAGGATGGATGTCGGTAAGGATAGCCTAGGTCATAAGAATCAGAAAAATTTTTTTTATGGAAGTCCTTATTAAACTTTTCGAATAATCTACTATAATCCATTTGATCAGATTGCTCATTGCTTACGTTGCATTAGAAGCTTCTGATTAACCTACGATCGCTGAGCAGACGAGAATCCCTTCCATTTGATCTCAGATGAAAGAGTAAAGAAGCTAAGAGCGGCTTCATTATTAAAGATCATACTTTACCGTAGTGCAGCTCATCAGTGTTTTGCAGAATGATAGAGAGAAAGAGAGAGTGGATGAGAGATAGAAAGAAAGTAAGAGTTGAAGGCGGAAGTTTTACTTCAGAACTCTTCGTATCCTCAAATGGATTTTGAAATATTAAAAAATCTTCAAAATGACGACGTTGACGTTTTGAATTTTTCACATGGCCAGACTAGTCTACGTACATTGAGCTTCTATCACAAGGGCGTAGGCGAGATAGAGCATGAACAAAAATCAGTAAATAGCGAGAAAAGTAAAAACTTGGCAATAAAAAAAGTGAAAACTACTAGAAGCATTCGGTTAATGATGGCTTTATGCTGTTAATGAGCTACGATAAAATGAAAACCGAAATACGAGATAATCGGGAATCAGAAAAAGACACACAAAACTGATGAAGACATGAATTTACAAATAGCTGGCCATCTTAGAGAAAATGAAAAATGACACGTAGAAGAGATACATTTTAATTCAGAATTCCAACGTCATGGATGAAGTCGAAGTTTGGTCAGTTTTGCATTTGTCATTGGTCACGATACACGTGCTGTGATGGACATAAAGCCGGAAGAAATGCTTTTTTTGGTAAAAAATTGATGAACAGTGTGCAATAGATGAATAAGTAATCTAGAAGTAGTGACAGATGAAAATACACGTGAAACAGCACGTGATATGACACGTGAAAGCATTGTAGAAATATTTTTAGTCACATGTAGCCAGGAAGAGATGGGATTGAAGGAGTGGGTTGCCGCAGAGTGTAAGTAGAGGTTACATTCGGAGAGTAAAAATAATTTTTTTTTATTTCCGATGATTAAAAGAAATGTATGTGCATGTGTGTGTACGTGTGTGTATGCGTGTGTGTGTGTGTGTGGGTTAATAAGGAAATACGGAAAGTGAAAAACAACAAATCCATACATAGTAACAGTAAATAAAGTGATAATCAGGCAATTAAGAGGGAAAAAATAAAATTTTCCAGAGATTTCAAAGTATTTCGCTTCATGACAGCTATTTTGCTATTTTCTTAGATGTGAATATTGGATTATAAAAATGATTATATGTTAATTAATTAATAATAATTAAATACTTTCGAACTCAAAATTGCTGTTCATTAAAGTTGAGAGAAAAAAATAAATATAAGTTTGAGAGACCTCTGGAAGATGATTACGTTTGCAGAGGTTTATAATACTTTTCGCAGGGAGGGAAACAGAGAGAGAGGGACAGATTGAGGGAGATTGCAATTGGAAGAAAGATAAGCAAAGGAGAGGGAGGGGGGGGGGAGGATGAAGAAGAGACGAATGGTGAAGTTTTTTTTTTGGATGAAATTTCAAAAATAAATGCTTCAGAAGCCATATGATAGTGTGTGATGAAGAAGCTGTGAGGTAGACGGAAGATGTAAAAAGAGAAATCCTGCAAAAAGCTACAACGTAAGCAACGGATGGTAGATGGCTATGACAAAATTTAAAATATTAAAATATTTGTATGATATGAAATTATGCGTAAAGCATATAAATGTAACAAATTGAATAAAATACGAGGAGGAGGAGGGAGGAGGATAGGAGGACACAAATGACGAGAGTGCATGTTTCCTTTTTTGGTTAACCTGCAGAGCGCTTGTGTTGCAACATGAGAAGCTTGAATGAGCAAGTTTCTTATGAAAGAAACATTAATAACTAGGAAAGACTAAAGAGGAATGTGGAGGTGGGATTGAAGCAAACAAGAAAAAATGCGGATTAGTCTCCAAGAGAAATTTTTTTTTTGTTTCAAGAAAAATCCGTTTGCGACATTGCAATATGATTTAGTGTGAGGTGTCATCTGGTAGCATTTTTTGCGGCAAAAAAAAAAGCTTTGTGACATATATCTGTAAGTTAAGCTTGATGTTTCTCTTTTTTATGGCTTGATAAGAATCAATTTGATATGTGAGGTGACCTCTGACCCGCGATCTTTGTGATTTGAAGTTGACTGAAAAAAAAATAAAATACAAAATACAATTGAGGTTTCTAAGAAAACAGTTTTGAAGATAACGATTGAGATGGCAGAGATAATATTCAAAACTTATACTGTATTATTATTGAAGTTAGTTCGTTGTAGAACTTTAATGATCTCAAATGAAATTCTCGAGAAAGGAAATAAAAGTGACAAGTTCAATGAATTGAAGTCAATCCTTACCAAATATATGAGAAAGTCATCAAGATTATGTGACTTGCTTGCAAAATAAGCTGCCATACATATATACACGTCACAACACAGTCAAAGAGAAAGCATTATAAACCATATACGGGAGTGGTACTATTGAGCTTGTGCATGTGAACTGGTCGATGATGTCCGCTACTGGGTAGTCAGTTTGTCCGTAAAAAGCTTGTTTCCAAAAAAAGAAGCAACATATAACGAATAAAAGTTAATGTTGTCATCATGTTCGCAAAACGCCTACACACAATCACATCTGATGATTGTCTGAATCAGAAGTTTCATCTCAACTTCATTCAAGATACATAAATAAGTGGGAAGGCTGGCATGCACTTTTCCTGATTGTAACTTTTCATACAAAAAAGAAATTATTTTCATATGTGAAAATGATCAGCCATACACATACTTGAAGACTTTCATTCACAAGACAAACGATTCTGAATTTAATTGTGTTTATCAAACGATTTTTCTTAGAACATGCTGAGTTTCTCAGCTTAACTGCAAAGAAGTAAAAGTAGAAGTGGAGAGATGAAAAGGATAAAGGCAGGCGGAGGAGGATGAGCCTCGAAAGGTTTTTTTTGTCTTCTTTAATGAACAAAGAACCTTATAAGCCTTATATATTTACATATTCTTTTCCTAAGAGTCAAATGAATTATTTACAAGTTTGTTCTAAAAAAGATTACAAAGCATTCAATCCAAGTTTGAAGTTAATCATCCTGAAAACATTGCGACAATGACATCATTCCCTAACTTAAAGAGAAACAAAAGCTTTAATGAATGGGGATTGCTCTTACTCAAGAGATCTCCTCCTCCTATAAAAAATAAATTTGTCTTAGAAAACAAAAATATAAGAATAATTTAGTTGTTAATTATCTAAGGAACGTCGTTGATCAGTTACGTGCAAATAAAATGAATTGAAATGAGAGATATTAAAGGAATTTTCGATTAGCTAGCAAATCAAGAAATATCCTTGAATATACGATATCATATATTCATCGCTTTGAACATAATACTTGAATTTCTTCATTTTGAGCTGAAGCAACTTCATTTTGATATTGTTGTTGCTTGAAGAATCGAAAGATTTTTCATGTGTGTGTTACCGAAATCTCGAAGCACAATTCAACATGTCATCCCACCTTACATGCAGATGTATGTCTGACGTCTTCATTTCAATTTTCAAAATGAGATTGTAGAAGGCGTATGAGCAGACAAAAAAAAGAGAGAGAGGGAGGCTAGTTTCAAATAAGTCTAATGTAGAATAAAGAAGTTGAAATTAATATTTTTACTTCTTTCATCCAACTTGGAAGTCACCAAGTACAACAATGTTCTTTCTCAGTGTCGATATTTTGCTGACGTCATACACGTGTGCTGATACCTGAAATGTAATCCCACCTAATGAACAGACATCAGATTCCAATGGGTCAAGTGTATTCTTATGGTGGATGACATTCTCATCATGCCAGTCATTTATCGTGAACATCTTGAGCTTTAAACGGAAATTCTTTTTAACGTAAAAGGGGGTGATCATGTTAAAAAAATGTGGAAATGTGTAAAGGATAATCTGAGGGGGAGAAGCTTTCCTGACCACTTCCCCTATAATCTATCAAACGTGCGATTTGTCTTAGGCGCAGGATATGACGATGCAAACACCTATTAGCAGCTTCACGTGGATTATAAAAAAATAATACTGTTATTATATTTTTAACATATTTCTTAATATCCACCAATTTTCAATGGAAACTTTTTTTTGCTCAGCAGTTGGCTTGTAACAAATAAACAAACATGCCAACAGACACTTATTTATTTTCTTTTTAGCTTCTAAAACTTGTGGATATGTCCAGTAGTACGTGTTGATGAATAGGAACTGAAAGATTGTCTGACCAAGATGTAATGAATGAGGAAATGAAGAAGAGCAAAATGGAGAAGAATAAGAAGAAGAATAAAAAGAATAAGAAGATGTCAAAGAGAGGGAGAGATAGAGATAGAGAGAGAGAGAGACAAAAAAAAAGAAGAGAAAAGCTAATAGTAAATAATGAAAATAGAAGTTACAAATACTATATGTGGATGAGGGAGGATAGAATGTGTTTAAAGGAAAACACAGTATGACGGAAAATCTAAGACGATGTTAACCTGGGGATGAAGAATGATTTTGAAATATTATAAATAAATAGATTATTGGAACAACCGTTCTTAGTGGTGCAGCGAACAAAATTAAAATAACAAAAAGCTGCGGAGGAATTTCTTATTTCGTGTAGGCGACACGTGCGTACAATACGTGTGATTATGCAAATGAGGCTTAACGTGTGACTGGCGTTAACAACAAGATCATTTTGATTAACGTGAACGATATGCAAATTCTTACAGATAATCAGTAGAGGGAAAGGCTTGATGAAGAAAGCATTCTTTCTTCTTCTTCTCTCTCTCTCTCTTTCTCTCTCTCTCTCTCTCTGTCTCTCTTCGTTTTTCTTTTTTTTGTTGCAATTCTTCTATTCTTCCAATAAATAAACATTTTTTTCGTATTATTGTTGGAAAAAGAAAACTGGATAGTGTGAACAGAAGGAATTATATGATGTTAGAAGTTATTCCATAATAATTTTTAAACAACAGTTCGAACTATGATCAATGATATGTTATGCTTTTGAACAGCTACAAAACGACTTACGAATTAAAAATAATATAAATGCAGAGAGAGAGGAGGGAAGGAGATGAGTGGAAAAGAGAGAGAGAGAGAGTGAAAGAATAGACACTTCGTTTAGATTTTCTTTGACTTATTTATGAAACATACTGATATGTAGATGCGTGAAGAGCAGTTGTTGAATATCAAAAAAAAATAAAAAATAAAATAGTCAATCATAGCCAAGAGGGGGGGGGGGATGAAGATTGCGTAAGCAAAAAACATAATCTGGATGCAAATTTTTGGCTTTTTTTTGCTGCAATCTTGATGTTCATGTGTATAGATGAATTAGAAGAAAAAATAGAAGATAAATAGCTTTTACTTACGCTTCTATTGTGTATGTGTACTGGAGCAGAAGTAGAATGGACAACACATGGAACACATGAGTTGTTTTCTTTATCAAGAAGAAGACGAAACAAGAAGACGTCAGAAATGCATGGTAAACGAGCAAAGTGAGAAGTAGCAAGAAGACGTATGGATAGACAGTAGGAAGTCTCCGACATATACTTACAGATAGTTGAAGTCAATTTTAATTAAATCATGTACTGGTATTGCATTTTCCCATGTTTACACATGCGGCTATCCAATACAAATGTACGAATTTCAGATCAAAATGAGGTACTATCAGTTGTTCAAAGTCTGTACTTAACTTAAGCCGATCAAACACCTTGTTCGAAAAAAGCTTCCAAACGATATGCTCTTGGAAACACGAAAAGTTTGGTGGTTGAGAAGACTTGCTGGGTAGTAGTGGTGTTGGTGATGGTGGTGGTGGTGGCTATTCGTCTTAGGCAAGTCAAATGAATTTATAAAACAAACAAAACTAGTTCTATATATAGCATTCAACTTGCAAATTAAGATTAAAATAAAATATTTTATTAATTGAACTAGCTATATATGCTCGTATATCTAAATGGTCACGGCACTTTAGGAGATTGTTCAAACATGAAGCTATCTTAGTATGACAGATAAAGTTAAAATAGAATTAAGGAATTTTTGCTTCCTACAACCGATCGTTCGCGTTTGCTCATTAGTTTTCAATCAGAATATTTCAGAAGGTCAGTCGGACATGCTGGGAGTGATGGCTTTAAGAGAAAACAAATGCCCTGCCAGCTGATTATTCCATAGATTTCATTGAGTTCTAAACTTCATGAATCTAGAATATGTGACGAAGTTTGGCAAGAATAAAAAAAAGTTTGTTTCTTTCCTAATTAGTCTGTTGAGAGTTGATCTCTAAGGAATTCAAGCATCCTTAATAAGGACATCATGATCAATGGTCAACTTATTGAACTGAAGAATGGTCGCCTTTATATGAAAAGCAAATATTTTTAGTTCGATAATCAGGTCAGCTGATTAGAACTTAAGAAGATCAGAGCTCAAAGAAGATTTTTTTCCACTTAATTAAATGAATTAAAAAAAATAATTTCAGAGTATAAGAGTTCGAACAAAATAACGAAGACGCAACGGGCTATACAACGATGTGATAACGGATATGCTGAAGGCATGCACTTGCTCTAGAGATTTCCTTCCTTTAATGGGCGAATTAGAAGAGAAAGCTGTTAGATATTAAAGAAAAGAGATAAGTAATAAGCAAATGAAAAAAGAAATTTCAAAGAGACTAAGGGACAGAAATGTGAGAAGGGCGTCTGACGTCATCTCATTGAAGCTTCTCAAATCTGTCATAATGAGAAACAACTAATACAATTATAAGCAAATTAATGTGATGAAAAGTTGAAAAGAAGTCTTCACCAAATGAAAATCGAAGAGAATCTCTTATGGCTGCAAAGGAAATGGAGAACATCCATAAATGGGAACATGTCCTGCCATATGATTCAAAGTTATGTGAAGTGTAGATAGAAGTTCTCATCGTAGGCATGTTTTTCAATAAATAAGCTTTTTGTTTAGATCTCTCATCAAATCCTGTGTAGCTTAACTCACTATTCTCTATTGTCAACCACATCATATCCGAAGCAAGTTCGTCGGTAGTCAAAAAGTACTCAAAATTGCTTACAAATTGACCCAACATCCTATGTGTGAAATTAATTTTCTTTATCAAATAGTAAGGCCAACAGGATATTCTAGTTTTTTCCGGCGATTCCGGAAGATGTAGCAGGCCAATCAGCTTCTCGAAAATGGGGGTCTTCAAGAAAACGGCTAAAACCGCAAGACTGCTAGGGACACATCTGGTTTCTTTAAAGACTAAAGCTTTAAATTCTTCTTTATATAGAGCTCAATTAGATGACATACGTGTCAATGCTCTCTGTTCTTCTAAGAGATGATAGTCAGCTCAGGATTACTGTAGAGCACAATGAAAGAAAATGAGTACAAACCTTTTAGGTTTCAGACTAGCTCAGACCAATTGTTCCTCCGGATTTGAACTGGCTTTCCATGATAAAAGGACATTGAAATGGACAAATATGAGCTGGATATGCTCTTATAGATCGGAATTGGACATAACAGAGAGCTGGTCATTAATATATTTTTTTTCCGAATGAAAAAGACTGAGAAAGACGGCTATAAGAGCTTGAGTGTGAAAGAGGAAGCAACCAACCTCCTCTCGTAAGCTTAATTATAGCTCAGAAATGAGAGTGGTTTCTGTTGTATTAACTGTCATCAAGTCATTAACTTTCATAAATCTCACGCAGTTTTCGATAACTTCAGTTAAAACCTCTGAGTTTTAATTTATGACCATTTGAGATACTTTAATTTGGCTTTAATCTTTTCATCAGCAAAAGATCTCTGATATACTAACGAATCCATATAAGGAGGCACAATTTATTGCTTAATCTCTACGATGAAAACAAATTTAAAAAAACCCAGCTCCAAATTTTGACGTTTGTCTTCCTGGGGGTCTTCAACAATCTGATGGACTCTGGCTATCCTCAGAACTACTACACTTCCTTGCAAAAAAAAGCTCAACCCGCAGAATTCAAATAGTTTTCTGTTCTGATCAACTCAGCTGTGATCACTAGAATCAAGAAAGGGAAGTCGAAAACATGGAACCCACACCATGCCAAAGCGTAATAAAATTTTTCTTCTCTGAACTGTTGAAGCCCCTGGAACCTTTCACATGGTTAAGGAGCTCGAATCTTCTGACGTAATGAAAAAAGTGTTTTCATTACTTTTTCTTACTCTTGTTGTCAGTTTTGAAGCAATAATCAAGCAAAAAAAATCCTTTTTCCAGAAAAATCCATAACACTTTTTGAGTTTGCATCCAAAGCCAGACTGTCTAATACGAATATGTGGGATACGGTAGGTTGTACGCAATTGCACAAATGTTTCCAAAATTCGATCGAAATTGGAAATTGGTTATTCAGTTTAGCTTTTCTTGTATAATTTTAAAAATGATAACTATTCCAGTCAATGTCTACATCAGATTGTATGCAACCTCAAACATCTTCTGATGAAGCAATATCCTTGGACCATATATGTAATGTGAATATAAATAAGTTGATTTCTGATGTTGATCGTCTTGTCGTAAAGCTCAAGGAAAATAATGAGGTGATAGAGTTGTTAAAGGAAATGTTCAATGATACTTTAGTTCGCCAATGTCATAAATGCTTCTACTACGCTACGTGATATTGTTCGCCAAGCTAATGAGGGTCATATGTCTTTGGCAAGTTTTCTCTGCCACTCTCCATCAATATCAAGCCATGTATTGCAGAAACGATTGGATTCCTCGTCTGCATACAACTTTGACTCTGTTCCAATGGAATCCAAGCCTAGTTGTACTTATCAGGTATGTTTACAAACTTTCTTTCGTATCAAATCTTTCTAGTTACGAGAACTTGATGCTGAAAATCGACATTTGAGAAGTCTGTACGAGGATAGTCAGCTTACCCTTTTCCTGCTTATGCAAAAACACAGAAAGTTAATATTGGGATTGTGTGAGGAGAAGAAGAACGATGTACTCGATCCCATGAGTGAAATCAGAATCTTGAATGACAAATTGATCGACAAAGAAGTTTGTGCTTCTCATTGGTTAGTAATTCATGCCTTGTTTAGTATAAGCAAAACTGCGAAAAATTCGTTGACGTTGCCGTGGGGCTGAACGAAATTGTGAAAAACGAAGAGCAAAAACGTAAAGTTGTTGAACAGGTCAGTTTCTTTCTTCTCATATTTCCCTGAAGTTAGTTTTGAAGGAAATCGACGATTTGACAATGAAAAATGCTATTTTGCGAGAATTGTTAAATGCCGAAGATCCTCGGAATATCGATGTAAATGCCTTGATAGACAAGATTGAAAACAAGTAAGTTCCGTGGCCCCCTCAACGTCTTATCTTAAAACGAACTTATAATTGAAGGATCTTGTAGAATGAAATAATAAAACCGTGGAATTTTGATTTGATTCGACAAATCAAAGGAAAAGTTAGAAACCGTTGACTAACATGAAGTTTACCATGTGAGTGGAACCTTAGACTTGTTTTAAATTTTATTTATTTCATATTATCATATGTAAATTAAAATTGTACATTATGACTTGAAATCCTCCTTCCTGTACAGTTCAATCCGATAAATATGTCAAATGATAACCGTCGTCTGTTGACCACAAGCATAGAAGAACCTGAGGAAGTTGTTTCCTGAGAATCAGATTGAAATGCCCAGTTTGGATATGATTCCAATTATGTAGTAGATTAGAATCTAGAGAGTGTCATCGTCATGAGAACTTGTTTGTATCTTCTCTTCGCCCTGCGGCTTCAGATATAAAGAAAGTTTTGTTTGAAATCTAAAAGAGGAAATAAGGAAGAAGCAGTACTGGAGTCTTTGAATCTATTCAGAAGCTTTCAGGAACAGATGCTACATGTCCTTATCAGGGACGAATCGTTTGACTGAAGATTATCAAATACATTTTATTTCATACAATACATTTTTTAAATTTAATAAGGTTTTTTTTGAAATTCAGAGATTTCCATAGGACTCGTTCAACACAAGAGATCACACATCAACATTTCTCTAAAAATTCACATCAAATCAAGGGGAAGGGACGCCGTTTTTTGAGATTTCCATGAACTTCTCCTCTTTTTATTGTGGCAGGCAAGCCATCGTGTGCGGATAAGGTTTCGGAAGTGTTCCGAAGTTAAGAAAAACAAAACGAAGTTCAGCACCTGCAAGCTACATTTTGGGAAAATATCATTAGCCAAGACTTACCTTTCCCATAATGGCCAATGTGTTGGAGATTGCTTTTGCTGACGCAAATCTCAGATTGTGCTTAAATTACAATTTCTCATCAGTACCAGAGATTCAAGACTTACGGGGTCGCTGACGAAATTTTGAACTATGTATAGAACAGCGCTGGGCACATTGAAGACGACGAAACAGGTGATGATGGCGCTCACAACAATTGTTACCTACAATTTGATAGTTTCAAAGAACCCTGTTGCAATCTCAGACCTTTCTTTCCACCTGTGCTCTGCTTCGGAATAATGCCTGCTGGTGAGTTTGCGTATCATCTAGTTCGTTCCAATTCCTATAATTTCGAATGAAACTGTTTGCAAGAAAAGTTTCAAGAAACTTGTTGTTCGTGCGTAAAGCTTGAACTAAATGCCAATTAGAACAAGTGCAGATAACGAGTGGTCCATAAACGACGAGTACAGTATTAATATACTAAATTATGAATTATTATATATAAGTATGAAAAAGTCTAACTGTAAGGCTTTGTATCAATCGTATATGTGTCCGTGGAATGAGGTGATAGACTAGAAGATTTTAAATTATTTTCGTTTAATTCTCAAATCGCCTTACAAGAAATGACGAGAGCAAGGATCCATATGACTGCTAATGATAACAAGAATCTCACTGATACATGTCTGTTCGAAGATCTGAATGGACTTCGAATGACTTGGACTCGTTCCAAAGTCGCATAGGTCATCAGCCTTTAATTTTCATTTACTTTCCCATCTCATTGTAACTAAAAATACCATATTGACGTAGTACTAAACCAATTAAGAAGAAAGTTGAAATATAGCTTATGTTGCCGGAACCATTGATTGTTCATGAGGATGCCCTGGAACGCATACGTGTACTTCAGAAGGCGGACTGAGAGACTTACAGTAAAGAAAAGAACTCCCGAAGACTGAAGAAGGAGAAACGTCAAATCTGATAAAGCCATTGCGGCGAAAATCTAAAAAAAGCGTTGTTTCAGATGAATTTCGTTTCCGGAACTTCTTCTCACAATATTCGTTTTAGATCTCATAGCCTTATTCAGTAGTACTATGAGATTCAATATATTTCCTCCCGAACCGAACAGAATCTGCGGAATCAGAACCCATGTTGAGAGAAAAGAAATGAGCTGAATAAATTAGTAAACTGAAAAAAAAGAAAGAGTTGAAGAGCAAACCTTGTGATCGGCTGTGGAAACGATACTAGCAGTTCCGTTAGCGATAGTAGTTGGGTCTTCCATATCTAACTGAAATGAGCGCATGTGAAGCAATGAAATGTATGTTAAAAGAATTCCGCTAACAGAAAGTTGTCTGTTATATTCAAAGGTTTTTGAGCACATAAAGATTATCTCATGAACAAATCACAAAAAAAGAAACTTGCGAAAGATTAACGAATGGTGCAATAACAAAGAAGAAATGAAGAAATACTTGTCTTGTTGTTCTATTTGGAGATACCTGATGGGAAAAAAGGTGCTTTATAAAAGTATTTTTGATTTTTTTTTATTTCCAAAAGCCGTTCGAGAGCTAAACCTTGGAATTATCAAACAATAGTTCTATTGTCTCGAAAAATACTAGAAAGTACATGAAAAATTGAAAATGTCTGACACATGGCATTGAGTTTGATACAATGATTGTTTATCCATCCTATCGTCGCTCACACAACTCTCATATGCACGAAGATGAAGATGACAATAAATTTAAATGCACATAGATGTATATCATACAAATTGCTGAGGAAGTTTATAAAACATTTTTGAAAATAATTTAGTTGAGCAAAACGTATTGAAATCAATCATCTTCTCAAAGTTTTTGTTCTTATCGTCCTGCTGATGACAGGCGAATAATACGGTAATTAAAGAAATCTTCCATAAGCTCATATTACATCTGGAATGGACATACGTTGTGATGCAAGAAAATTTCTGAGAAAAAGAATTTGTGGATAAGTGAATAAAATATGTTAAACTAATCGAAAGCTCAAATTCGTATGATCGAATTGAGAGAATCAAACATGGAATAGGTGAGAATATGGCCAATGGCGTCTCATTTTCATCTAATCCCATCGTCCCCCCCCTCCTTCCCTCCAAAAAACATGGACAGTCAGCTTCTGATTACTGCTTTACTTGGAATTTGTTGAATTTAATTATTAAACTCACAAATGAATGTTGAATGTGTGTTTTGATGAGGGAAAATGAGATGAACGACAGATAAACAAAGATAGAACAAGAACAACAATAACAGTCTGAGAAGAAGAAGTAGAAGAAGAAGAAAAAACTTTAAATAACAATTAAAGCTTATGACATGGGTATGTAAGGCTACACATACGGCACACACACACACACACACACACACAGTGAGATGTAGCGGTATAAGATGAGATGGATATAACAAGTTCAACCGTTCGCGCGAAAGCATTTGAGAGAAATGAAATAGCTAATGCACCAAAGAGATCATTCACGACGTATTCTAATTTTCACGTACTTTTAATGAGAAAAACTTTTGCTTTTCTCTCATATTAATCATTTTTCTCGTTTTTATCTATTTTAAAGTTCAAATCTTATATTTGAGTGATAGATATATTAAATGTTTCTAATAATAAAGAAGGAATCTCATTGATTTGTATGAAAAAGACTAAGTCACAATGAAATTTAATGGAAATACATCACATAGACTGACGTATTTCATGATTGTACTGAATAAGCTGTGAAGCTAAAAGAATTGATTGAGTTGTTAGAAGCTCTTGTAACATTCGTGAATTAAAAAAATATGTTCTCCTTCTCATTCTCTCTCTCTATAAACACATAGTTCTCTCTCTATCTATCTCTCTCTCTCAATTCTCTACTTCTTTGTTTTTTTTTTTTGAAAGAGTAGGAGGAAGAGAGCAAAACAAGAAACAAACATAATCTAAAAATGATGGTCTTGCCTTTTTATGGCTTCCTAACTGTTTCGTCTGTTTACATTTGAGCAGTAATATTAAATTAAAAAAATTAAAGACTATGAGAAGAATACTGAAATATTTAATATTAAGAAGGCCGAGATGTACTTGAGTTACATTCTCCTTTTTTTTCCGGAATGAGCACTCAATGAAACTTCAGATATAGAAATATATATATAAAGAGCGAGGGAGAGATATCTTCTCATATGTAGTTTTCATGATGAGAAGTAAAGATTTAGATGGATAGAGAGGAAGAGAGAAAGAAAGTTCAATTAGGAAAGGTGGAAGAATATAGTTCATAGAGCTCAGCCTTTCTCTCTTTCATGTTTTTTAAGTAGCTAAAGGATATGCAAATTGGGGGGAAGCCGACTGATCATCTTTCTTATATACAACTGATAGATCATGAAAGCGATACGATATTACCTTTGCAATGAATTGCAAGCATTTTTCCGAAAGGTGTTTTGATGAACATTGCAAGGAAGCAGATTCGATGGCTAAGAAAAGAATGAGAAGATAACTGTTAATTATAAAAACAAGGAAGCCTTCTAATACCTTAGGCACTAAAGAATGCTCTTCAAATGAGAAATTAAATTGAGTTAGAAGTGTGAAAGATGAAGAGGCTCTCTTCTAACTCTCTTCTTTTCTCACTTTGTCTCCTTTTGAATATTCATACTAATAAAAGGATGTCATGAGATGGCAATATTAGAATTCGGAATTATGAAGCTTTGAACCACGATAAGACCAATGTGGAATAATAACAGAAAAAAAAGAAGATATATATGCTTATGAGACATAAGAGGGTGGGTATCAAGCTGTTAGAAGTGCTTCAGGCAAAAAGTTTGAATCTGCCGACGCTTATGACCAATAAGCGATAAAAACAAGTCAAAAATATATGAGATTGCTCTTAATTGAATGACAAAGTATAAAAATAGAATTAAATGATTTAAAAGATTTCAAATTTATTTTTGTGAAGCATTCACTTGAAATCGGGAAACAATAGGTTGTAGATGTTAAGAGTCTTTGCAGAATTGCTTTGAATGAGAATTAGTTCAAAAAAGGCGGACCTCTTTTACTTTGGAGCTCTTCGAACTTCACAAATTAGCATAAATCACTTAGTTATTTGCTTATCAGCAATCATATGAGACGATTGCTATCTCTAACTCTCGTTCGTTCACTGTCTCTCTGACTTGCCGTTCTTTTTCTCTTCCGGCTCAATCTTTTTCTTTTTTTATTCACTTTTCGTTTTACTGAAATATTTATTAACAGCTTGATCTTTTATTTTATTCACCTTCAGCAATTTCAACTGTTACAGACTAGATGCTGAATTAGAATACACGAATAGTCTATGACGGAGAGTGGAAGGAATCGTCGAACGACTCTCACATACACACAAGGTATCAATGTCGATAACTCGGCGATCAACGAAAGTTGAAGTAATTGTTGGACGTAGATGTGACAAAGAAATAAAAATAAAAAGATAGCCAAAAAAATTTGAAAAAAATGTAAAATCAAATCAATTCATAGCACTTACTCACAAACACTTTTGGTCAATGGAACAAATCATTCTGAACTAATTTGGAAGACTTCTGATCTCTCATGGATAATTATTCTTTTCTCGTTTTATTCAAAAAAGAAAGAAAAAAAATTTTATTCTCTTCCAATTATTAGCACTACCGTAACGTTCCAAATAGCTTTGAAAATCCGAAATCAAATGCCAAAAGTTGGCTGTCTAATCTAAGTGCCGGATATGGAGAATCCTATTAGTAAAGCTTATTTAATAAGGAAAAATATAACGCAAATGATTGAACTCAAATTATTTTTGTTTGTCCCAAATAAAAAACAAATATTTTGGTTCAAAAAATGACTGAATTTGATTAGTTATTCTCATATAAATTGCTTCGTCTGCGTCAGATTGAAGCTCAAAAGACCAGATAGTGTTTATCCATGAAAGGTCCAGTGAAATGAGATATTGGATGAACAATAGCTTCTTTTCATTTTTAAACTTCTTTTAAATAGAGCAATGAAAAAGATTGGTCTATAAGAGCATGTTCGGTGATGAAGGGATAGAACGGGAGAGGGGGACTGAAAATTTGGTGAAATCACGTGCAAATTAGACAAATAAGGAGAGAGATATGAAACAACCGTTGAGCTGGGCATGTATGAACTATGAGCGCAGAAAAAAAAATCTAAAAGAAAAAAAGGAAAGAAAAAATATTTGTTGATTATGAACGTAGGATGATATGAAGTATGACGGCGCTACAAAATGAAACTACAAAATGGGAAGCAGTATGATGTGAACGCTAATCATACATTCGCAACAATTCTTTTTTTACAGAAATTATTAAAAACATAGCATGGCTGTGTCCTCGTTCTCTCGGTTGAGGAAGAGAATTAGAAATGTGCGAACATCTTATGGAATTTTGGAAAAAAAGGATTCCATTGTCGAAATCTAGAAGCCAAAAACATTTTAATCAGACGAAGCTTAAATTCAGATTAAATTATTGAAATGTAAAATACATGGCAGTCTTATTGTGCACAAGAGGTGGAGGATTTGAAGAGAAGGGACGGAGCGGGAGAAAAGAGGGGGGGGGGGGGGCTGAGGTTGGTTGGTGGCAGCTTCAATGGTTGATGAAATTCAAAATAATAAAAAAATGAAAATTCATAAACACCAACAAACAGTTATAAGCGGAAAAATAAAAGATATAATTGCATTTACAATTGAAATATTGAGTTATTAGAATGTTAAATGATTTTGTGTGTGTTAAGCAACAACGACCATGTGATCAAGCAACTCGAAAGACACATACATATGCAACCGTTCTCTATTCATGAAAAATATTAAATGAAACCTCAGAATATCATTTCGTAGTGAGCGTACAAGATTATGCAAATGAAGACTAAAAAAGCATAAGGAAGCGATTTCGACAATTAAAGCTAATTTTTGCAACTTTTTAAAAAAAAAATTATTTTCTTCCAAAATAAAAAAGGTATGCTGATGGGTTATGGATGTTGTAGAGAGAAAGAGAGGGACATAGAGAGAGAGAAAGGGAGATATATATATATAGAGAGAGGGAAAGAAGGGGTACCAGCTTGAGACAAACTGAAAGACAATGAGGTGAATGAAAACGAAAAGTGGTATCTACTTGCATGTATCTCTATGTATTTAAGAAAATGGTTAGAGTCAAGTAAAAAAATATATAAAACTGAATAATAATTTGATTTTCGGCTAATGTATACTTTACTCATCATTTTACTTGCAGCCATAATAGCTGATATTATTTTAACGAACAACACACAATAATATCATTTTTGAATAGGAAAAGCATATGTTGTGCTCTGTGTAGTTTTACTCTTCAATTACGTAGATAGCTTCTTCTACTCGCACTGTTTCACTCCTCCCTTCTTCCTCTTCTTGATTCTCTTCCTCTCGTTCTCTCATTCTCTCTTTATTTCTTGGCCCTTTGTGAAGATTATCATTTTCGTATTTAATTTTATTTTTTTTCCTCCCTTTTCTTCGTCTTCATCTATTTCCTTAATAATCTTGGTATTGGCGACTAATTAGCATGGATTCTCATAATTTCATTTCTTCTTATAATTTTAATTTAATTAGTTATGTAGAGGGATTGACTGGCATGCTCACACTTCAGAAGAAAAAAAATGATTTTGTTTTATTTCCACCAATACCAATCAAATTCATAACATTAACGAATTGAGAGAGTAAGAGGGCGAGTAAAAGATAGAGAGAGAAAGATAGAGAGAGAGAGAGAAAGAAAGAGGGTTAGAGAGAGAGAGAGAGATGGAGGAAAAGTTTAAGAATTAACGAATTGAATGAAGTATATTGTAGATTGATAGTAAAATGACAAATTTCATTTTAAAATCCATCTAACATCCATGTTTCTCAGAGATTCGTGTACAAGAGTAAAGACAAAAGATTTAAGGCCCGCAAAGGTAATTTTTAAAAATTAAATTGAAAACCAGTTTACAATAATGAAAAACAAGCAAATGAATTGTAATTCGACATTAATTAAGAAAAAAATAACATTTTTCACCAAAAATAGATGAGAGTGCAGAGAGATGGAAGGCTGATGAAGAGAGATGTGAGTGAATGTTACTAATGAAGCATCAAATCAAGACTTGGTCCACAAAATGTTGGATTAAGCTGAGCATAGTCTTATACATTAGTTTATAAATCAAAATTAATCGTTTCACTCTGAGGAAACGAATAATACTATCGTTTTATTCAGCTTTAAGTACATACAAGAAAGGATTCAATTGTTCTGGACGCTTGGCTGGAACCCAGTTCACTTCTGAAAGAAGAGCATATTGTAAGACAAGCAGTTTTCCTGGTTTAAAACGGAAATATTTCGTTTAGTATTCTTGTGTGCCATTGTTGGAATACTTCTGTTGTTTTTACTTCAATACATCTTGTTCCGGGAGCGGAGGAATTAATACATTTTTGATTTTTTTCACTCCGAAAAGAATAGCTGGAAGCATCTGCGTGTGACACTCTTCATACCAGAAATAAAAACTTCTTTCGGAATTTTTTTCGGAGAATTAAAAGAAATTAATGAATAACGAATAATTCATAAGTGAGAATGAGCTTTTCTTCCGACAGATAAAACAAGCTTCAAAATATCTCCCAAGAACGTCTCCTGTAGTACTCGTATTGACGTCGAAAGTTGAAGTTGATTTATCACAATGCATTAGAAGGCTATTCGAGTAGAAGAAAAATTCTTATTCAAATACATTTCTCAGTTGTTTTGAAGTAAATTCAAATTTCCACGTCATTCACGTGAATGCTCAAAAGTCATTTTGTAATGAACGCATTTGCAGAGCGGTTGGTTTTACAGTTTGCAGATGTTGAAGACAACGAACCTTTGGCAATACATGATTTCCATTCATTTTGTGTCAACTTCTTGTTTCCATCATTATCACACGTTTTGAACAGACTACGACTACATGTTCGAAACCTTTTCCATTGCAGAAGCACAACCTTATAAGGTCTCCATTCGGATTTCTCTAATACCTTCAAATAATATGGCAGAAAATAATAATTTGGCTTATCATTAAGAAACCACTAACTTTATTTTTATTCTTATCTAATCGATTGAACTTCCATATTAGAGCAGCATCTCGATCTATCTTATTATTTGTGACATTTCCTGAAGTATAATTTCTCAATTTTTACACAAGAAGACTTTTACTGGGTGACGGATGATCATTGAGCAACTTTTTGAGACAAATTTTTGATGAAAAACGAATAGGTCCAATTTTAAAGGTCTACTCCATATTTTCAAACATGCTTTCTTATTTTCATAAATTTCATGAAACTTCAAGAGGGCACACGCACGCACACGCTTACCTGCCATTATCAGTTCTGTTTCTAATGAGGAGACCAGTCGACGAAGAAATCTGAGACGTCGATGAGCTGCACATCCTACATATAAACCCCAAATTCAATTAAGCTCAATTTTCAATAACCAACTTTGTTTTGGCTTTCGTTTATCTAGTTTTTCTTCAGGACATCTTGGTTTATCAATCAGTGATGTCGTTCCTGTAACGTTCTGAGATCATGATTGATTTATTGAATTTTTCTACCGGGAATCGGCTCGCCCGTATCAATATGAACGCACCAACAGTATCTTGTCTGCTCATGACATTGAACTTGTTGATAATGCCTTCAAAAGTGTTATTCTGATAATCTCCCACGAAAATATATGCAAAATCTTGGAAGACTTACGATGTATTTTTTGATGAGCAAGCTGGTATGTAAACTATAAGGTCTCCACCTGTTCGTCGTGATAAGCTCTTTTGACGTTGAGAGTAACAATCTAATCTAACGTTCACAGAATTGGTTGGAGATGTAGTTGTGGCTTCATTGTTTGGTAATACTAATTTGGCTTTAAAAAAAATTCGTTTTAATCTGACAACCAACTCATATTATATTACCTAATTTGGAATCTTGACTAGAAAGAGATAGTATTGAATACTCGTCCATGGGTGAGCTAATAACACGAGTCAAGGCAACGAATATATATGAATATTGCACTAATGAATACATTCAATTTCTCCTGAAATACAAACAGATCACTTTTGAAAACGACAGCTCGACATCCACTGTGCTTTTTCAATGAAAGATCATCGTTATTCACAGATTCAATACGAGTCATAGAATATGAATATCTAATTATAAATATAGCAAAAACCCAGATATGTACTCATGAGCATCAGCAAGAGAAAGCCACGAACTAGATATATACATACAACCGATATAATACGCCAAACAACTACGAATGAAAGAGCAAGACAACTTTAATGCAAAGGAAATCATGATACTCATTAGCATATTTCGCCAGCACTTATCGCTATGAATAGGTCTAAGCATCTATAAATATCTCGAAAATGATGAATTGCAAACTTAATTCTCTGAAAGTAAAACAAGTTTAAATATACTTTTCATGAAGCAGCCGACGGCTATTTGAAGACGTCTAATCGTCAACTAAACGAAACCGTTGGATTTCTTCTTTGGTCTTCCACTCAACGCAGAGCCACCCACACATCTACGTGTGCTCATAACTTATAAGAAGAGTAGGGTCTAAGTGAGAGCTTCTCACAAACAAGCTTTTTTTGAACCTTCTCAACACTTTTAGAAATAATTTGTGTATTAGAATGAATATGCTAGTTAACTGACGCCTGGAAGCAAACTTTGAACTCCTAGCTAGGAGCACATAGTAGTTTAAAATTCTTTTTTTTCCTGAGTCATCAAACTCAAGACGAAAATATTAAAAAAAAGAAAACTCTTAGATGTTAGAAAGAGATTACAAAGAAAAAGAAGAAAGAGATACAGAAAGAAAATTAAGGAGCCGTTAAACCGCTGTCTTTGTCATCGTTAAATCCGACCTCAGATGACTAGATCGTCTATCGTAAACTATAAATTGTTGTTGATTGGTGTTAAGACCTCGAATAATTCTGAAAACTTCACAAAATGATCAGACACGCTGGGTGAACTTCAGACATGAAATGAACGTGCGTAATTGAATGAGGGAGTTTGATGATAAGAACGGGGGATATCCAGGATTAGCTCATTTATGGCGTGTTCGCAAAAAAAATATTTACAAGTTCTAAATATTGAGGGAAGAACAATTGGAAAGGGGGATTTATGTGATACTATCGAGATGATTCAAACAGAATGACGTCATTAAATAAGTTAGTTAGACAAGATGAGAAGGTTGTTAGCGTCATCCCTATCATCTGATGACGAGAGTTCAGAAAAAAAGATAAAATAAAGTTTATAGAGGACATTAAACTCTTTTTAAATATTCGAGGCTTTGAAGAAGTTCGGAAAAGAAATCTAGGCCCAGAGCCACATTATATTCCCATGTAATCGAAAAAAGTAAAATCAATGAGCCGTAAAAATTATGACAATCAAGGAGACTAAATACCACCACGAAACTTCAAAACGCCCAATAAGGAAAGTTTCCATAGAAAAAAAATAATTTAGAAAAATAAAAAAGGAATTGCATGACAAACTCGAGAATACAAAATGTACGTGTGTACGGGAATAGGAGCAAACAGTGTAATGCGCTCGGTAAACTTCTCAGAGGTAAGTTCGGAACTCAATAATTTCACATATTGATTGAGAGGGACGTCTTCCTCTGCTTATTTGGGGAGCTAAGGAAGTTGTCGGATGACAGAACATGTACAGAAACGTTTATGGCTAAAAAAGAAAACAATTTAATACAAAAAATAACACAACGTCCAATCACAGAGCATTGACGAAAGCCAAAATAAAAATTTTGTCTTCAAACTCGTGAGGTAAACACGTTAGAATATTAGGAAAAGGGCCTGGTAAGTAAGACAACTTGTCTCTAGCTGCATATGAAAACATAACAATAGCTCATCAGGTATGTAAAATATAAAAACGACCTAAAGATCTAGCCATACAGCAAAAAACTGGAACAATTTGGATGATTTTTGGCTAGAATCACAGCATTCAAGAGGTAAAAACCACGAGGTCAAAGGTAAAACAAGTGAGACTAATGTAAAGCAAAACGATGGTTGGATAAATAAAAAAAATGAATAACAGAAAACTTAAACAACATTCACAAGAAAACTGGAAACAGGAAGAAATTTGAAGGATCTCAAATTATTATATAGAAATCTACATTTTTTCAAGTACAAACATTAGAATTATACGAACAGGAACGGAGTGTGCGACCTCACGGTCAAGCACATATTTGACATGAAAATGTAAAAAAGTCCAAAATTAAGAAAAAATATAACGAAAACATTAGAAATCTAGTTTCGGCCCTCAAAGGGTCAAATATGAGAATGTAAGCATAACAGAAAGTGATGGAAAGGTTTAGTCACCTCCGAAAGCTCACTTCGGGCTGATAGGTGACGATGAGGTGGAGCCACCATTAGGAGCACTATGCGATGAAGCAAAGAGGTTAGGGAAAGAATTGATCAGAGAGGTCGCTGTCGGATATTGTAAGTTAGCAAGGTTCAAATCAGACAGTTGGAAGGATGCCAGGTTAGCTAATGCAGATTCCAAGAGTGCCGGACTAAACAAAGGTGGAAATGCATGTAACAGAAGGAGTGTTAGTTGTCGTACCTCACGTAAGGGGAACAGTCGAATTGTGCTGGGGCGTTCTTCAGGTAAGACGGAGTCGTGGTCTGTAAACAGTCATTCTAAGATTGATATAAGTCTTGACGTCCATTTCGATAAAAATGAAATAGAAATAATAAGATGTTAGAATAATCACCACGTAAGTTGAAGCTGGGGTGGGACTAGATGTTGGAGACACAAAAAGTTGTCCACGCATAGGAGACATGAGAGGGACAGGAGTTATGACTCGTCCTCCGGAAATTGAACACAATTCCTCAGATCCTGTTGAAAGTCCTTCAGGAGGCATACCAATATTCGATTTATGATATGGTCTGTAAGTACCATTAATAATAGCTAATTCCATTAGTTGTTTTCTCTTAAGCTCATCAGTTCCCTCTGGCTGAAAAAAAAATTTACTCAGCATTCTCGAGCTATGAGACTTACAGCAGGGACTAAGAGTTTTTTCACATGAGTCATTGCTGCGGCCAATTTCATACGGGCTCTATTTTCAGTATCTTCGCATTGAAGAAGTACATGCAGATCATCATCGAGGTGCTCCCAGTTCGGGCGTCCTCTATTAGCTTCTTCCTTGAAAAACTAAGATATTTATATTCAATCAAGCTTCACTTACTTTTCTCTTATCTTTCATTGATCCCTTGCCTCGGACCATTATCTTACAGCCAGTTTCTTGTTCCAATTGTTTGGCAGTCATACCTCTTGGACCGAGTATACGTCCAACGAAGTTATACTAAAGATAATTTGTAGAATAAGACGCTACAGTAACGAGACTTACATCAGGATAATCACGAATTGGAACATATATCTTTTCGGTGACAGTCACTACTTCTCCCTTGGGCTCTGGTAGATCCACCTCATCAATAACGAAATCAGTTTGGAAAAGGGCGACACGAACACGAGCTATCTCTGAAAAGAAAAGAAAAAGTATAGAAAACATAAACACATGAACAGTATTACCGTCTTCAACAAGTCGATCAGCATGTTGGAAAGCATTTGGGAACATTTCAAGTTGTTTCTTTTCTTTGACTAAAACAGCCAAATATTCCATGGAACAGTCCATGTGACTGGTAACAGGAGGCGATCCTGATTCGAGGGAAGGAGATCCTATTGTAAAATATTGAGATAAAACTTTACAATGCGAATGATACTTTTTCCTTCACTTCCGATGCTCTTCAAACGGCCGTTTGCATCAGTGGCAGCAGAGGATAGGCGGCGTTGCCGTGGAGCCAACATTTGTCTTGGGTATGAAGAGAGAGAAGGGAAAACCTTAAAGAACATAAATGAAACAATAGACTTGAATTTTAATGAACTGGACTTCGAATAAACGGAAGTTTCTTTTTTTGGCTGTTAACATTAAATACTCGCAATAGAACTAACACTGTCATCATTCCTTATGCTGGTAGAATGGTATCCCCGAAGTGGTGAGCCTACAGAAGAACGTTGATATGATGCACAAGATTGCATATCAACCTGAAAGATCGGAATCAATCAATAATATCTCCAAATTCGGATAAAAAGTATGATCTGTTAAAGCATACAGGCAATCCGTCTACAAGCTTGCTGAACCATCATGCAAAGTAACACCACTAGTCAAAAGTATTCCAGACAAAGCAATATGAATAAATCCTCACCAGATTTCTTTTAATTCAATAGAAAACCGGAGAAAACGACACGCCAACACTAACTGACTTGAGGGAATCCCCAGTCAACCTACCGATTTCATGATCTACGCCTGAAACAGGGTATGGCGCCAATTTCGAAACCATGGAGCACACTTCACATCAATGTTACCTTGCTTTTTCGTATTTTGGGTAAAAATTGATCGTCTTAATCAAACTACAGTCTTACCAGAAATAGTTTATTGAGACAAAATTAATAGCTCATACTCACATACACATGACAAATTGAAAAATAGCACTCAAGAAGTTTAAGCAATGAGCACTTCTGAAATTTCAAATTTTTGGAATTGCTCCTGAATACTGGCCATGTCCCCGCAGCACTTCGTGTCTTCAATCTAAAACGGATTGTACACACATCTGGTGGAAAGCTTGTTGAATACCTTCGTTTTGATATTTAAAAGCTCAGCTCTTGAATATGTTTTTACACAGGAGTCTTCGGAGGATAACTCACAGTATCCTTCCTTTGTAAGTGAATTAATCAAGTTGTTTTGAGAATCTTATAAATCCCCGATTACTAGGTAAACATTCTCGTCTCTTACCTTCATTTTGAATAACATTCAAGATGTTCAAAGATTTTCTGAATCCAGTGCTCTGAATGCGAACAGTGCCCTGTGTCTCAGACCATTGAAGTAAAACCTGAATTGCGCGTAATCGCAATGTGAGTTTTTTCACTTACGTCTCTGACAGCTGTGATCGCTTCGGGCGTGGTCCTGACCCATTTAACATTGGCAAGCGAACAGGGCACAACCTATTACTGCTTGAGAAAAAGAAAGAAGAACGAAAACATACCAAAGCTGGAAGATTACAGAAGTTAGGAAGTATTTTCCAACAGCGTTTAAGAGAAAATGGTAAGAGAACTCCAAGATCTATCAAATAAACTTGTGTTTCAGAAACTCGTTTGGCGCGAGAGTAGGCATTTTCATATGAGTAAACTAAGAAACCGCCAACCTATCATAACACTTGAGAAATAAATTGTAAACAAGAGCCTACTTTAACTTCACTACTGTTTTTAAGGGAAGGGCTAGTTTTACAGTAATGACTCAAATTATCGCTCATAGCGCTGTAATTCTTGTTAGGTGCTCCAACCTCCACTACGTGGAAAGAAAACTCATTCTCAGCTCCGGGAGGAGATGTAACGACTTTAGCCTGAAATGCACTCTTCAAATTCGCTGGAAAAAATATTTATAAGGACCTGAATGGTTTCACCGACTGAAAGATCACGGAAGGCGATAAACGAATCTGGCAGTCTTCGCCCCTTTTCTTCTTCGGTCTGCTTGGATTTCAACACGGGAGTTACATTTTGGGAGATCGGTGCAAGAACTCTACTGAAATGCTTTCATAGACTGATTTCAGTATTCATATTTACCTGTCGGATTTCTTAGGGTTTGTTTTGTCAGTCCCGTTAACACGAATATCGCTCACCTAGAACGGGAAATCAAAGCCACAACCATAGCAACAACTCACCCAAATACTGATATTATCAGAGACAACCAACTTTCTTTTGTTAATGTTTTTCCTTACAGCATCAGAACCGTTGAGAGTGAGCATTGTTACAAACCTAGCATAAATATTTATAAGAAAAATGATAACGATATCTACCCATATTTGGTTTGACCGGCGTTTTGAGTTGAAGGGATTCTAACATTATCAACAGCTCCATATTTGAGAAAAACACGGAACAGATCCCACTAAAAGTATATTGGAGAAGAAAATACATCTGAGCTTACATCAGTGAACTGTTCAGGAATTTCTTTGACGAAAAATTCCTTTTCGTTGTTGCTTTCAGCGACAGTCATCTTTTACTACAAAATAAAGGAAAATGAGTTATTCTGGTGTTAATTTTACGAAACGTTTACAATACTCTATCGTGATGAACATTCAAAGTAATACTTAATTAATAGTCACACAAGTTCAAAAATATATTTTTCGCGCAAAGTGTCAGTACGACGTATCTTTGCAGACCAGTTTGTACAGTAACCTCCAAATTCCATGAGCGCCTCTACAACATACCCTTTGATCACATTAATTCAGCATAAATTTCTGTAGGTTTTCTTTATGAATGAATGATTTTCCAGTTTTATTGCAGTTTCACCGTTTGAAACATTAGTGGAAATTAATATTATCATGCTTCTTCTGTATCAACATGCACTTGTTTACTTCCTTGTGCTCCCATGTAGTACTCTACTGTTTGTATTTCTCATGAAGATCTGCTGCTCTTGTTGCTCACAAATGAGTGAAACGTGTGACAATTAGCATAGCAACAAACGTGATTAAGTCCACGTGTAAAGCACACGTCGACTATAAAATCGTTTTAAACTTTGCACGGTCAGGTGAACGGTTGCAGAACTCTTCGAGAAAGCTCACACATTCGTAGAAAATTCCAGAACGAATGAACTATTTACATTTTGGAGTTTTCGAGAAAAATTTCGTCGCTCAAGACAATTGTTGGTGTTAGAACCTAATGTGGATAAAAAGTAACTTTTTTTTAACTGAAAAAGTCGTTTCGGAATATGGGAAGATGGATTCGGAAGTCGTCAGTTCAAAGTCTCTGAAATGCGACGTCATTCAATCTTTACACAATTTTCGAAGATTTTTTTGCTTCGTCATTCATAAATCAACAAGTTCTCGAACTAAACATGATGGCCTTCTCTACAGAGAGAGAGAGATAGAGAGGGAGAGAGAGGTGAGAAAATAGCTTCAAATTGTGATGATATCTGAGTTTGCTAAAACATTCGTGTGTGTGTGTGTGTGGTGTGTATTGAGATAGTGTAATTCTTATGAAATTCTTGCATAACAAATATGTAGTTTCGTAGAAGCTTCTGTGTGTTTGAATAATTCCTTGTTGGCCTCTCACTATCAAGCTTCGTAAGGACTAGCAGGAAAATGAAAAAACCAAATCACTCTTGTTATAAATTAAAAGCGTTCAGTGTGTTAAGAAAACGTGTTTTAGTTTTGAAAGCCTTAACCTTTCTTCGTCAAACATCATGGATGTAAAAACAAAAAATGTGCTCATTCTCTGATGGTCAAGCTTACTGTTCGTATGAAATAGTACAAGAAAGTATGATGTGTTTACGTTTATTAGATGAGTGAAAACAGTTACTTATATAATAATAAAGTAATTTAAATAACTTAATAGCCAGTGATTGCCATGATTGCAAGAAATTGAGTAAAAGAATAAATTATATGATATTGCCAAGGCTATAATGCTCAGATTAAGTTGGAGAGATCAGTCTGGATATGACTTCAAGAAACAAGAAGAGATCAGATATATAGACTGTAGTACGGTAAGGTAAGAAGTAAGGAATCATTGGAATAAGCATAATACGAATTGAATAAATGTATCAATTGAATATCTCCTATAGTGCACTATAAGCGCATACTGTAAATCCATGGAACTGTCCTGTCTCCATGTTTGACGTGTTCGATCTTTGGCATGTATGGTCCACATAAGCCAAGTAGAATTATGAAGTGATTGTACCAAAAGCGTTTTGAATACAAGCAAAGTTTGTCAGTGAGTTGGCGAAGGTCCTAGAGCTCTTAGAAGCTGTTTGGGTTCTTCTAGCCATGTTGTGCTTTATTTGAGCAGTTTTGACTGCATTTCGAATGTCTGAAAAGAAAAGAAAATGAGAAATGTTTCAGTGAAGGCTATATGAAGTAAGAAAGTAAGAATGAAAGGATTAACTAACCGAATGAATTAACAGGTAAGGATGAGCAGTCCGAAGTCGAGATATCAGGCATTGTAAATGTGAATATCGAGTAAATAGGCGAACGTTCGAAAAGCTTCGAATGATAGAAATCGGCTTCACTTGGAGGAAGTGGAAATTCAGGAATCATTGTGATTATTGAACGAGTACTGTATTCGAAAAACAGATAATAGCTTATTGGGTATAGGTAGACCCGAAACTGTGATAAGCGTTGAGTGGGAGACGGTGTCACAAACGAAAGAGACATAGAATGCTCGGCTCGGCCTTTTTATAAGAAAGAACAGAAGGCGGGGCGGTCCTTCCGATTGCATTTGAAAAGCTGCAATAGAAATGCAAATGACTTACGTTAACGCAACAGTAGAAAGATCACTGTGGGTGCAACTAGTTGAAGGTTCAAAGAGCTTTGCACAATAAATTATTAATTTCAGTTTTTTTTTCATTTTGCAACTCTGTTCCTGAGAGATTCTAATAGCATCTTTTGTAAGATTTGAATTGTTTTTCCTGTACGTACAAACCACATACAGCCTGTCCAAATTTGCAGGTCACAATGGGTTTCCACGGTTAGTCATAGCTAAGTTGACGAAAGTTTTCGCATAATCTGCAGAATGATGAATGACATCATACTATTCCGAACTTTCACAATATTTGAGGAGTGGGTTTGGAGGCACCTAATCTTTACCATTATCGTCGTAATTAGATTTAATGTCATGAAGGTTTCTCTGATTTTCCGTTTCGGTGCAATGCTTTAGAGCGACCGAAAAAAAGGAAGACAATTTCGCAATAGGAATGGGCGATGTCAGTGGACGTCGGAAGCAGCGTGTACGAGGTGTTGGTTAGGAATGATTCAAAAGCCAGAACAAAAAATTCTTTCGATAAATTATGACGACGCCTGCAGCGAATGTGTTTTATAAAAGATGTCTTGTCCCTAAATCATTTCTCTTCTAACTAAGACGATAATGATGATGACGATGAAATTGAGAGAATGATCAGAACGGCCCGTGATTCACATGTGGTGCGAGGACGCTATTGTGTTCGTTACGGAAGCCGGCTTTCTACTCAATTAGACAACATCACCATAGGGCAAACAATTAAGATGATAATCTAGTTATGATAAGTATGTTTGACAACTCAAACAAAGAGCACGTGTATATGTAATGCCCTTTGGTAATTGAACACATGGTTATTGGAAGATCAAAAACGAAGGATGACCGTGAAAGAACCTCAAGTACTGCAGAAGCAGGGTACATGCAAATATATTATCGGACAGTTGATATGTACACAATACTTCCTGGAGAATTACAAGTTCACAGCTACTGCATGACTAAGATTATTTAGAATGTTAAAAATGCGACAAAAACTTATTTTGCTTGAATCTTTTCTCATCATGAAAGGTAGAAAATTAATTAAGGTATTAACTCCTAAAACATGGCAGTGATTATCAATTTAATCTTCTTATCAGACGAAAGAATGTCAAAACTTCAGTTCTGCTTCGTTAAACTACAAATTAATCATGCATATAATGCTTAACTATTATATCATCATAATCTAAATACGATATGACTCAGTGCTATGCAATGTTTTCATAGCCGCCGACGATCTAGTTGATCTATTATACAACTTTTAATGTTCTACCTACACGCAGCCCCACCTATCTTACTCATCTTTTTTTATTTCTCGTTTCTCCCACACGATTGAAGATTTTTTTTGTGATGTGTACTTTCTTTTTTTCGTTCTTCTTTCTCCTGTGAAATGGATGAACTGTAAGATGATATATATTTATTAATAAGAATAATACTTTAATGAACTTTTAATTTCTAGTTTTTGCACATGATGTCAATTATATTTGCATAACAGATTATAAATCTATTCTCGGGGGATTGCAGAAAGGGGGGAGTTGAACGTGATATCTCTCATATTGTCATTTTATGAGCAAATTAAGGTGCGAATTGGAAGCCCAAGTTCCGGCCGTCATCATCATTTAAAATGATAAATCCTGCAATCATGCAATCTTATATGATCTGCTTCCTACTGAATCATTCAAACAGAGTCGAATCACACCCTAAAAATCATTACATACAGGGACTTCGGGCCCATAAAACGCAAGAGCGTCAATGCGGTTTTATGGGGGCAAAGTTTCGCTACGAAACGTTGCACATGGTGAACGTCACCATCCACTCTTATTCAGGAAAAAATAGCCTTTTTTCCATTAAAATGGGTGTGAAATTAATCGCAATGTACTGAAGAAAACTAATAAACAATCTCGCATCATAAGTAATACAAGCAAGTTCGTCATTTACAAAAACTTTAAAGATTAAATTGAAAACGGGTTTGTTTACAATCGTGGGACAGGAAAGTAAAAAAAAAAACAATTTTGACACCTTAACTGAATATCGGAACGAATGTATTCGACAAACTCTGACAGAAATGTCATTAGCGACTTCAATGAACTACAAGAACCTAGTTGATGAGACAGAAGACAGGCGAAGGCAAATGAAAATCAGAAAAAAAAACACAAAAAATACAACAAAAAAAACAGAAAGTAATGATCAGAGAAAGAAAAAAGGTCTGAGACTTTTCTTATAAAAGTTTTTCTTTTTTTATCTTGTTTTGAATTTTCCTGTTCTTATTTCGATGAAATAAATGATATCTTATCACCCCCATTAAAATACAGTAAAGGATTATACTTAATAACAATAATAATAAAAATATATGTTTGTTTAGCGGGAAAAAAGAACAAAGAGAAGAAAAAAATGTATCAATCAGTTAATCTCTACGCCAAATGCTGCCGCGCCAGCAATATGCTAATGAGACTGGACAACATGCGCAGTGATGATGACCAATCACATTTCAAACAGTTAAAACAAGTCGGGGCGGTTGCATTCAACAGTTCACTTTCGAAAAAAAAGGTGGAGAATGATGAATGTTTATGAACAAGGGAAACTCATATATTGTAAAATATAATGTGCTATCAAGGAACTAAATGCGAAGTGACAATTGAAATATAAGGAAACGTTAGTGCTTCTTCAATTCTTATCATTGATGGTATTTTGAAAATGATTTGTTGTCTGGTCTTCCAGACAAAACTTTAAATCATCTAGAAAGCTGTTCTTTGGTTATAGAAATTATAAAATTTGGAATTGAAAAAAAAATGTTAGGTAACATAGGGCAAGATTGTGAAAAAGGATGATATATGATCATATAGCATGATTTTTCATTTTCATATAATCAGTGATACTAATTTACCGTTATCTCTTCAGTTCCCTACAGAATAGCTTTTATCGTGCTTTAAAAGCTCTTATCGATTATTAATAAGTCATGATAACGATAAAGTCTTATGGACGAAAGTTCATTGAGCACCCATTTCCAAGAAATGTTCTACACTGCACGCTTTAGAGAGAGAACGTCTTAACGAATTATGGTTTTTCTTATTAGGAATGATAGGGAATGATCAGTTATGCCTTCATTCATAATGTAAAAGCTAAACGTTATCAATCTGGAAATTCAATTTTGTTCGATTGAACCTTGCCCGGTGAGTGGGTTGCCTGATAAGACTCCAAGAATTAGTTCCTAAACTGACATATGGACGATTCGGGGGTTCCCTGAGTACCTTTCGCCTACATTTTCTCTTAAAGGGGACTCTTAGATTTCAAACTAATGGGAAAGAACAACATCGTGGTCTTGCACATGACTGAGGCCATTACCTTCGAGCAACCTAACGCCTCTGAGTTGTCATAACCTTGCATCAAAATCATCTGACTTTCCAATAACTGTTTTGGTGGGTGAGAAGCCGGAAATAACAAGTGATGTGGGTCGTCCATGTTCTGGTCACAACTGAGAACTTCGACCAAGCCAACTTCAAGAGCTAATGTTAAACTAAAACTGTGTTCAAATTGTTGATCGTTATCAAGAAACTAGATGCACATGTACTGTGTTATGATTAGGGAAGAAAATGCTGTTTGGCCCCCAGTTTTCTACCACAGTTGTGACACATGTACCGTTCACATGCATTCTACATGAGAGAAAAACGATGGGGTCGGAATACACCTATTTCGATGCGTCTAGCGTGTTTTCATGGAAAAGATTGTACCCCATATGAAACTTACACCTTATCAGACCACAAATTGTATTTCAAGTTCTATACAATTATTTTTCTGTTTTCACCTATAAACGAAAACAGAACTACATATACATAATTGTGAGTAAAGCATATAAAGTACAATTATCACAGCTAGTTTATTGAGAAAAGCTTGAGGTAAGCTTATGCGTGAGTCTTATGAAGAAATCTTTGAAGGATCAAATCTCCGACTACAGTAACGGTATCAATCTCTAGAGCGGAGTCTCCTGATCTATAATTGAACTTACAAAGGGGGATCGAATCGACATCAATCTGAAGTAGTATGTGAGCGTGAGTTATAAGACAACTATGCTCACCGCTACACTTGTTCCATAAGCATGTAAGACAACGTCATGTGTGATTCCTTTGTTGAAAGGGAAGGTTGCAATAGTTCGCTCTTCGGTTTGCCACTCACCATTTTTAGTACTATTTCTTACTACAGCCGCCTGTAGGAGCTGTTCAGAACGTTAAGTTTATCATGATTAACCACCTTGTTCTTAGTACTAGGCATATCGACTCTAAGATGAAGAAGATGTTCTCCTTTAGCAAGCAGGTTGATAGTGAATCTCGAGGCAGAGACAAAAGGAGTAAGAGTTAACTGAATTTTTTGCGGAGACAAAAAACCAGTCGGCTCAAATTTCCAAGCAAATGGTATATCCTACAACACGGTAATGCGGAACAAGAAAATTTTCTTTACCGGCTTGTTGGCTACGCTTGTTTTCCATTCCTGATTATGGGGAGTAGGATTCTGGATCACTTGGCCATTACTGCCGAGCTACAAAGCTTTGTTATGACGAATCTAATTTAGCAGGAAAATTTTATTTACATTCTCATATACATTAAAGCGCAAGCAGAAGTGTAAGCTTTTTAAGCATTTTTTTTATATTTCTTTTGAAATTGTCTCTTCTGGGTCATTTATTGCTCTTCACCCTAAAAATATATGCGTCACAGAAGGCTGTTTTCGTTTTCAACAAGGTTAGGCACATCATTCAGATAGTTACTTTTGCTTTAGTCCTATGTTATGGGTAACAGTATAACCACACATATTGTCTTTAAAATACTCACCGGTGGCTGGAATTCAATGAACTCCAGACGAAGATTTCCTGACACATAAATGGTTCTTATACTCTCAAGGCATTGAACTCTATGAGCGAAGTCACATACATGTTTCCCATTCACCGCGATCTAAAAACTTATGACGCTGTCGTTTTCAGAGAGTAAATACCTTGAAATATTTTTCCAGGACGAGAATGCGGACTTGGAACGGTTTACCTTCTTGAAAAGGATTGTCAAACCTTTCTTCTGTTTCCCATTGGTTGTTCACGTAAGAGTTTAGAACCAATGCTCTATCGGGCGAACCGGACAACCTAGATTTGATTCATGGTTGAATCTTGGAAATGACACAAACCAGCCACCAGGACCATCGAATCTTGGGTTGAAATGAAGTGCTTTGTTATCCATATGATCTCCATGAAGAAGAAGTCCACAACAGAGGTCAATGTTGAACCTGATAAGACCAGATTCAGTTTATTCAAATCAGAACATTGACTTTTGAATGATACAAAAATAATTTGCTATTTTCGCACTTGCAGAATGGTTGAACAATAAAAACGGCATTTGATTTTTGCTTTCACCTTCTTCCATTTGCAGAGGATCCTGGTTCAACAATACCACTGACGACTATTGCTCTTCCTGGGAATACGCCACCAACAATAGCAGAAACAAATGGAACGTCCTAGAATCGGACTTTCAGTAAAGTTTCGATCATCCTTGTTTTGTTATCTCTCACTAACCGGATTTTTTCTTATAAAAGTTTTAGGAGGGCTTAGAAAGAAAGGGTAATCAGAGAGTGCCATTGTGTCTATATTTAGAAACTTTGTAATTATAACTGCACACCTTACAGAAAGTTGGAAAAACAGTGATTCTACCAAAAAAATATAAATAGAAATGAACTAAAAGATTTTATTTCAACTAGGAGTATGCCATAATCAACTGGTTATGTGACATGTTGTGTGGATCAACAGAATAGATGATCCATCATAAGCGGTAAACGTTAATAGAATATTACAGTTTGAAATTCAACTTGAAACGAGGGAATACAAGGTTTTATCACACATACACTGATCATTTTCTTCGCTTCGAAACGTCTCAGTTTTTTCTGACCCAGCATTTGAATAGCCGTCAGGTTTTTCGAGACATTTTGACGTAAAAGTAAACAAAACTTACAGGGCTTCGAATGATATTGAGTTCCTCATCTTCCAAAGGGGGTGCAGTTGCCATGACTTTCGTAACCTTACTAACGAAAAAACTGAGCGTCACATGCGAGAAGTTAATATTGAATAGATATGTTTGTTCTACGCGTACATACGGATTCAGTTCAAACAGAAGAGCTAAAACAATAAATTTATTGATACGATAAAAAAAACAAGTGGGAACGTGAAGATCATAAGTTAGAAACAAAATTAATCTATCAAGTTAATTAGCGCATTTGAATGATTCCAGCATCTCTGAGCTTCATCAACTTTGTGCGAATTTCAGGGTTTTTCAAATGCTCTTGAGCAGCTCCGGGATCCTGGGAAACAATTTCAGTCAAGAAGGAAAAACCAATATTAGTTTACCTGACTCATTTGCTCCAACAACATACGCATTCCAGGATCGCGCAGGATCTCCTGAACTTCAGGGTCAGCCATAGCGCGCTCGCGAGCCTATAATGATATTAAAATCAACAGAATTTAAAAAAGTAAACATACAACTTCTGGACTTTCATCGTTAGATCTGATACAGTTACGAAGTCCTTCTTGAGCTTCACTGTTCATTGGATCAATGTGCATAGCATCTTCATAAGCTTTTCTGGCCTTTGTCCACTCGTGCATGGCTGCGAGGACAGCTCCTTTACGGATATATCCCTTGACTGTACAAAAAAGTGAATGTTCGATTATTTTTTTAACAAAACATACTGAATTTAGGATCACGCTTGATGCAGTTTTCACAGTCATCAAGAGCACGTTGGAAATCCATGAGTTTTGTTAAGCATGCAGCTCTATTAGAATATAAGATGGCATTTTCAGGGTCGCGCTTGACGGCTTCATTGTAATGTTTCATGGCTTGAGGGTAGTCTCCCTTCTAAAACATTTATCAACGTTAAAACTATGACGGGCAGAAATATTATACCTTGAAGAAATCGTTTCCCTTATTCTTCTCCTCTTGGGCAAGTTCTGGGTTAACGTAAGCCAATCTTTCCTCTTCCTTCAGGTTTTTCTCGAGCTCCTTGACTTTCTTGACCAACTCCTTGAATATAATAATAGTAAAAGAATGAGAAAAAATAACTAACTGGGTCTCTGAACTCGGACAAGGATTTACCAAACCAATTCAAAGCTAGCTTCAAGTTTCCACTCTTCTGATGGGCATTACCGATTCTAGCCATTGCCCTAACATTACAAAGTTAAAAAGAAAATCATCAGGAATAAGCATACTTTGCAATAAGCTTATAATCAGCATGATGCTCTCTTCCAATATCAACAGCTTTAGTACACAAGTCAATGCATTCAGTAAATTTACCCTCCTCAAAGTAAGCAGCTACAAAAGAAATCAGTTTATAGAAAAGAAAAAAAGTCTTACCAGCTTTGTTATTGTAGAATGTAATATTGGTGGAATCTAGTTCGATTGCCTTGTCGTAATGCTGATGAGCAGTGACAAAGTCTTTTGCTTTGTATGCTGCATTTCCGAGATCTTTTTCTTGAATTGCCTGAATGAAGAAATAAAGAATAAGAACACAGTAACGAATTAAAGCCAAACCTGTGCGTCAACCATAGCTTAAGGAAGTTATGTCTGTTAATATACCACTGTTCAAAATAACGTTAACACAGAGGCTTTGCGGCGCGAATGTTCGAGAAAACAGAATTTGCCAGTAAATGACGTCAATCTAGGCAGGGCGCGATTCAATCCTATGTTTTGAGACTTTACTCGCTATCATACTCAATGATTGATAAGTTTTCTTTGAATATAAAAAAAATAACATGACTAGTACAATCTTTTATTAAGGTTAAACATTAATTTATATTAATAATTGTTTAAACTGCTCTCATTCCAACTCTATAAAATATATATGAGAAGTGTTATGGGAATAGTATTACTTGGCTTATATGCTGGTTGTTACTAGCGAACGATCGTTCCATCCTTGTTAAGAATGCATCTGCTCGATCTAGCAATGCGGAAAGGCGGACCTGAATATAACAATCATTGAGAATTTAAGAACTTGAATATACTTGATTATCGAACTCCTTTCTTGCTATCTCCAGCTGAAGCGTTTCATTATCTATTTCATTTCTAACAGGCTCAGCCGGTTCGCTATTCATTCGTTGTCGTTTTGGAGCACAAACAGAAATTGCTGGTTCAAGAGGCTGGCCTGGACCTGAGAATTGAACAAACTGTTTAAAAAAATTTGCTACTGAACTTACTAGAGGGTTCAGCATAGTCGAAAAACTCCTCTAACTCATGCTCATCTAGGAACCTTCGGTTCCTGGTTGAAAGATGTACCTAGATTATGATTTTTTTCTGTCGTCAAAAATTTTAATCTAACCTGGTTTTGTTTTCCAGCTTCAAACCATTCTGGATCTCCTTTCCAATAATAAACTAGAACTGCCAAATGAGAACATGTAGGATAGTATCTGAGAAACGTCTTATATACGTATGAATCAGAATAAATGTATACCTATCTCCATTTACGCTTTTACCCGTGTAGATTTTTCTACAGAACCTACCACTAACAGCAGGATGTTCATAACGTTTTGAAAGTATTTGAATATCATAGGTTGCACCTTCGAGCAATTTGTTTGCTCTATCTACTCGTACGGCATCTCCCGTTTCAGAGTCAATTTTATAATATCTTAATGTTGTGGTTTAATATTCATACTGCTACTGTATCAACCTAGAATGTCCGGCCGGTTTTCCCCACACTCCGTTGTTATCTCTTCGTAGTAGAGCATCACTTTCAAAATTTCTTATATCTATCACAAACGATCCAGCTTCGCGGTACGACTGAGGAACACGGTTACATATCCTAAATAGTACATGAGTTGAAGATACATAACATAATGGGAAATGAAGAATGCAATCGTTCTGTGTGTGAACAAGAAATCTCACTTTGAAGCGTCTACAAGTGTTCCTCCTAGGATGATAGAAGCAGCTGTATTGAAATCTATGGCACCGACGGCATACAACGGCGTATCACCATAATATTCCTCTATGGTAGCTGGCAAAGGTTCTTTCCCACCAGCACTCTATTAAAATCATTTATGATATTTTTTAAATATCACATACAAAAGAAGCAGCTTCCCAGTTTCCTGTTCCATCTGGTGGTGCTAAGGAATGAGGCTTACGCATCTTAGTGCCGCTCCCTATAACGTAAGATAAATATGTATATCTGAATGAATCAAACCTTGGACTGAAAAGTCAAAAGGCCTTCCCATCCACTCATATGTAACTATTGCAATTCCTACAGCAGCTCTCTTTTCGGGAGGATATAATGCAGTATAAATCTGCAGAAAGTTTGTTTCAAAAAAATGCTATGCTGTAAGCTAATCACCTTCTTGATCAACCTGTTTTGACCACCTTGTAATGCTGCTGTGACAGGATGTTCATAGCGTTTCAACATACATTTATAGGCATAGGTAGTACCAGGGAGAAGCCTTCCCTGTAAAAAAAAAGATGAATAAGTATGGGAAGAACGGCACTCACTCTTCCATCATCGCATCGTACAATACGACCTTTCTCATCGACAATATAGAATCGAACACGGCCAGTTGGTTTACCTAATATACATGAGTGGAGGCCAACAAGACGCAATGCTTACCCCAAGATCCTAACCCATCCTGATGAACTTCATGCCGATTGACTAGAGGTTGGAGATCCACAATAAATGTTCCATCTCCTTTATACAATTGAGGTACAGTTTTGCATATCGTCTTGGAATCTACTTCAAGAGATGAACAAAGAATTTCACAAGCTTCCTGAAAATCGAGAATGTATACTTGAAAAACATTGGGACTCACGTAATAATCTATAGGACGATCCCAATACAACGGCCATTCCTTGTAATGGAACGTAACTTGATTTCGACTCACTAGATCTCTTATAGATTCTTTTCTACCAATGGGATCTTCCTAAATCGTAATCACTGTCAGAAATGAATATGAAATAATATGATACACTGTCATATGTACATGTAATGTCGCTATCGTCCTCTTGATCATTGATGCCGATGTTTCCTGCCTGAATATATCGAAACTGAATAGAATTTTGAACCTCATTTACCTTTCTCAAAACAGCATCGCCATACATTCTAAACAGAGGTCTCATTGAAGGAAGATTACCATGTTCGTTTTGAGGATCGGAACCTTAACATCACTTGAGTATCTAGACTACATCTCTCAACGAACCACCCCATTGCTCTGCTTGTTCATCTCTGGAAACCAGAGATTTCCCAGAAGATACAAAAAGCTGAGGCTTCGCTTTCAAACTATCAGGAGTCAGAAGCACCTAAGAGAATTTGAAGACATTGGAATCATTGGTATTATTACCACTCCTGGGGGTCCTGAGTTTTTTAAACTTATATCATTTTTTTTCATTGGGATCCCAACAGGTATTATCCATGGCTTATTTTCACTTGATCTTCCGCTCTAAATTTGAGTATGAAGTCTCAAGTGATTAGATGGGACGGTCACCTCTACAGCGTTAGTAAGATCGGCTATATGATGCTTCTCATCTGCTGCAGGCAAATATATAACAGTGTTCCCTTGTTCGTCAACATGAATTGACTCTTCATTAAACTCGACACTACCTCAAAGATTGATTTTGGATATTTTGTTTTTTTGTAACATCTATTTTCAATATGCTTCATTTGTAAAAATAAATATTTCTTACCATCTATTATAATTTCGTCTTCTTCTCCTATATTTTGCACGTAAGTCGTCTCCACAGAATCATCATGTGAAGGATGATGTGCTTTCGAAGTAGAAGGCTCGTCATCGTTCATTTTATTTATATTACCGCCAAACGATCCGTCGGAATAGTTGCGTGTTCTGTACGGCATCTATTATCCAGGTCTAATAGTTACTGTAACATTAGGGCAAGCTTCAATCCATTGTAAATATCTCTGGTAGAACTGAAGGTAAACTATGGAAAACACACCTTCATATAGACAAACGGAACATTAAGTTTTAGAATATATTTATGAAGAAATGCTTACATATGATTCATAAGTTAAGAGAAACGAATATGCTCACACAAGGAAAATTATGAAGAACTGCTGTTCATCAGCTTTAATAAGAAACAAGTTAATCTAAATGGCGTCGCGGGAAAAATTAGAATATCGATTACGGACTGCTTCACGCATTGACTTCCCCGAATTAACCCAATGGCTTATCATGTTACTACGGAAAGAAAAAAAATTAAAGATTGAAGTGTTTATAGACAAATCATATTTAATATTTTATAAAAACAGACTGTCGAGGTAGAATAATCATCATATACAGGTAGTCTTCCGGAACATCGTCTGAATAATACGGATTTTAAACATATTTTTTTCACAACAGGAGACTAAATTAGAATCTAAAAAGGTTGAAAGCTCTTTGTGTCAGCAATTGTGGCTTTGAAAAGCATAGCTCCAGTGGGATTGACAATCGTTCTGGAAGATTTCATACGATTATATTCGCAGAACAAACTCTGGATCTTACTTGAACGTATCTTTTGGCTTCAGATGTCCAATATCTTTACCAGCCCACAGATCTCTTAATAAATATCCAGCAGAATTGCTTAATCCAATGTGTTCTAACGTGAATTCAACACTCTGAAGTATTCAATGAGAATGTAACGAACAAATTTAACTCACATTGATTGTCTGAAGACTTCGATTCAGAATGGCAACGGCAAAAGAAGTAAGCCCTTTCTTGATTGGGGTAACAGGCTTAACATAGACTCCAATATCAGACGTCTAAAACATTTAAACATTATTTTCGGAACTGTAGATGATGAAACTTACATTTGCTACTAATCTTCCCATAATACCCAGAGGATCTTGATCTATTGCAATAACTTCACGGTTGAGCAAGATGTCACGGAATTCAGGAGCAAGAGCTCTCAAGTCGTTGGACATGATCAATGGTGCTGACCATATAGCCCAAATAGACATTTGGGCAATCGACATATCAACAGTTATTCCAGGATTACCAATTACTAACTGTTTTTCAATGATAAACTGTTTGAGATGTATAAAATCACTACCATATCGGGGTCGTGGAACTTTCCAGGACCTTGAGCCGGGATGTGCTTGTCTTGGTTGGCATCGTAATAATTTATGATACTCTGAATAGATTTCCAGGAACTAAAAGGCATCAATCATGAATGCTTAGTTAGAAACATTAAAAACCTGTTGATGTCATCAAAGTTTCTCCATAGATTGCAGAACTCTCCAATAACTGTATAATTAACCTAATCAAGGTAAATAACTCGGGTTTGCTTTCTTTACTTACTTTATCAGGACGATCAATATTATATGCCGGCCAACTACAGGAGTAAACAATAGGACGTCCAGTCGCATTCAGTTCTCTCTCCATTTGCGGGTAACCTAATTAAAATAATCAGTCGTTTCTCTCCTGAAGGTTCATACCAATAGGCATTAGATCAAGTTCAATGTTGCACCCATCAAGTTTGAGATAATCGACATCCCAATCAGCAAAAGTTTGAGCATCAATCTGAACATTCAAACAGTACTCAGTTGAATGTTTGCTCTAACCTTCAAGAAGTTATAACTTCCTGGGAAACCAGCACATGTCTTTGTTCCATAATCTTCGTAGATTCCAAACGTGAGTCTGCGATCATGCATCTACAAAATGATGGTAAGGAAAGAACATCAACTGTTTTCACATACATATTTCGCCAAGTTTTTCATTCCACTTGGAAACCTTTCTGGATCAGACACAAGACGACCATTAGCATCACGTTCTCTACCCATCCAGCAATCATCAACATGAACACCTTTATACCCAGCGTCTCTGAAGCCATCGGCTACTGTAAATCGTGAGTATATTTTCAAAACTGCTGTGCCAAATAGTCTTACCCATCCTATCGGCCATCTGCATGTATAGTTTTTCATTAATACATGCATCGGGATGCTTCTTGCAATCCATTTCACAATAAAAAGCAGTCCAAGACATCCAACCCATGGGTGGTGTTCTGAAGACGACACAGTAGAAAAGCACATATGCTTGTTTTACCTTGCTAAGCCATTGTCTAAAGCAAAAGTCAAAGAGACTAGCACGAGGAATGGTAAAACTAGCCGCATATCTGAACTATCAAAGTTGAAATAGAATCAAACGAGTTGAGCTAGAACAACGAGGGAGCACGGAACGAGACACTAATAAGGTATGATAAAGATTGATATGGCTAACATGATTGTAAAAATAACAAACAGAGATAAAGTAATTGGTTCCTAACCTCTCCTAACTTTTCCTTTCTGTCAGTAGTTCTATCACATTCTTTTCGATATTTGAACTGATTATAAACATGAAATAGTAAATAGTTGCGTGTTCAAATATAAGTAACCAACTATATGATAGAATTCATGAGAAACTGTCCCTAGTTGGGATGGCAGAAAAAAAAGGAGAAGAGGAGGAATGATAAAAGACAACAAAGTCGAAAGGTACTTGTCAAAAGACAATGGTGACATTGGAAGATGAGAACATTAACAACCAATTCAGAAACCTGAACTCTTACATTTTGTTTCGTTTCAAACTGTTTGGTTGACAACAAAACAGAAAGTTCTGCTAGCGTTTCAAACACCTTCTCTGATTAGTGGTATGTGAAAGAGATGAGACATGGATGTAGAAAGGTTTAGATGTTAGTTAGAAGAACATAAACTTCATAGACAGTCTGAGAAGTTTTCATAAATGAAAAGACAAAGCAGTGTGATTAATGTCAATATATATATATGTTGATCATCGTATGTTTACATGAATTATCAGCTTATAAAACTGGGCATAGTTCAAATAAATTTTTTCTCGTAACACAAAATCTATCAATTATAAGTTGATATCTCAACTACAGAACTTCTGTATAAACATATGATTATCATGTCGGAAATGTTAGAAAATGAAATGGCAAATTAAAAGCAAATACAATACTGAAGAAAGATGAATTAATACTTTCGGGGATGTCAAATCTAGATTTCTGGCATAGATGAGCATTTCCAATTGTTTGAATTCAAAATGAAAGTTTAAAGAGCATCTTGAACTAAAGATAGTGTGTTCTCATAGACAACAAATAGAATTGAATTAACAAGAAAACCACGAATAACCAGAGTTAAACCTCCTCGGAAGAAGGCATTAGCACCTTCATTTTGGAATAGTCGTCTCGCCACTTCCAGCATTTTTCTACAAAAAAAGTTATTGTTAATTGCCTAGCGACGAAGCAATCTGTAGATCGAGAGCTCAATCACTTATAAATGCTTCTCAACTTCGATTCGAAAACATTGGAAAACAAATAATCTAGTAACTTACTGTTTTTTCGCTGTCTTAGACGTTTGAATATTATTCTTCACAACCTCAAAGGGACATATGGAAAACCAACTAACGCTACCGGCTATACCTCCCGACAAAAGCTTCAAACAAAAAATCAATGGGGGAACATATTATGCAAAAGAACCTGAGCCAACGTCTCGTTTATGTTCCTCTTTTTGGCATTCCTTAGCATCAACTCGTAAACAGGTATATAGGCTACATAGCCAATCAAATTTCGTACAACCATTACATTGCCACCCTCAAAAAAAAATTCGTTAATTAGTTTTTGGTTAGTTGGCAAAATGACGAAAACAAAACTTCATTATGAAGTGTGCAGAGGCAATGAGTGGTTGAACGTTATATTACTTGTTAACAGGAGCACAGAAGACTTGCATTAAACATTACTTTGAATAATCCTCGAAGACCTTCTTGCTTGAATGTTTGAATAGCACAATCTGCCGGTCCTCTATACAGAGACTTTGTTTTCAGCGTTTCCGGGCAAATGTTTTCTTTTTGCACCTATGAGAAATCGTTAATCATGCTGTAAATAAGAGATAAACCTGCAACTTTGTTTTTATCAGTTCGACAGGAATTTCAGGTGTTACTGCTATCAATGCACCAAAGATAGAAGCAGCGATTATCTACAAAGATCTATGAAATACTATTCTGAACACTTATTATAAAACTATACATCTGTTATGGGCAAATCTTTCCTATCCGTTATATTCAGTTCTCCTGGATGAAGTATTCGTAGACCAGCTCCATAACTGGTGAACAAAATTGACTGCAAAGCTCCAGTAGACAGGAATGGAGCCCACATTCCTTTGTACAGTCCGAACACCTTCAATATAATATGAGCTGTACAGAACAAGATGAGAAGCTAAGAATGAGATTGCTTACAGATTCTTTCTGAATTGTTTTCCTAACACAATCCAAGATCCCTCCATAATTTGACATCGTTTGTAATCTTGTCTTAACTGTATCGAAGGGATGACCAACTATCAATCCAGTGCCCCCTTACAGGAACATATTGAAACATTCAAATGATGAGGACTAACCTGCTACCCATCCGGCAATAAAATCCGCATACATAGTGAGAATGTTTAGTAAATATGGAGATGAATAATAGAAAAACAAAACGGAAGACTTATAGTGGAATAGGATCTTCTCTTTGGCAATCTTATCTTATCTGAGAGCATAAAACAGTTCAGCTGCTTTGATATCGTAAAATTGTGTTTTAAAATAAAGAATAATCGCATGCCTCTGGATGGTGAAGAGTTTCAGAATCCTTGAAATAGAAAATTGAAAAAAAAACAGAAGAAATAGCCAATCACATCAATATTCGAATAAGCGACGAAAACTATGACACAATTCTTGAAGAGGATAAAGATAGGAAACTACGATTACGCTTGAAAGACAATGCTGAAGCTTGTTTGTGAATTCAAAGTTGACCTAACCTCTAGAAAATGTGAAAAAAGTGTTGGAGAAAACAAATTCGTTGGAAAATTTTTCAGAAAAATCGTTTTTCACTCATCGGAAATGACAAAGATAAATATTATTGATTCACAAATAACGGCAAACTATGGTCACTCAAAATTGTCAAACGATAAGGACAATTTAAAAAAAAAAAAAAGAAAAAGGACATCTGAGTACGGCGTACAGCTTATAGAGGTTCAGCCAGTTATTTTTATTGCGTTGATGACTTTTTCTCGGTAAAATCGAATCAATGAAACAAACTAAATACTGAGAAATGCGAGGTCAAGCACAAGCCCATACGAAAAACCACATCGTTGGTTTGTTCGCGAGACAGACAAACAGTGCAGTAAGGATTTTGAGTTGTCAATGTGAAAAAAAATGAAATTGGAAAACATAATTCAAATCAATTGTTCTAATAATTTCTGTTTGGCGTGAAGCCTTGAGTACCGACCATACAGGGTCATTGTTTCATCCGAAAGAACGAAAGGTCATTTCATTTCTGCAGAGCTGATCAAACTTTATGAAGAAATTGTTTTGTGTTATAGAATGAACCAATTCTGATATAGTGAAGGCACGAATCAATGTCATAGTTAGAACAGTAATAAATCAAATAATTTTTTTATTATACAAAAGAAAAGATTCAAATACATTTACAATTCATTATTAAAATGGAATCAACACCCGATGAATAGAATGCAACCGCTCCGTACGTTCCTCTAAGTATAAATGATTTTCAGTGCATGAACTAGATGATAAGGTCACGCGTTTCATAAAAAAAAGCTAATGCCTAGTTGTTAAGCATATTAATATCATCCACACACTGATTCAACTGTTGCGAACTGTTCGTATGTAAGGTTTGTTCTGAAAACATGATGAATATCAAATATTTACTCGAACTAAAACATACGACATCAGGGCATTGAATGGTACTGAACGTTTGGTTGTCGAGAGCGTTAGTTGTTTTGGCCCCAACTGGCTCTAACAGATTATTCCATAGCCATGTAGCAAATTTGGAATTTCCTTGTTTTGATAAATGAAATACATCTTCTGCATAGAATGATAAGTCATATTTCCCGTCCGCCTGCAATCATATGCCATTGAAAGAGAAAGAGAAGGATTACTCTCTTACAGTTGTAATGGGTTTAACCATGTTTTCCAAGAAAGGTTGCACAACAACAGTAAAATCATCAGACGAAAACTTCTGTTCATTCTGAATTTCGAAAGCTTTGTTGCGATATGACGTACACAATTGTTCCCGCTTTTCAACAATGTCTGCAGCACCTGGACATGTCAGGCGCTTTCTGATATAAAAAAAGAATTTCTTTTCAACACTCCTGCCCTACCCTTCCGAGATGATACTTTTTGCTTCAATTGTTACTTGAGGATTCCACATGCCAATGATTGAAATGATGGTTTTTGGAAGATCCTTTTTGATTATTGAAATGCATTCTTCAAGCTTGGCTTTGTAAGTGGCCACTGGTACAGGTGGCTGAAAGATTTTTTTGTATTTTTAACTCTAGTTAACGTGAATCTCACTTCAGTTCTATAGCAGCTCAAGTTTCCAATGTCATTTGTTCCTATGAAGATGTTGATAAGCTTCCATTTATTCTGATAATCAGATGGTTGCTGAAACCAGCAACATAAACCAAGAATGTGAAGCAAAGATTACATAACGATCTCTGAATGTGCTAACTAATATTTCTGCTTGACGTGGTAAATCGTCAACTGTTCGACCACTAACAGCAACATTCAAACCACTATTAAGGCCATAACCCGATCCATGAGATATTCCTCTCAAATTAGGATTAAACTCTTTAAGAATATCTCAAATAATCAGCAGCTATTAAGATTCTCACAAAGATTATTCTTACTTGCCAAAGTAACATGTCCAAACAAATTTTCGTCACCGCCTGTGACAAAACTGTTTCCAAAATAGTTTTCTGAGAAATTTTGAGTTGTTGTGTTTCTAGAACCGTATGCTGTCTGAAAATATGAATGTTTATGGTTCAGCCGATTTTACGTTACGGTTATTGAGTCTCCCAAAGCAGCAATGTATTCGATGTCAGCTGGTCCAACATGGTGCACATCAATAGCATCGCTTGGTAAACGGAACTGGCACTTTATGGAGGTTCCTTTGGTAACATAAACTTCAAAAAAAACAAAAATAAGCCAATACAAACGGAAGTTAAACCTGTTGGTTTTACTGGCTCTTCTTTCAGCTTCTTATCCATTTCTTGAAGAACAAATGATTTCTGTTTCAAAAGTTCAATCCTACCTATTTCTGGGAAGAGAAAGTAAGAGCAAACTATGAATATCACAATTCCAATTAACAAAACACGGTATCGATTAAGGTTTCGAAAAATCTGTGAAGGAAACATATCTGTATTACAAAATGCTTTGTAGTTTTCGGGTTCCTAAAATTCACAATTCAAGTAATTGAAAAATGTGAAAGATACTTCATTTGGTCGTTGACGATATTGCATTTCAATGGATTGATAGCGATAGGGGCGTTGCAACTGTAAGAATACAATGTTCTTTTTTTGAATATCTGTAAGAAGTACTCACGAATATCTCGAAGCCGGGGTTCAAACTATGAGGGAATTTATATTGCTTCATTTATGAATATAGACGGCCTTGATGAAAATTTCGTTAGCAACGTGGACGAATTTCAGAAGATTTGATCAAGATATGGTGCCCAGCCCTCAGAGAATGTTCGCTAGCAAACATATTGGATTATAAGACATCTCGTAAAGCGAAAACGGTTCAGGTGAACAGAGATGCGTTTTTCGTAATTGGATGGGGTAAGCGAATGTATTCGAGAAGATGTAAGAACTCACCTTGTGATAACTCTATACAATAGATTCAAGCAACGAATGATGATTGATATGTGATTTGTAACACACAGTCTGTGTTTGTTTATTAGGCAAAGACGTGTAAACCAAGTTGTATTATCGATTTATCAATCATTCATTGCACTGCAAATTAGGATAAGCTTGATGTAGTTGTAAAGGATACTATTGGGTAAACTCAATCGTCTTATTGTTTTATTGTATAGTTAAGATCGTATGAAAAGTGGGACGACCCAGATATGAGAGAACACAAGTTGAAAACACTGACAGTCAGTATGTTTTTTCAAATTTTCCAACTTACAGCTTTGTTTTTTTTGTTCTATATTTGACAGTACAAATGACTTTTCTGTGATTATGGTAATGCATTCTAAGCGTGCCTTAACTTTCATAGAGGGAATACCCTCAATTCCGGACTGAAAGTTACTAAGAGTAACTATTTTTTATCAAAAAGAGCATTTTAATCTGAAGGGATGACAGCCAGTTATGATGTACATACCTGTTGTTGTTGTTCTCCTTCATCACATAGTACACACCCACCTCGTGCCGATTATTTTGGCTTATGGCCCATCGGAGGAGTATTTAAATGTTTCTGTAAGTTTAGGCACTCCACCAACACAAATGTTCAAAATACTAATTTTACTTTCACTTGTCAGTGTCCTGAAGGCAGCTTCGGTATGATTCAATTCTACTTTCTTTTCACCAATATTATCTACAGGATGAGAACACCATGCGATCTGTTGATGTGAACAAAACGATCGAGGAAGCCAAAAACCTTCGTCTCAAAATGAAAGGCAAACTTGCCGATGAAATAACGGTCTGACATTTGACCTTAATTTTATTATGTTGATGTTTTAGAAAATTATTTCTATCCTTGGCAGACTTACTCTCAAAGAAGTATCCATGCTCAAGGATCCCAACCGAAAGAAAGATAATGAACTCGTCGATTTGGCAAACAAGATAAATAATCTCATAATGTTTGGAAATTTTGCAATTTACAATATTAAAATATATATTTAGCATGATCAGTGAAGATCCATCAGATCCCAGCGGAGTTGGCTCACTCATAATGGCAGGAAATGACCTGACGGTTTATCTCAATAATCATCCTCGAGGAGAATCTATGGAAAAGGGAAAAGCATCTTCTTAACCTATTTAGTTGAGAAATATTTAAATTTCACGTGATTTTCCACGCGGTTTCATGTTATTGTTTTGCTGACGTCACGCAAACGATCGGTTGCATTCAATAAACTTTATTCATTACCCTGTAAAAACAGTATGCCTAGCAAACAACAATCATATTATTCGTTTTCTCCCTGCTGAGGATATATTTTGTAAATATCCTTGAAAAGAGATGCGATTAATTGTTCGGAATGTGTGGATATATAATGGCTCTCTGGTATGCTTTTGTCACGAGTAAACACAGGATGATAGAAATAACTTCGGCTCTGCAATTCCTAGATTACTTAGAATAATCTTTCCGTACTTAACCATTGTGTTGTTGATCATCAGAGCTTCTTCAATCGGTACTACACGATCGTAGTAAGAATGAACATGATATATGTGTGATTTTACTCTGGAAATTTAAATTATTCAACTAAATTCGTTTGCTTATCACTTCTGAAGACCATTAACGTTATCAAACATCAATCCGCTTCTTTCTAAGACCGGCTTGAATATCCAGTCAAAGCTGAAAGGCATCCACCATCCGAACAACTAAAGAGCAGTGTGAACTCACTAATTTCAAGAGCTTTACCATTTTAAATGGCGTTTTATTTATCATTAAAGATTTAATTGAAGCAAACCCAGACTCAAATATCAAATGATCAACTTCGAATTTCCCTCTTAACAAAGCTTCCACTGCAATACTTCAATAACAAAGGTGAGGTTCCAAGATGATCAGCACTAACCCACATCCTGCAGAATGCCCCCACCAAACCTTGTAAACTCTTTCATCATATTGCTCTTCTAACCACTTGTATACAGTTATAACATCCTGAACAAAAGAAGTTCAATTGACAGTTTTGCCGCACCTCGATTGCCGCATTGCCATTTGAATCTCCGATATACTCCGAAAATCCTAAAAACAGTCAGAGAAAGAAATGAAGTTTGGAGGAACCTTTGTAATCTAGAGTGACAACGACTGCTCCCATGTCAATCAAATACTTATAAACTTTGATTTTTCTACTATCGTATCTGTGATTATAAAGTTATACGGATTTCAGATGTCACAGTCTACCTATTGTATTTGATACCATGCAGAAGAAATACAACTAGCTGTTGTGAAAAGCTGAACTTCTTGCTTTCTTCTTCCTCAGCTGTTTTAATATTATTGCCCAAAACCCTAAAGCAACACTTGCTGGCCACTATAAAAACACTTACCAAATAGGAATCATTCCATTGTTGGAATTTATATAGAAGTTATGACCAGGGAGATTATAGGACTTGGGCTCAAAACTAGGGCTTGATATGCCTTCTGAAGCAAACTTTAGAAAATATAGTTTTGGTGATGATCACCTGATTGGAAAAACAGTTCAACAATAAGATCCGGTTGAAAGAAAAATGTCAGAACAATACAAGAATAAACAACTATGAGGATAGAAAAGACTTTGAGTATTCCTGTTGCATGAATTGCCCAACTTTTCGTAAGCATGTTATTAATCAACTGTTCTGAACGCTTTGTACAGTCACGTTAATATGCTAATTAGCTGCTAGGTTGAGTCAAGCCGAGTTATGGTCGGCTGAGCGTGAGTCCATTTTCAAGAGCCAGTTTACCATTTTCAATGTCTATACACATGAGCGGTCGTGTTTCTGAAACGAACCGAAGTTTCTTGGAAAACAGATTAGCAAACTACCGTTTGTTCTATCATAAAAGAACCTAACTCCATAAACTTTAACTGCTGGAAGGAGAGAGGACATCAAAGATAGTATGAATTGTGAAGAATCGCTAAGGTAAGATATCATTGAAGTGAAGACATTGATTGATTAGAAATAGTGGTGCTTAAGATAAGTGTTGCAATATTCATTTATCCTTTTTCGGTTTTTGAACAGGTTAAATTTCAGAAAGAAATGAAATTGGAAAAGGGTTTTCAACAGTGTTGTAGTCTGGAACGAAACTACTCCTGCCATTGATGTCCGATCATCAATGTAACCTTGTAGAGAATAATGATTAATAATGCATATGAACTGATGACGTTGTTGCTTCCTGAACAATAGATTCTCAAGAGATGTGATATGCAACACTTATCCTATTACGCGTTTCTTTGAAAGTGATAGGAATAGTTAACCTGACGACAACTTGTCCTTGTACTTAAATCTTATGTCCGTTAGCATAAAACTAGAAAATCGGATTTGAGCTCGAAAGCTACAAGCCATATATAAAGGTTTCAAATGCGTTCAAAAAGCATCAACCATTCGTTTCAGCACTACTATTAAATAGCTTTTTTTTATATATATTCAAAGCATTCAATTCAGAAAATGATGAAGTTCTTGCTCCTCGCTGCTTTCGTTGGAACTAGCTCTGCCTTCCTCTTCGGTGGACTATTAGGTGGAGGATCTGGTGGTTGTGGATGTGGTGGCTGCGGTAAGATTTTTAACACTTGCTGAAGTTATCTTCTCATATAGCCCCAGCTGCTCCTCCATGCGGTATTCCTCAAGCACCTCCTTTGGCCAGTCCTTGCGGAATTGCGGCTGCCCCAATCAGCCCATGTGGTGGTTACGGAGCACCACCAGTTTACCAAGGTCCCCCTAGCGGAGGATATGCTCAAGCACCATACGGAGGAGCCGCTCCACCAGTTTTCCCAGCTCCAGCTCCAGGAGGATACGCTCAAGCACCATACGGAGGAGCCGCTCCACCAGTTTCCGGAGGATACGCTCAAGGACCATACGGAGGAGCCGCTCCACCAGTCTACGGAGGACCATCCGCTGGAGGATACTCTCAAGGACCAGTCGGAGGAGCCGCTCCACCAGTCTACGGAGGACCATCCGCTGGAGGATACTCTCAAGGACCAATCGGAGGAGCCGCTCCACCAGTTGTCCAAGCCCCACCCACCGGAGGATACGCTCAAACCACATACCTCGGTGCCCAAGTTTTCCAAAGAGGTTCTGATGCCCCATCTGGAGGATACCAACAACCAGCCTCTGATGCTCCACAAGGCAACTATCAACTTGGAGGAAAGAAGAAGAACTAAATAATTTCATTTTGTCTCTCACTGTCTGTATGTAATTAGTTCTAGAATAAATTCGTTTTTTGAAAAACTTTATTCTTGCAACGTTTGGATGATTCGATCAGCAACATCAAATACATTATAATCAGTACAATCCACAGTGATAACATCAGGTTCATCCTTTGTGTCTTCCCAAGCCTCAAATTGGCTGTTTAATAGAGAACAAGGCATGAAGTGATTTTCTCGATTCTTCAAGCGGTTTTCCAGAGTCTCTCTTTGAATGAAAATCTGTTATACTATGAAACGTAGTTTTACCTATTCACATTCAAATGTACAAAGCAACAACTACAGCCCTGTCTTAAAACATTTCTATATTTTGCTTTTAACGCTGAACAAGCCACAACGTTTCCCTGGAACTTTTTGCAGTACTGATTGATGCTAATTAACCAAGGCTCTCTATCCGCATCGACGAGAGGTTCTCCTATTAGGAAATCATAATGCTTCTTTCTACAATATCCACCTGAAGCCATTTTTTCCCGGTTCTCTGCCGAATGGAAGTCATCCCCATCTCTAAATTCCCGCCCAGTGCGTTTAGCCAATTCTAATCCTACGCTAGTCTTTCCCGATCCACTTACACCGATCAAGAAAATAGTTTTCATTCTAAAGCATGAAATCACTAATACGCCACTCCCAAAAATACAAAAAGTTTTTCCAACTTTTCATCATAAAATCAGCGTTTATTTCTTAACATTTATTTCTATAGAATTATTAGTGCCCGCTAAACCTCGGAAAGGAGGGAAGTAAAACCATCGCGCTGCTCCAAGATAGAAAGAAGCTGAAACGATTGGAAGCTTAAAACCACCATCCTAACAAACCTAAAGCTAAAGATCGAACTCCCATTTGAATATAAGGTTTCTTGGCATAGAATCCTCCATTCGATTGATAAAGAATGAAACATCCAATAAAAGATAAACTCAAGGTTCCTGTCACACGACATTCATAACAATCTTTTTGAAGAATTTTCTCTCGAAGTTCATTTTTTTCCATCTAAACAGATTTAAGCAATAGTTATGAGATGTGTGAGGTAGCTGATTCAACATTTCTCGAAACAGTCCGGTAGAAAAATATGTTTTATTCCTACAAGTATAAATCTCTATTCCTCGCGTGTTGAGATCTTCTCTTTAACAAAAAAATTGAATGGGAAGATTCCAAATTCATTAGCCACTGAAAGGTACAGGCAACCTAGAAAAAATGTTAATTCTGAGCTTTGATAGTTTTAAAACCGATTGATCCTATTACGTTGGAACCTCGTTGTCTATGAGTGAGGAAACGGTTAGTACAAGCTCTGAATATATAGAACGAACTAGAACTACTGAAGTAAAAGAAAATGCCTTATAAATAATAATGTAGCAGCTGCAGTAGTTCCATACTGTATACCGGTAAAGATAGAAAACTTTTGCATTGGCTTTACCCCACTATCCGGCTTACTTTCCTGCTCAGACATCTAAACGAACTATTAGTAGCTGTTGTAATAACCAAAAGTACTGTACTCCAAGCTTTTAACAGGGAAAGAAAAAAAACAGTTGAAACTCAACGAATTCATTCAATGAAATCACAAAAACAACAGAAGAAATCCACAAACTAATCCGATCAGAAGAAAAGTCATGTAAAAAGCAACAGAACTCAATTGCTCGACTATTTCCATACTTGTATTTGAATCACCAAAAACAAAAAACAAAACATTAACAAAATTACTCGAAAATTGATTCTCTAAACAACCCTCTGTTGTGGACCACTCATGTCACAAATCTCTTGCATACACAGGATGCTGTAACGGTATCACACTTAGCTTGTCTTTATCCTTTGGCAGTGCTTTCCTCATATCTATTAAGAATGATACATTATGAATTTATATAGCACTCACCGAATGCGTTTTCATCTTCCTGCCCTGAATAATACTCTATGACTTCTCTATATACCACATAGCCCAGCATTTTATACATGTTTATGGCGACTGTGTTCGAAACACGTACGAACAAGTCCACGAAGTAGGCATTTTTTCTGAAATTTATTTTTGAAAACGACACAGAGCAGTTGACCTACTGTTCCGACATTTCTTCCAGTGTAGTCATCATTTTGGCTCCTAGACCAAGACGTCTATATGCAGGAGCAACGGATAATGCAGTAACATGCCCATGCCAATCTTCGTTTTGTCCTTCAGCTTTACCCATAACTGAAGCAGGGCACATAACACTTAAGTCATTCGTAAGAAGTCTTAATACCATATCCCATAATGTCTCCATTAGGATGTTCGGCGACCTGATAATATTCTGGCCAATTCACCAAATAATAAAGATAAAAATTGAATCCGTACTGAAATCTTTAAAGTCAAAAACCCAACTCAGGTAACCAAGCCAAACCGTCTCAGTCAATTTATCCAAGTTGACTCTGTTGAATTTGAGCATATCGAGGGGGTGGAAAGGACGAAGGGTAGTCATTTTTAACTAAACAATTTATAATATTGAATCCATTTTAGAGTGTAAGTATGAGAGGAGCTTGAATCCTTCTACAGGAGAGCTTTGAAAATTTATTTAATGTGAAAAAAACATTTATCGATTTATACAGAATATACTACACGATCTATAAAAAATTAGGTTCCACTCTCGTCTACCTCCTACCCTGAGGCTCCGCCTTCTTAACTGTGCGCATACTAAGCGTTTGATTTTGTTCAGCGTTTTTTATAACAGTCTATTTGATTAAGATGATATAACAGACATAGGTTACATGATAACCTTCAGTGAAGGAAGTTCCCGTAGTTTTGTATGTAACAAACACATAGTTTTATAAACACAGTCAGAGAGACGAAGTCTATGGATGAGAGCTATAGAGATGAGAACAAAAAAAAATATACAGCGCAGAGATTCTTAATTAACACTTAATGAGACTTCTTCTCCTCTTCTAATCTTTTCAACAAATCCTTGCCTTCTTCCTGGATTTAAAATTATAACAAAATAGGACAAAGAGTTGCTAACCTGTACTCCGTATGATTTTAGAGCAGGAAACTGCTCTTTAACCCATCGAATATAAAACAGTTCTTGCCTTTCATGAGGAGCAACCAGAGATGGATTGTTTTGAATGGTATAATAAGCGTAGTGCATTGCTAAAGGGAGTAATAGTAATTTTCAAAGTATCACTGTTCAATGTCACTTACAGACGAGTAAAGCTGCGAAGCATCCCCACTCTTTCCATGTTTGTCCTGTGATGCGAGCCATAATGAATCTAAGGCAGTTAAATTAAAGTAATCGCATAAGCTGTTAAGGAAAAATTATATGAATGTTAAGCCTGGAAGTCTCAACTAGAAAGAAATCTGTGTACTTTATATATGCAACTGTTGTACGTGATATTTCGAACGTTAAGTTTCTATCGTTAAAATCACGTAGACAATTCTCAGTTCTGATCTCTAACAGCTACTATCATACTTGAATGTATTTGCGTTGCATTCGAAACTACCGTAATCAAAAATAAAAATAATATTATAATTTTTATTCCAAAGAAGTAGTAAAGAAAGTGAGAAACCGAGGTTTAAGATATAACTACTAGATTTCCTATACTGGAGTTACTGGAATCAGAACATCTCTTGGACTTCTATTCTTAACTTGATGAATACATAGAGATCAATGAGTTACAGATAAGAATCGTCATACTATATAAAGAAGTTCTGTGAATTCCTTGTTCTTGAATTGGAGTTGAGTGTTTAGTTGAGGTTATTCTACTAGGAGAAGTGTTCCAGAGTGGAATAGTATGCTGGAAGTTTGCATGAAGATTGTTGAGTGTATCATGTAGAAGGTTTCCCTACGCCTCAGCCATATGCCAACGTAGGTGCATATAAGTTGAAAAAAATATTTCTGAAGCTCGTGAAAAACCAAGTATACTAAGATCTACTCAGATGCGCACAAGTATTCAGAGAGATAGATTTGGATAGTTTGCTTATGAGTCTCTTAACATCTGTTTTTCAGGACTAATCCTACAAACTTACAGAGTTAATGACTTTTGTTTCGATAGAAACAGATCAACAGTTTACCTACTTGTGTCTTAACCTTTGTGTTTTGTCTGAATCAGTCCTGCTTCATTGAACCCTTATTTTGGAAAAATACGCAACGTAATGTTGTACGCAAAAAAACCGTAAAGGTGCACAGTTAAATGGGCGGAGTTTAAGTTTTGAGCTAAAAGACATAAGAACCTAATTTTCTTTCGAAGTTTTATGATTTATTTATTAAAATTGTTTGCTAAACGTTGTATTATGATGTTTCATGTTTTCTATGTATGAGATACACGATGATGATGCTTACTTAGTCAATCATCGTTCACAAACAATTACTCTTTTTTGATGCTAATTTTCATTTCTCGTGCAATACACGTAATGATTCGTATTGAGACGTTTGTTGCTGCTATCGGTTGCTTTTTCGATTATTTTCGTTATTCATGGATTTCAGTAGCAGTATGCCTGTCCTTGGTCATGATCAAATCGTTATAGAAGAAGATGATAATGATAGCTTAACAGGGAGCGAGGGAGGTTAGTCATTGGAAGCATGTTTTTTCTATTCCCTTTTATTCAGGCTCTGAAGGTAGCTTTGTAAATGGTGAAAACGAGGAAAGTAATGTTGTCAGCTTTCACTCGGTAAATTAGAATTAACTTTGTCTTTCATGTTTTCTTGTTTTTAGGAACCCAGGAAAAAAATCCTTAAAAAAAAAAAGAAACTAACGAAGCGTGAATTGAGGGCGAAGAAAATAGTGGGAATATGCTCTTTTACTGTTTTCAAATATTTTGTTTCAGGATAAAATTAACCTGTTGAGTGCAGGATTGGTCAAGCCTGATGTTACTACAGATAAAGAGAAAGAACGCTTACTAAGAAGGATTGCCACAAAGTATTTCAGTAATTTCCCTTTTTCCCCATTTATTCGCGATTAAGAGGTGTCGTTCAATTGTTCAATGCTGTTGCTGGTCGTCAAAAAACTGTTAACACTGAATTGTCCAAGAAAATGACAATGAAAGAGAGACGGGTACATTTTAATTTGGAAAAGTTTGAAATTTCAATCGTTCTATTCCAGGCTGCTTTGAAAAAATTGAAAGGCGATAACTTCAGTGTCAATGGTACAAAGGAGAAAAAGGTATTCTTTTTTTAAAAAACCAATGATCATTGTTTTGTTAGGAGTTACTGAGTGACGAGAGTGATAATGAAGCCATGGATAGTACATTAGATTGCAAAGATGAGAACGAAATGGATGAATGAAATTGAGTTTGTTACTGTTATTTTTTTTTGTTTTCACTGTTTTTGTTGTTACATTAAGCTATTCTTGGAATGGCTACGAATATTAAACCATTACTTTTTTGTCTGTTAGAACAGTTACTAAACCACAACTATTCTGTTTCATTCCACTTGCTACATATTCTTGGATGAATCATAGTAGTGTGAAGTGTTGTCATAGTGTTTCTAATTACGTCTTCCTGTCTAGAAGTTCTTCATCCATTTCTTGATGAGAAAGCAAATCCAAAACAAGTAGTTGCTCAATACAGTATTCCATCAAATATTGTCAGAGGACACGCAATTTCTTCTGACCCCTACTGCTTTCACGTTATTTACAGCTTTTCCCAATGTTCCATTCTCTATCTTGTGTATTTCTTTTCGGTCGTTCATGTTCTTCCATTTCTCAATTTGGCGCTTTCTTTTCGGTCGTTCATACTTTACTGAAATGAAAAGTTCAGATGCAAGAAAAACATTCAAGACTTTGAATATTCCAATTTCCTCTGAACTCTGAAGTTTCTCTTGAGAAAATTATACTTCTTCGTAATTGCAAAGAACACGATTTTTCAATGAAGTCACAATTTTTCGGAAGTTTCCCTTTGGGCAGTTCGGGTTATGCAAAGCTGAAGGGTAGTAAATGCTCGAAATGGGCATTTCGACTGGCTAGTTTGAGGCAATTGTCGAAAGAAATGAGTAGAGAAGAATAGGAACAACTTTCTAATAGAAAAGAAACTGATTTAACATTTTTTGCATAAAAGTTCGTAGAACTGCTTTTGTTTCTGAGTGAATAGTTCAACACTCTTTCAGGTGACTATGCTGAGGATAGCCCATCTAACATCAACAAACTTCGATTCAGTAAGAAGTTTAATCAGTTTATTATTAGAAGATTATGTTTCACATCAGCCCTGGAGATAAGCACATTGATGACAATTTATTTCGTTCTTTGCTTTTTCTAGGAAATGCGAAAGTATTCTCTGATTTATTCGAGCTTAAACAGCCCAGAAGATTCTTTAATGATCAGAAACATATTTTATTTGCTTATGATAACAAGAAAATAGGAAGTTGTCAAATGCCCATGAGATGTTCAAGAATATACATCTTATCGATACTTCCGTTGTGAGAATCTTTCTTCCTGCAATGCAACCGCTCTTAGACGACATATGGCAAGAAATGAAATGAGATATGACGTTAGAGGACACGTGGAATATCCAGCTTATGCTATTCGACAATTAAATTAAAAGATGCATAATTGGAAATAAAAACATGGCGTAGTAATAATATATAACGTTTATTATGGTATTAATACATTCTTTCCGGAAAGAGTAAAGTCAATGAGATCCATAGTCTTTGAGTTAATTGGTGAAGTTTGTTCTTCGTTTTCCATACCATCTCATTTGTATTCATTCCAATCGTATAATGTCGGATTGTACGCTGAGAGAATTTGCTTCTTAACAGCAGGCTTCCAAGCTGGCCGCATAAACCATGGCCCTGCTGTAATTAATAGTTAGGTATCAATGAATGTGACGTTTCCCCAAAAAAAAGATAAATTTGTCAAAGCTAACCTCCTCGCTTTTCGAACGCAGCATGAGCAGCCGAGAATGAGATTATGAATATGAAGGAGAAGAGTAGGAAAAGCCGCATTTTTTTGTATCTGAAAGTAACTCTGGATCATTTCAAGAAGAGGCTATGGGTTTCGTCTCAATAAGAAAGCAAATCATATGCATATATTCAATTCAACCGAGATTTAATAGCCAATGACATTTTGAGCTGGACTGTGAACACTGGCATTACGATAATCTTCTCAAAGAACAATTACTTCGTAAGATGTCTAGAATCATTATAAGTCTTGAAAGTTCAAAAAGACAGAGGCGACTAAATGAGTATGATGAAGAACAATGATGGAGAGACTTAGCTATGAGAGCTTTAAAGAATGGTATAAGTTTGAGAGACTGCAATTCACAAACTAAAATAGCTTGGGATGTAAACGACATTGAATGACAACATTCAGCTAATCTTATGGATTAATAGTATCTCATTTGATTACATGCCATAGACACGGAAAACGACAAGAAAATAGATCAAACAAAAATTGTTTGATTAAAACACGACATTACTCGCTTCCTATTTTCAGAAATTAATGAGTCCACATAGATGGAATTTGTGATCAAGATTGGTGCTTGCATCATCTCATCCGCACACAAGAATGAGCGAGAAACATCTGTGGGAGAAGTATATCTTATGAAACAATTCAGAGTTTCGGAGGGGAGGAGCTTTTAATAACACAGGGAGGTGAGTGCTCCATGGAAAAATAAAACTGGAGGCAGTGCCGCCGGAAAAGGAGGGCGATCGAGTGTGTTGGTTTCCAGAAATATTAGAGTAGTAATTGCATACTTGAAGGTTGAATGAGATCCTCACTTTATCGTTTATTCGATAAACTCAGATCGTTTGTAGCTTGCTTTTGCAACACATTTGCAAAGTAGATTCTATACTCACTGCCATCCTCGCGCTGATTATTTGGTCTGAGATGATCTCTCGGTTATGAATTGGTCTTTATACGAAGTATGTCCACAAATGAAACAATTTAATTCAAAATAGATGAGAAATAACGGAAAAAATTCTTTCTGCTGGCAATCATGAGGTTTTGCTGAAAAATGATTTAGCAATTCAAACGCTCACGTTCAAAATGAATTCTTCATCTGATTTGACTGAGATTCAGATCCCCTATTTTTCGAAAAACAACTACTCGACTGCTCAACCAATCGAAATTATGAAGCGGAGAGTTAAATCAAGCTTGGAAAAATATGTTTTGTAATTGGACACTTTATTAGAATATTTTCTTGCGTATGAACATTTATGAATTACACAAATTAAACAGTATTACTTTGAGGTGGACTTGATCACTGACTGAACTAGATGGATGGCAGCTTCTGGTGTATCATAGGCAACCTTAGAAAGTACTTTTAAGAATAATCTTATTGAAAAACAAACCATGTGACCAGCACGAAGTACATACCAATATTGGAAATTGTTATGAACTTTGTAAAAGCCTGATAAAGGATGGGAGGCTGTAGAGAATGTGTGTCTGTGAGTTGTGTTGAAAGACTTCATTCCATCCCAAGTTAAGCGTTCAATCCAAAGGTTGGTTCCTGCAAAATTAAAATGAATAGAGATGATCAACAGAACGTTTATACCCCAGGTATCACAAATCAAATCTTCGTTTCCGTTGTATACAATCACATTTGTTCCTTGCTTGAGTAAAAGATCTACAGTGCTGTAGACAGGTTTCATGAAATCTCCTGACTGCGCGTTAAAAACAGCTCCAGACTGAGCTGCAAATGTGGTTTGAATACTAGGACATGCAAGAGCAACAAAAAACCTCCAAACTTCACTGATGGTGGAATGATGCCAACCTTCTGACGAACAATGGTATCCATATAATCAGAGAGACTGTCCAATTGCATAGGCTTTACCAAGGCTTCGTATAAGTTTTCTAGAGGTTTGCAATGTGATAATATGAATGGAGAAATCACTAACGGATTGCATAGTTTCTAGTAGATCTCTTTCTTCTCTTCTTTGACCAATCGTCTTGACCACCTTTCTTCAAAATATTGTACCAGGAAACATCTCCTGCTTCCTAAAAAAATTTTTTTTTGACACATTCTCGAACTGCTATTTCATTTTTGTGCAAAGGAAATTATATTAACTTACGACCATGATAAGATCTTCCATTGTGCTCCAGCAGTTGGTGGCAGCGCTCCATTTTCCTTGATCTACATCTTTTTGACAACGTGCAGCTTGAGCATTAACAGTTTTCAAACTGTTTTCATCCAAAAACGACTAAACATATGAGATTACAGGAAACAATTGTTGAGAGATTTTACGTTTGCATAAAGATAAGGACCCCAGGTGTTGACATAATCCATGGGGGAAATCCACGAATCTCCCAATGCTACACCAGCGAAATTCAGAGTTAGTCTCTTCTGTGCAACTTCCTGTTTTGAGATAATATATGATGGGCTGTATTAATTTCCCTACGTTAGTGATAACACGAGCGAACTCAGCACTCATCTTTCCTCCATAGCTTTCACAGAAAATATAGAAAGGTCTTTTGGTGTATTCAGGATGGAAAGAGATGAAGTCTTTCAACCATGACAACAAGTCCTGGATTCCAATTAAGTATTCAACAAGCAAAATCATCGCTTACTTGTCCGATTTGTGCAACATTTGTAGTAAGAGATGACTCATCATCTACGTATGAGAAGCCTGCACCAACTGGGTTGTCAACGTAGACGAGATCAGCTACTTGCAACTAGAGTTGAGTATACATTCATCATTGCAATCTAAAACCACTGCTTACCCATGTGGCCATGTTATCAGAACCATTCATTCGCTTTGGACCAGTTTCTTCAAAGTTTCCGAAACCAGTGGACGACGCACCAGGTCCTCCCTGAAATACAACAAAAATATAAGTTTGAACGATAGCCATGCCTGTAACCATAGGATGATTGGTCGATTATTAGCTGGCTGAGCTGCATATAACCACCAGAAAGTGTGAGCGCCGGTTCTAATGTTCGAATAATTCCAATCCTCGGTGTACTTGAAATTTTTATGTTAATGAGGCTGTTCACAATGATAATTTACGTATATTTGTCCAGAATAGGTGTTAACTGTCTGGACAGGGCCATTGGCATTGGCGCAGCTCGCACCAAGAAGGAGGAAGAGGAATACCTTCAGCATTACCTGAAAAAAGTAAATGACCTAGAAAAATCGCAAACGACTTAAAACAATCGATCATCACCGAACTGTGAAGAAGATTCAAAAAATTGTAATAAACTATGTCTGTATTGAAAAAAAATTTATTGGATAGTCAAATTCATTTCTAATAATTATCACTTGGTACTACGTATCGATAAAAGGTATCCACTGCTGCGAAAAGAACTTAAATAATACCTTAACCGGATTAATGACGTGGATGATAACCACTAATCTTCCTTATCAAGTTTATAATACGCATGTGCTTTATTTACAGAGAAATTACATAAATTATTTGAAAATAAATGGAACATTGTCAAACTTATTATCTTACAATCTGACACAAAAACAGAAGGTGGTGAAAATTAAAAGAAGAATCAATCCTCATTTAGACAATAGGTTTCTTTAAATGTCGCTAACATCATCACTGTGATGACACTTGACGCAAAAGCTGCATCATAAGTACATCTGATCATATCATGAAACGCTTCGGTATAATTCATAATGCTTGTTACTTTCAAATACGTACATATAGTTATAGAAGATAAATGCGGTACTACCATTTCTATTCACCAACTACATTAATTTCGAAATCTGTAAGTACAGAAAATTAATTGTAGGATACCCATCGTTGTTATACCAAATGCTTCCTCCTCTGTAGGTGGTAGAACAATACGTTTCCATGAGCCAGCATTATTATCAGGCCTATTGCTTTTTCTTGGTGATGAAGTAGGCGCTAATATTGGAACGCGAGTAGTTCTGGGAGGTTTCGTGGTCTACATAAAAATATTAGAAAGAGGCAATAACAATAATAATACAATACCTTTACAGCCATTCGGAAAAACTGACCAGGCACGTCATCATCATATTCTTCATCACCATGCTTGGACGCGTCCAATTCGATTATTTCTTCCATCGTCAGTTGTTTCGAAGAGACAGTAGGTCTGTAGAAGAAAGAGTTCAAATCATGGAAAAAATGCAACTATTCTGAACGCCAACTTTGAAATATTTACCTGGGTCTCAAATCCTCCATGGGCTTAACTGTGGTTAACACTGGTCGAGGCAGAGGAGTTGTCTCATAACGAGGATAAGTGTGAGTTGGAAAGTTTTGCGATGGAGTTGGCCAAGCCTTTCTTGGAGGGATAGTTGTAATATAAGGTGAAGTTGTTGTGATTGGTTTGGGGGTCGTGGTAGTTGTTGTTGTTGTCGTGGTTGTAAAAGTCGGTCTACTTAATGGAGCTTTTGGAGTTGACAATGTAGTTCTCGCCGCAGGTGTGACCGGCAATGTTGGGTAGGTTGGACGTACAAAAGAATTATGCATGCGTGGTTGTTGTCTGTAGCCATTCCTCAAAGTATTAGCAGGGACGGCAGGCGTCCACATGTTGTTACGAGAATGACTGTTACTTGGATAATTTTGAGGGGCTAATCGTTGCTGATATCCTATTTGAGGCGAACGACGTTCAGCTTCATTGTAAGTATCGAGAACCATACGATGATATTGTACAGGCAAACCAATTAAAGGGTTAGTCTTGAGTCCACTCCAAGAAAGCTTTTCATAATACTGGGCTTGGCCATCTGGCTGCAAGTTGTATCGGATAAAGAAGTATTTCTGGAAACAGGGAATCAAGAAAGTTGAATATTTTGTAAAACCTCTTTTGGTGACGGTTGCGAATATTGAACTGGCTGATAGTAGTATTGTTGTGGCTGCTCATTTAACTGTTGCTGTTGCTCTGTTACTCTGCTTGATGTTTGAGGATATATCTGTCTCGGAGGAACTTTCTGTTTTTTCAAGTACTTGGCCCTTTTCCTCAAAATCTCAGCCTGCACTCTCTTATTCTGGTTCATAAAGTCGCTCGGTAGGTACGATGGCAGATGCACCTGAACAGGAATAAGATTTCTTAAGGGATTGCTTTCTTACGTTTTGTTGTACTCTTTCTTGGTTCGGTGGATGCATGATAACAAGAACACTCCGATTTGTTGTAGTACGTCCGCTCTCCGAAACTGTAACTTGGGGGTTTGAACTGAACCTTCAACAAGAAAGAGTACGATGATGAAAAAATGATTTTTGGATATTACTGGAATATATTGTTTCCATGTTCGTCTGTAGTGTTCTTCCATTCTCCAGGCTGGAAGATTATTTCTTCTGGGCTAGTTTTCAACTCGGCATAAGTAGATCCTTCATTCAACTGGTACCCATTATATGGAACAGCCGGATGTACTTCTAAAGCTTGATCTCTCTGATGATCAGTAACAGCTGTCCTTTCCTAAATACATTCCGTTATTGTGAGAAATACATTTCTACTGCTCATGTTTAACCCACACACATAAAAAAAAGCTTGAATTTTCTAGATCTATGACATACCTGTGAGTTGACAGATTCCGAAAGATTCTGATGATGAATGACTTCCAACTCAGTAGCAGGCTGTTGCAAGGGCTGCTGCACACGTTGATTGTGATATGACGGTTGCTGTCCTCCATTCCTCACTTCGTTGACTGTGTCTTGCGTGTATCCAAACAGTTGAAGAACTTCTGGTGACAATGACGGCCCCTAATACAACTTCAATATCTATTTTGTATTCACCAAATTTTCAAAAAAAAATACATTTTGTCGTCCCCAATAAGCCCAGTCGATCCCAGGTCCGATTCCTGGTGAGGCTAAAGTTCCACAAATTTCCATACAATGATTATAAGAATAATAACGATTTTCATTTCCACCACAGCCAGACCACCAGCTAAAACAACGTATAATTGATAGGTAAAATGCATATCTATACCTGCAAACGCATTGCTTCTTACTGTAGTCGAAATACCATCGTTCGATGTCACTTTGGCAGTGACCTGGATCATGAGGTAATTGACAACGATCGGTACGTTCAGGCTCTCGGAAGAAACATGATGAAGAACATTCTGAACAGTTACGATTCTTGAAAAAGATCATGTGGACTCAGCATACCTTCGATGCTATTGAAGTTATTAGTATTTCCCCCGCACCCACTGTAATAGAATTCACGACATCGGTGGTCGTAACGGTCATAATACCTAGAAAGGAAAATTTCAACTCATTTCTAAAGCAAAAAGTTGAATACCATTTGACTGTGAAGTTGTTGCATTCTCCGGGGTCTAACCATTCGTTGCATCTGGGATCGGCCAAAGCTTCTTGAGCTGTTGAAGCGCCCAAAACAGTGGCGATAATCAACAATAACATCTGAAAGATTTGAATAAATAATAATCTGCTAAAGTATTAAGTGAATTTTCATGAAATGTAAGATGCTGGGAAGAGATCAGCTTGAAAACTAAATACTTCGCTTTCGGAGGCTTTTAAAGTCAGTTATCGTATGAAAAGTGAATAGATCCATCAAAATTTGCAACAGAACAGCTGGCTAAAAGTAAAAAAAACGAACGGAGAACTTAGAAGGGTGAATAAAGTTCGGAAAACTCTTAGAAGTATGTCTAAATATAAATAGGAGGGAAGGCTCAAAACATGCAACATCTCGACCCATTGAATGTCAGTTGCAGGTAAGTTACAGCACGAGTGTTATTTGTGATGGACAGTGGTTGAATTGAAACATTGCTGAAGAAAAACTAGAGATAAGCAAATAATTAAACAATGCCTGTCAGGTAATGTTTGATGGGTTCCGGATATTAAACCGTTTTGCTTTCCTTCACTTCTGTTTTCTGAGAATGGGTTTGGAAACACATATCCCAAACAGCAAAACGATCAGCGATCGCTTTAGGATTTGATTCGAAATTTTGAAATTTCAGGAACAGATCTGAGTCAGCTTGATGAAAGATGTGAAAAGTGTAAATAGAATTTCACATAAATCGAGGTGAGAGAAAAAAAAGTTGTAACTGAGCTTGTGCAGTTGTTAAAACTCAAAGAAAAGGGTAGCGCATTCCGTACCTGAAGCAATGCAAAGTGCCTCATTAAAACTAAATGTACACGTATCTCATCTTATTTTCTCAGAAATGTATTTGAAAATTCGAAAAAAACTGAAGAGCCTGATCAAATTGTTATATCCTCTTTGTGCAGATCAGGAAGGACATGACTTTCTCATCCTGAACTAACACGAGGAGCAATTTC